ATCCTCACAATTTTGATCCTCTGCGGAGGGGATGGCACCCCCGCTTCGGTAGCCCGACGACCTGCACGCGAAGTTGAGCACTTTACGGTAGCACAGTTTAACGAGGACCAATACCGCACACCCTCGGTCCCTACGCAGACTGATCCAAAGATAAAAATTAGTTTAAGAAGTCGTGAAAAAGGAAAGCCTTAGTTTTTGTTCTCTGCTTAGAGAAATCACATACAGGAATAAACACTTAACTGTGGCAACAAGGGGTATTTCTCGATAAATAAGGGTAAACAATGAAAACAAAAGCAAGGAAAATGTTTGGATGCAAAATATTGAAAATTATTCGATTCCTTCCCCATCGATTTTTTTTCAACAAATTTAAAATTTTTACCACATTGCTCAAGCAATATTTGAGCCCCGACTAGAGCTGGCGCCCCTGGCGAGAGTCAGCCAAGCCTTTAGTGCGGCACACCACTGACGTCACATTCCTTTTTACTGGTAGGACACATTCAAACACCATCCATCCATCCTAATTTTGACCTGAACCAGAGCACGATCAATCCCCGATCCAGTAACCTCAGAGGCTTAGATTTTCTATAGGAACTTGGAGAACTTCGCGACCCCGACAGATTTACCGAGCACCAGTCAGCATTCTGTACACGAAGAGTCTTCGGCGGGGGGATCGAACTCACGACTGCTTGGTCATGGGTACCAACACCCTACGAGTCAGGCTATCCCAAATGAATGTTTTTTTCTACATGTAGTCACTCGAAAAAATAGCTGAGCACTCTGACCCTTTCAAAAACGTGGTTATTCTGTCCCAATTTTTTCAAGGAAAGCATTCTCAGCTTGAGTTGTGGATGCCGATTTCACGTATATTGATGAAATGCATTTTTTATTAATTGTAATATTGCAACGCACCCGCGATATGGAGTTCACGTCTTCAAAAAACCAGGAACGAGGTACAAACCCCGAATTTGAGTGGCTATCCAAAGAGTATTGCGCGGACGAATCTCTAACGGTAAAAAAATTCTGTACCATTTAACAATTTGCGAGCACGTACTACAGGCATCTTGCTTGCGCCAATTTGGTGGTAATAAAAGCCCTATTTGCAGTACCGATATTTGTCCATATGATTTTAACAACTTGGGTACATATCCAGAAACCGTTTGCAAAACGGTGCATCCGGAGAACAAAATTCAGTAATTTTGGATCCAATGATCGAAGAGGAAGATGATTGCATCTTGATAAAGAAAGGGAGAATAGTATCATTATAGATTAGTCTTTCCTCACGTTGTTTTGAGAAAAATTACAATACATTTATAAAATCGTATATTTTTGTACACATAACAAAATAAATAACGGGCACCTCAATCGAGACATGTCACAAGTTTATAGTTGAACCCAGCTGATTCTTCCTAGATCTAAAAAGTGATTCAGAAACGAGGTCATTGAGCCCAAATCATGCTATTAATAGGCAATGCTTTTTCAGAACATATTTGCTTTTTTTTTCTTTCAGAAACGTTTCTACTTTGTCATTACACAATAGAAATTAATCTCTTTCTCGATAACACTTGCTTTTTTGAAGCAATCTTCTTCTTGGAGTGTCACAACAGCCTTCTCTACAAGTCTTTGTCGAGCGTCTCTACATTTGGTCCTCCAATTTCAGGTCTTCTCAAGACACCATCTAAGACGAGGTTTGAAGTGAAGCTTATAATTTATTTTTTTTGTAAACAACATATGAATAAACCTTTCTGTATCGGATCGGATGCATCAAAATTTGGTCCGCGTTTCAGTTGTATTGGAATGTACTACGATATTTTTCCTTTTCTTAATATTTTTCGTATTTAATTGTTATAAATATTTTTTAAAATTTCCATGACGCTTTCGTTTAGAATTATGTTTAATATAGTTTTCAGTTCTATATAGTTTCCTAACTTAAAAGATTTTAATCTATTTAAAAATCAAGGCATTAACTAACGTACTTCCTTCTTCAATGACTCTCCACACATAGGTAGAGAGTTCCGCTCTACGCCACCTGTAGCCTTTTTCGATCGCCAATAGTGCGATCAAGCTCTCTTTGATATTCAAGTAGCACATTTCCGTTATCTTTTTAATAAACAATATTATCAAGAGAATCTAACACTTACTAGGAAAAAGTATAAGACCTTTAGAATTAAAATTCTAATATCACCGAAAGATGTATTCGTATGTTGCTAACAAAAACGAAATGACGCGCTTCACTTTAGACCTCGTCTAAGATGGTATCTTGAAAAAGACTAGATATTTTGAAAACAGAAAATTGGAGCACAAAATGAAGAGATGCCTAGAAAAGACTTAAGGAAAAGAACCCACACAGGGCTGTAGTGCCATCGAAGAAGATAGCCCCGAAAAGACTTATTTTCGTTATACTTCTATGGTATAATGACTAAGTAGAAACCTTTATGAAAAAAAGTCCATCTGTTCCGAAAAAGCGTCTCTTATCGATTGCCTCATCTGGGTTTAATGACCTCGTTTCCAAATCGCTGGTCAGAATTTTTATTGACTGCACCATCCGAGTCCAATGTTCTCGTTTCCAAATCACTGTTTAGATTTTTATTGATTGCATAATCTGGGTTCAATGACCTCTCTTCCAAATCACTGTTTAGAATTTTATTTGATTGCATCATCTGGGTTCCATTATATACTTGTGATATGTCACTATTGTGGTGTCCCGTAATTTATTTTGATATATGTAAAAAGATATGCATAGCGATTTTATAAATGTATTATAATTTCTTTCCGAACGCGAGAAAAGACTATTCTATAACGATACCATTCTCCTTTTCTTTCTGAATTATGATGCAATCATCGCCCTCTTCGATCAATTGATTCAAAATGTAGGAATTTTGTTCTCCAACATTTTTTTAAAAATCTTTTTCAGTTAGCGTATTTATGCAAGTAGTTTTTGGATGCGTACCAAAGCAATACCCTAAGTCGTTAAAATCAGCTGGGCAAATATCGATATTGCAAATGGGACATTTATTACATTACCGAATCGACCCAGGCAAGATGCACGTAGTACGTGCTCGCAGATTGTTAAATGGTACACAATTTTTTCTTTTACTTTTGAAGATTAGTTTGCACAATACTGTTGCTACACAAATTCGAGGTTCGTAGCACATTCCAGAGCTGTGGCAAACGGTTTACCAATTACAGGTTTTTTGATACGACATTGTTTTATCGATTGTTTTTTCACGAGACTGGCGCTAGCTCCATAGAACGGCGAAGTTATATTTTCAGGGGGGGGGGGAATTCCCATACTATATACTGCGGTAATAGTTTTTTTTATACCTTGAAATTTGGATGCGAACCAAAATATTTCTATTTCGCTTTTTAAATCGAATAGAATATCATAGTTCAATAGTTGTTTCACATATTTGTAATGCTAATAAAATAAGAATGCATTTAATTAAAATAGTGATGCATAGTTGCATAATTTTATATCTGAAATTTCAGTCATTAAAAATTGATTTGCAGAGAAGTATTAAATTTTGATTAGATTTACGCTTTGAGGTGCAAAATAGTGAAACTCAATGCGTTTCCAAAAATAGTTTTTTTTTTCACCTTTTTAATCATAAAAACTTATAGTTAATTGTTATGTTTGAATAAATGTCTTAAATCCTAAAATTTTAATTTATTTTTTGTGGAGAAAATTCACAAAACAAAAGATGTTCCTAACATTGTTGCAACTTCTCAATTGATTTAGTTTTTTTTTCTTTTCAAAATGAAATTTTTGGAATTCGATTGTTTCCTGGGAATTTGAATCTGCTAACTTTATTTATTTTTAAACATTTTACAGAACAATCAAATTATGACAGCTCCTACCACTTTCTTGAGATAACCAATATATTTTATAAATTCTGCATACGTAGCATTTTTTATATTACCAATGTGAAAATATAAAGAAGCTTAATATTTTCTTTTCTTAAATTGATAACAATATTATGAAACAACATTTTGTGCATAATAAAACACTATAACAAATTCTATGCTTTAGAAATAAGCACAAACAATGTACTTCTTCTCAGCTTTCCTCTAATAAATAAAAAGCAAAGTTAATTTTTCTAAGCCTGCATAAGAAAATATGCAATAGAAATTTAAATAAATTAGGCTATTAGCTTGAGAGATATTGCATTGATCTCACTAATACTTTTTTGGAACTAATTTGGTGAATGATAAGGGTAATTATGAGACAAAGTGAAAAACCCTGAAAATTTTTAGGCACTTGCTCGACATCAAGATATAAATTTATAAACCATACATGTTACATGTTTAACATAATTTTTTGAGCTAAGATTTATAACTAAATTACCTACCTAAACAGAATATCACATTTTGATAGTACCTAATTTAAGAGAAAACTTAGTTCTTACTAGAACTGTAACAATGGATTTTAAAATCGTGTGAATAAGAACCGCGATATTGGATTTAAAAATGTGAAAATACAAATTGCGATATTGGATTTTTAAATCGTGCGTATACCTATCGCAATGCGTAGCTTTTAAATCACGAAAATCGATGTTTGATTTTATGTCGAATATGACTCGCAATATTGTATTTTAAAAATGTGTGAATTCGAATCGAGAACTGTCATTTTCAAATCGGATAAACACGATTATCGATGTTTGATATTAAACTCACGTGAATATGAATCAAGATATTAGCGGATTCCAGTTCAGTTACAGATATTCAAAATGGTGAAAGCTTGCCAAACGAAAAGAATTAAATTGGTGGATTTCACATGTATGTAAATGTCCCATTTGTAGAATTAAGTGAAAATTTAAAATTCAAACTGTGGAAATTTTGTCCGATTATTAGTTTTTGATTTGCGGAAGTCCGCGAACATGTCCCTCTCCTAGTTTTTAGACTTGAAAGGATGATACGAAAAACCCAAAATTCCAGGGTACACCAGGAATACAATCCCTAATGACAGAGGTGGAATAATAGTGATGAAAACATACATTTACCACTTTTCAGAATTACATCTTTATAAATCTTTCTCGTTTGATGATAACTTTATTATTTCATGAAAAATAAAACAATAGAAATTAAAATCAAGAATTTCACAGTAAGGTCAGCAGGGGTAAAGTGAGCACATGTGGTAAAGTTGGGGTACATTAAAAAACACATATTTTCTCCTTTTGAATCAAGATGATCAATTCATTCTTTTTAGAGACATATACTAAGAGTGTAGCAAATATTTTAATTTTAGAAACTGATAACAAGTTTAATGTTTACAAACTATCTGTTTATGATCAACACATACAGTAAGTTAGATTAAGTCGATAATGAATTTCTTCTAAAATTATTACAAATTGGCAAAAACTATTACAGTTTTAATTAAGACTGGTAGAGGGACATCTAAAAAACAGATCAACATAGAAAGTTTAAAAAGTCTGAATAAAGATTTTGAATTATCATGAACTGTTAAATTGGGTGTATGTGTAGGCTTTGCTAGGTATTTTTTACCTTTGTGTTAACTTAAGTAAATATTGAATGCTATGTATTTTATAATAAAAAAGCTGGAAAATAATTTACTTATTTGTTTATAACCCTACATAGCAAATTTAATAGTGAAGCACAATTTCTTTAAAATTTTATGCTCTAAACAAAAGAATGATCAGGGAAATTAGAACAGAATACTGAATCCAATATTGAATGAATAAGATCCAAGTAGAACAAAAAATACTGAAAGAGTGTAATGATGCAATTTAGTCAGTAAATTCAAAGACATAAAAATAGTTTTCATGCAAGTGTTTGTCTACATAGAGCAGTTAAACAATTTCCACAATATAACTAGACAATAAAAATACATGCTGTTGCATATAGTAACGACTATAAATATTTATTTCTACACTGTTGTTCATATTTCAAATATGCCAGAAAATAAAACACTTTTTTTTTTTTACTAATTTCGATGATTTTGAGTAAAATTTAGTTGAATATTCTGCATCTTAAGTGAAACTTACTTTTGATAGTCTTTAATACTTTAATTTAATAGTAAGAATTTTTTTTTTTTGGAATTTTACTTATGTATTTTTAGTCATTTGTACTATTACATATAGAATTTAAATACAATTTTAATACATTTATTTAAGAACAATCTTCAAAATAATCGATATTCAAAAACAATATTTACATATTTTTTTAGACATACTCTGTCTAAATTTAGAATTAAATGTCAAAACATATTCTTTTGAATGCATAATAGTAAGAAAACAATCAAACAAAAAAAAGTTTGCTTCATTTTTAATCTAAATGAATTCAATTCACATGAAATCAATTAAAAGTCTCATTAAAATAAAATCAATAGCTAGGTTCACAGAGCCTTTTATAAAAATATATAAATAAAAGCTTGATCATAGCTCCACTTTTTCCCACCTGACATTTCACACAAGATTATCAAAAAAAGAAAAAAAAACAAGCTCAATATACATGTATTTTACATTTTTATGTACAAATAGTATTGATGATACAAATCATTCAATCCAGTAATTTTTTGAAGCAGAACACATCAGACAGTGAGAGTTACTCTAATACAGTAATCTCAGCAGTGAAACTTAGAAGAGATCATGGGAAGACAGCTCGGTAAAAAACTTTTACAACCAGATTACAATAGAAGTAATTTTCCTTATGATATTTCATGTCGGATATTGTATTTACCAGACTGTAAATCACTAATCCCTATCCTTGTCCAACTTCCATCTTGCTTTTGCAAAAGAACTTCACTAGTATTAACAGATATCACGTGAGCTCTGCAATGAATGAATTTGTTCACATTAAACAAATTAATTATAATATATATGGTGAAAAACTTGCACTATTTACACATTATCAATAAGAGCAATAACAAACACAGAAATATGTTTTAAAATAATACAGTCTATTCTATTTAATAGAAACATATACTGGGTGACTCAAACTAATGTTAATTTCTCAAGATTTTCCATTGATAATAAAGTTAAAATTTTATCAATAATTTAACATCTGCTTTAGGTTAATTCACAATTTGGTACAAAATAAGTTTCCTTTTTTTTTAGTTGATAAAAGTTTTCCAATTTTTTAGAAGTTACATGTGAAAAACTGAAGATAAAACAATAAAATTAAATGGGCTGGATTGTAGTTGCAAGCTATGAATAATATTTATTATTGATAATGAGCATTCATCACACTCTTATTCAGCTTTTTCCAAACATACACTATCAAGCCTAGTGAATCAACAGTAGAATCAAGAAAAGGCCACGGGCATGATGTTGGTGTGTTTCTCATAGTTTGGCCTGAGTTCTTTTGTTCCTGTGCTTGGAAACATGAACACTGAGATGTATCTGGACAATGTTGCTCTCCCAACTCAATTTACACCCCGATAGTTGCTCAGTAACAGTTTGGAAAAAAAAATTGGGTGTTAAAAAACATGTCTATCCTTCTCAGTACCGTGATCTACCTACCGGTTAGAACGCAGGTTATATGGTCACTCAATTTTTAAATGATATTTTTAAGACATTAATTTAAAGTTTTATAATTTTAGAATTAACCTTACAACTACGTTTCTAATAACTAACTATCTTTATACTGACAAATTATTCTTATCGATTTAAAAATAGTTGTAAAACATTTCCTTTTAAAACTTAAAATAAATTGTTCAGAAATCATTTTAGATGCAAAAAATATACAATTTTTAGATAGAAACTTATAAAGTAGAAACAAGAAAACAATAAATTGTCTTAGAGAATTTCATAAAACATTAAAAAAATTTACTTAACTAGTAACTTTCTTCATCATAGTTACAGTTAAACGCAGCAAATTTTGTTCTATAAATGATTTAAACTGCGAGTCAGCAGTTAGATAATCTACTTATGCTACTGAAGATAGTTATGAGTACAGTTAATTAATAACCTTTAACATAAATGAATAATTATGCATGGATACATACAATTTTTCCCCACTCTATGTAACAATTGCATAATAACTCAGATTTGAAGAAAAAAAAAGACTTAAAAAAAGAATGTTCATAATTAACTTGAAAAGGTTAATAATGAACAAAATGAGACATTGCAAACAAAGGAGAAATTTATTTTAAAGAAATAAGAAGATAATAAAAATAAAATTAATGCGTAAAATGTAGATAAATTAATGTGTAAAAAAATAAACATATCTTACAGCCATGGATTTTCGATCTTGTCATCTATGTAAACACTTTCTCCTTTTCTAAAACTATCTCCTTTGAAAAGCAATTTTCCATCCGCAAAACGAGCATTAACCCGTTGCTCAGGAGCATTGAATTCATCTATAGATAGCATATTTGGTATTAATATAAAAGTTTCTTCACATAAAAGCAATAGATAAACATTTTGTGAGAAATATGCCATATAAATTGTCTTTTATACACAAAATATATTTTTATACATTTATTAGATTTATAAATTTTATAATGAAAGTAAATTTATCAGAAAAAATGCCCTCAAAAAGGGCATTTTTTTACATTTGAAACAAAGGCAAAAATTTACATTTTGGTTTTCAGCTCAATTAATAGTTCACTCCAATATGCCACAAAATGAGAAGATGAAGTGTTCTAAAATCTAACTTTTTAAGCATTAGAAACTAATTATTTCATTTAATCTATTCTAGAATTATTTAACAAAAATTCTAAGATATTATGAAGACCCTTAAACCAATGTAGTTTTCAGAACAAAGGGAAATTACATTTGCTCAAAATACTAAATTTTTTTTTTTTAAATTCTTAAATTATTCTCTATGCAAATATGCCAACCTGCTCTGGACAGCAAAAAAATATTTTAAAGTGGTAGTTTATCAATTGTTATTCTCGGTTTAATAAATTCAATTTAGTAGATTTTTATCCAGAACTATTTCTAAATAATTCGTAGGCTTATATTATTTACCTCTTTATGGAACTTATGCCATGCTATACCTTCTAAAAAGCAAGCAAAAACACTCAAATATTTTCAAAATTTGCTTTGTAGTTACTCACCGTTTTTTTTAATTATTTTGGCGTGTCCGGAGCAGTTGGCATCTCTGTCTATGTATAACTCTCAAATAATAATAAATACCTTATTTATGTGTAATCTATGTCTACTCTACTTTTAACTGTTAAGATTGTGCTCCTTGATTTCTCAATTTTAAAATATATTTTATACATCTGAAAAAACTGATCTATTTGATAAAATAGAAATATGAGATTATTTTTATCCTTAATTATAACTTTATTCATACTTATTTGTTGACTTAATTTGTTCAAATTTAGATGCAAATACAAAATAATGGCTTCACTAACGATTAAGCATTACAAATTACAACAAAACTTTTTTAACTGTCGTTAAACAAGGCAGAGAATTTTGTTTTCAAATGTTTATGCATACATAAATACTGCATTTTCATTAAAATTAAGCTAATCTAATAAAATTAGGCTTTTGTTTTCAAATGTTTATGCATACATAAATACTGCATTTTTATTAAAATTAAGCTAATCTAATAAAATTAGGCTTTATCAATCAAATTCTGAAAATTAGTGAAAGCATATTCATTTAGGGTTCTTACTTATCACTTTATATATCTTTAACATATTATACATAAGGTTTTTATTATTTAACAATCATAAGAAAATAAGTTAATAAGCTATATTTATGTATAATATAAATATGCACTTTTAGAAATTCTGACATGTAAACTTATAGAGCAGATAATTGCGCGCGTCTAACGGAAGGTTAATAAGAAGGAATTATTTAAATTACAATATGTGACATGCAAAACAACAGAAATATGGCATGCAGAAGATAATAAAATCATTTTTAATATTAGTAACCTGAACAAATCTGTGACTTGTGTTATAATTTTCTTTTACAATGCATTAAAGTGAAAAGGCTGTAGGCTGATTTAGAGAAAAATATGCTAAGGGGGAAATCAATACAAACATTGTAAAAATAACTACAAATTACAAATAATTAAATTAGGGAAAATAATAAATTGTCCAAAAATCAACTTACAATCGCTACCTTGCTTTGAAGCTTTTAAAGCCTATAAAATATAAAAGAAAATGAGATCTAGATACGTATAATTAAGTCATGAAATAGGGAATGATGTAGGGCAATATTTACTTTTCTAATAGTAGTCCAATCTTCAAGAATTTCATTTTCTTGTAACATATATATAATGTATGGACGTAGTATTTATTAAGGAAAAAATAGAAATTTTTACATATAAGATACAAAAGCTTACACTACATGAATAAAAATTCATTAATAAGAAATTCTTGATAAGATAATTATAAATTTTAAAGAATTAGTGAAAAATAAATGACAAATAAATGAGTTTAAGTGACTTAAAGTTTTTAATATAGATTTTTTTCTATACATGAAATAGAATATAATATATTTTCTTTTTCTAAAGCACTGCATTTGTTTCTCAACCAAAGCTGCCTCAGCTAGTTTTCTCTAATAATTCAATCTCTATAGTAACAATTATCGTTACAATATTTAAACAAGTGAGGATCAGTAAAAATAACTGTAATAGAAGGAATCAGAAAAGTTGCAGAGTTCTATTATATTTAGGCATTACTTGTTTTAAGAGAAAATTCATATAATAACTTGTCCCCCAAACAATTTTTCCTACATTGAATAACAGAAATAAAATTATTGGTTGAGATGGAAGGTATTTATGATTTAATCAGAACACTTATTTTAGGATTAAACGTTAAAAGATTTAAGCAGGTATCAGAAGATACATAAGAACAGTAAAAAAAACTTAAAGTACAAAGATTAACACCTAGAACAAATTTTTAAAAGCACTAATTATTTACTTTATGAATTTAATGGCAAAAAGAATAGACACAACCTTTCATAAAAGACTAATAAAAAGCCTCCTTACAGAAAAAGTTTTACATTTTCTTAAGATTAAAGTCGTAAAAGTAAAGTTGATCAAGTTTGATTTACAGCAGGTGGCAAAAGAGTAAAATACAAATGAGAAGTGACATTAATTGACCATAATTCCTCATGTATTATTGGAGTGAAATTTAACGAGAAAAATGACATGCTGGGAATAATAATCTGGCAAATGTAATAAACTTTAAAAAGTGTCTAAGAAATTAATGACTTTAACTACGAATTGAGGTAATGAAGCAAATATCTAAGAGTAAATTGTCTTGGCAATCTAATTTTGGCAGTTCTCTGATAGAAGTCTCTCGTGATCCTGTATAACATTTATAGTTCTGTTAAAAGCCTAAACTGTAAATCACACATTATTCATTTTGAAAGTAACATTAAATAAGTGAATGATAAAAAGGATATCTGTAACAGTGACTGGCTTTTTTCTTTTTCCAGCAGAACTATGTGATTCACTTTTTCTTTTGCCCTTTTTATAGATTGTTTGCTCTATCCAAACTTCTGAAACAAAGTTTAATATGAAACAAATGTAAAATTTAAAACAAATATAGCACTTACATAGTCCACCTTTTAAAAATAATATGATTTGATGGCCACAATTTAAGCACAAATTACTTTTATAAATAGTTGCTTATAATTTGTTGTTTCTTGCAACAAAATAATAGAACATATGAAAAAAAAAAATAGAAAACATTTTATAAAATCACATTTTTGCAATTCATCACAATGGGGTTATAATTCTTGCACTAGGAAATCATGGAGGAAGATTACTAAGGAGAATTAGTTCTTAAGTTTTGAAGTTTGTGAAATATGAAAAAACATTGATAGCGAAGATATTGTTGAATTGAATTATTTTTACTTATGAAAGCATTTTCGATATACTTTCGGGAGACTCTTTTGAAAATATTGGTGATTTCATTTCTGAGTCTAAATAGTACAGAATTATTTCTTTTCCTTTTTACCAACCACGAATGCTTTATTATTATTATATTTATTAAAAAGATCGTGACTAGAAATTACCATGACCTAATAATTCAAAATTTCAATAAAGGATGAGTAAAAAAACTGCCACTGATCATGTTAAGAAATCTCCTATTTGGCTATTTATCAAAATATCATAACAACTACCAATAAAGTGAAAGTTAAGTGATTTAAATATTTAGAGGGAGAAAAAAAAAACTCCATAGATATTTCTTAAAAAAAAATGTCATTCATCAAAGTAAACTTGCACCTAACACTTATTAAAAATATTAATTTCCTATAAATTTTCTTATACAGGTGGGATATATTTAAAGAATAACGATTTCTGCTAGAGGTGTTTTTCTGAAACGAAAGAGTTAATGAGTCTATTTATACCGGATTAGAAAATTTATGAGTTACATGACATCAAAAGGATATGAAATACGTAAGTTATATTAGTAGCAAGACAGAAATATACAATATCTTTCAATACACGATCTATTTTTCAAGTAGATTTACCCAGCTTGCAGTAAGACAAGCATAAACACTCACTAATTAATGATGTTGTTGCTACCAGAATGATTGCAGGAACTTCTTTAAAAAATTATGTTTCCTAATACTCTCTTTGACAAAATTTACAAAGAAAAAACTTTTTTCAAATTGTGCTAGTTTAAAGAAATATATATATATATATATATATTCAACTTTTAGATTTGGTCAAATTTTTGTTTGTTTCACTTTTGTTAAACTATCTCAAAAGAAACCTTACTTATTTTGCATTTTACATAGAATCATCATTACTGCACGCACACATTGAAAAATATTAGCTTCAAAGAAGTAAACATAGCTGAAGAAATACTAGGAAAATATGCCTCATACAATATTTTAAAGATGTCTTCAGTATTTTTACAAATTTACTTATGTCTTCCTACTTAATTATTTATTTATTTACCTTTTTTGTGCTGAAGATTCGGTAGATATTTTATAAAAACAAATATTATTCAATTCCCAAAAAGGTAAAAAAAATTACTTTTTGTTATTAAATTACCTGAGGTAATGTCAACACTATTTCTATCTTCCTCCAATCTTCTAATTTTTTCTTCCAGATCACTACTTATACTATCCCACATTAAAGCTTTTTCACTCTGATAGGAAAATTGTAAAAATATTATAATAAAAATAAATGCACACATAAAAAAAAATGAATCATAAAATACATTTAAGCTCACTTGTAATACATTAATAAAAGTTTCAATAATTTCCTCACTGTTATGGGCAGAATTAAATACTAAAAATAATTTATTATTAATTTAAATTTTGGTCAATTTTCTGATTAGTCAAGAGCATTTAAAACTAAGCTGAAGCTTAGCAACAGATAATAATTAAAATTTCAATCGTTAAAAATAATTTTTTATTGTTTTTCTATCACTGAATAGTATTTATCATCAATTGAAATTACAACCACTTTCTGCTCTGTTTAGCAACAGCACTAATGTTTCAACTGGAGCTCTGTGATTGATGATAAATAGGATAATTATAATTTTTTCGCTATTTTAATACCAATCAAAATTTTGACCACTTTCTAACATAAGTAACTAAAAGGGACCACACTAAAAAGGAGAAAATAACATGTTTTATTATATAGAGTCTTTAAAATAATTATATTTTAATGATAAATAAGAAAATAATTTATTTTTTACATGCTTAAAATAAAAAAGATAGGATGCACCACTATAATAGCAAAATAGTTAATGAGCATCTTCTGCTGAGGGTAAAATAATGTTTTAATATTCTTAATAATAAACTATTCAACACTATTTAATTTTTATTAAGCAATAAACAGTCCTATATATGTGTGTGTTATATAACTGTTAAAAAAAATCTTAGTAATCAGAAATATTTAACTCTTCCCTATAAAGGCTAAAAGGGAAGGAAGAAATGATTTTCTAACCAGCTTTTACCCTTTTACATCTTGATTTTTTAAAAAGCTTGATTTTCAGCCTTAATTAAATATTGACTATAAGAAAGAATATTATATCAATAAAATCATTTTGTATTTAAAGATTACTATTTTTTTAAACTCAAAATTACACATTTTGAACAAAGACAACGGATAAGTACTATCTGATAGCTTGAAAGTACTAAAGCAAAACCTTGCTCCTCACACTTTTCCATCATTACATCACACCTATCTGTGTGGGCAGGTAGAAAACAAACCCTACATTGGCAGTTATCGCTGATGTTGGTGAGAAAAAGTTCGTAAAAAATAGGTGCAGATGAATAACAAATCATAGCTGCGTGCTTTTTAATACAGAATTATTTCTAACATTAAAAAGGAATTATAACCAAATAAAAGAATTATAGTGTTATTTGGAAACAATGAGCTGGATTGCCCAAAAAGCCAATATTTATAGTTGAACGAATGTTTATAACTTGAAAGTAGCAGTGATTCGGTCCATACTCTACTGGCTATGTGATAGAAAACTTATCTATTCTTTGCTTTCAAAAAGAAACTTGAGCTGTTTTATATTATCCTATAATGCATGGTTCAATCAGAAGCTCATGTGATTACAAAGATAAATAAAATAAATGTAAGACAAATATAAACCAAAAAAGCATTATACATATATATAAATCGACAGCACGGATGAACTAAAAGAATGAACAGTATTTTTAGTCAAAGACATGGCAGCCTGACATCTCTAAGCCAAAAAAAAAAACTGCTAAAGGACATGTATTTTCTAATGGGAATTGAACAATACATAGTGTTATATGCAGGTCATTTTGTGCCTTTCTTTTTACTTTTTTCCAATACAAACATACTCACATATTCAAAGCATAGCTATAAAAACTTACTTCTAAATTTTGTTTAGAGGCCTGATATTCAGCATCGACTATATGTTTAACATTAACCTTTCTTAAGTCCTTTAATATATCTATAAAGAAATAAACCAATAGTTTAACATTCGCAAGGCTAACACAACCATGTACGAAGAAATCATTTTACAACAATTTTGCAGTATAAATATGAATATTTAAAAAACACAGAAACGAAACAGTTTCCGTAAAAATATTCACACTTAGGTAAGAATTTTTACTTTCTTACATAGTATACACAGATTCATAACCATGTATTCTCACATGGTATGCACAGATTCGAAAGGTTGAGGCTCCATCAAATTTTCTCTCATACAATATTTTTTTTTAAATACAACATTTCAAATACAAGTTATGAACAAATATATAAATATTTACTGCAAAGTGAAAATGTAAGCATCAAAAATTGATTTATGATTAACATTACTTCAGGATCAATATGATAAATAAATCTTAAAGAAATTAAGAATAAAATACTATATATAATTTAGTTTCACAAATTGGGCTTTTACGTTTAACAATATGCTTATTCACATAATGCTACATTAAATGAAATAATACACAATGAAAATTCATAATCTAAGACATTTTTATAAACATAATAGATTTATTAACTATTGTTAAATGTTATTAAATTCATCGTCAATATAATGTTGTAATTACCAGCAACTTCTAACCGAGTTTCCAAATTTTGATGAAGCTCTTCCAGTGGTTGAGTATATTCTAAAGCTATACCAGCTTTTACTTCCTCTAATCTTAATCCAATTTGAGAGCTCCTTTCCTCATACAATCTAAAATTTAATAAAGGATTAGCCATTTATGTTATACATATTGCAAAAAGAAAACAAAACAAATAAATGCTAAGCACTGAAAGAAAAAAAAACCCTAAAAAATACAGTAAAAATACAAACTATAACTTTTTTAAAAAAAAGAATATTTATAAACAGCCATCAATACTTTTTAATTGATTATCTACAACCAGACAATGTTTTTAGTAACAAAACTATGAATCATAATAAAAAAGAAAATTTAAAATTTTTCTTCTGAAAAGTACCCTTTTCATATAAGTATTAACGTGAATTACAGAAAATTTTATTAAACACGCTTTTGTAACTCATAACCAGATATTATAATTCTGAAAAATAAATTTAATGAGCATAATTAATTTAGTCAAACATTCCCGCAAACAACACTTATGTATTACTCATTACAACTTTTATAAATAAATAATATCTGTGCAAAAAAGACAAAAATTTATTTTGTACAAAACATACAAAAAAATACTAAGTGGTTGACTGACTTTTTATTAACTGAATTAATATAGATCATGACGCAACTTTTTATTACTAATAATTTTAAACAAACATGTTACATGTTTCAAACATGTTTTGAAATATTTTTTTCAATAAAAAGTGAACCATGCATATTACTAACTATATATTTTTTTAATTACAACACGTTTAATCACAATAGAAATATTATGAAATTATGGGACATGCATTAAATTAATAAGTATACAGTTGAAAAATAAAAATAAATAGAAAAAAAAACTTATTTGCTGTAAAGAATTTTGATGTGTTTAATTAATATTTTTGCATATTCTTATTAACTGTCATATAAAGGCTTAAACATGAATAAAAATGAAACATACTGCTCTTTCATAAGTATAAATTGTTTTTCCAACTCAGCCATTTGAGACAAACAGTCACTCCGCCTACGGATGCAAACATCTTCATCCATTTCTAAAATGTAAAGATTAATGTCAGAAAATGTAAATCAATTGCAGCAAAAAGAAATATATAACAAAATTAATAAAGCATTGAACATATGAGTTTAATTTTAAATTAAACTGAGAAAAAGTTTAACAAATAGAAACATACAGCTTAAAAAAGAAAAAACACCAACAATGTTTTTTAGTGTGAAATTTCACCTAATTTTAAAAATTTGCCATGTTTTTTTTTCTTTCTTTTTTCAAAATGGAAACTATTGAATATTTGGCTGAAATTTTTCTTTTAGCAAGTTTCAAAGTTTTAAGTAGAGTTCGTTTGTTTTCGAAATTTAATTTCAAAAATACCCATGAAACAGATATTAATTTTTCTCTTGTACTCTTTGCAAATGTACTCAATTATTTACAAATTTTTTGAAAATACTTTCAAAACAAAAAAGTAAGCTCCCGAGTTTTACTATTGTAGATAATACATTTTACTAAAAAGTTTAGAATTTCATGAAAAATTATGTCTATTTTAGATTTTGTTTGTACATTTTTTCCTTTAAATGTGGTAGTAAAAATGTGAAAGTTTGAATTAACAAATAAGATGTGTTTTACAAGTTAAGAAAAACTTTTTATAAGTTAAAAATGGAAATACATCTATTTTATTAAAGATGACAGTTTAAAAAAATATTGATTTGCAAACATTTAAGCCAAAGCCCAAAATGTGAGAAACCTACAAGTAAAATATTTATATTTTAAATGGTTAAAAATAATAAAAATAAATTTTTTCTTTTTTTTTTAATTTGTAATATTTAAAGAATAAGAAGAAAATTATTATGTAATAAAGGAAAGAATTATGTATAGTAAAAAATATAAAATATTTTTATGGTGCTAAAGATTAAGTAATAAGTTATGAAGAGAAAAAATAAAAAGAAGAGAAACTAATGTTTCTTGAGCATTATAAAAATAAACGGAGATAGAAAAGAAAAAAATAAGAGTTCAAAAATTCGAATGCGATAATTTTTTAATAGCATTCATGAACACAGTATTCAACCTTTAATTAATTTTTAAAAAAACTCATGCTACACTGTATGTAGAAGTTTAAAAAAAAAATCTAAATTATTTTACCTGAACTGTCATCATCATCAGAATCAGAGCCAGAAGTTGAATCTGTGTCATCATTGCTAGATTTATCACTTTCAGCAGTTTCTTGGTCAAGTTCCTCCCCATCACTATCATTCATACTTTTTACACCAGGCATTTTTAATGAAAATTCTAAAAAATAATTTTTTAAATAAAATTCAAGTTTTTAAATAAAACTCTTACAGTATTCTAAAAGTGGAAAAAAGTTATTTGCAGATTTTTCTTGGAAATGAAACAGGTTTAATTTATATTAAAGCATAATGAATGATAGTTCATAAATGTCTTTTTTAATTGAATGTTCACAGATATAATTAAAAAATAATAGGAACTCCATTTATTTAATAGTAATGAACATTTTTATTATCATTTAACACATTTAATACACACATAATTTTCAATTAAGTGTGTTAATTAGTACAGTGCAGATCCTCTTATCCGGAAATCAGAAAACCGGAATGAAATTCGGAACCGGAAATTAATTTTCTTCCATTAAAAAAAATTTTTTTTTCCCTGCAAGATTTTGAGCCCATTTTGTTATTTACAGCGTACTGTGTTTCGAGTTGACGAAAGAACTGATTTAGAGGACGGATCAAAAGCCGTTTGTAGATGAATCTCACGTAAGCACAAATAGCTTATATATGTTATTAATGTTAATAATAACATTAATAACATATATAAGCCTGCATATAATTTTTATTTCATAATTTCTTTCCTTATTTAAACTTAAGTGTATTATTATTTATAATTTTTTATTATTTCTAAAACTATTTCAAAATAATTTTTTAGTTTAATTTTATAAACATTAAAAAAAACGGTATTTTGTAGCGATTCAGAAAATCGGAGAAATCTGTTATCCGGAATCGCGATGGTCCCGACAGTTCCGGATAATCGGTTCTCTACTGTAGTTTCCAATTATGGCTTGGTACAGAATTGAATTCTGTGTAACTTGTAATAGTGAGTTCAAAAGTTTCTTTACAAAAAAAAACTTATCTCGGAAGAAAAAAATTAATAAAACACAGTAAAATGTTTCTTGGCTTGTAAATAAATATGAGTTTGTATAACATTCTAGATACATTTAATTTCCAATTGTAAACAATTTTAAAATTTTGCTTAATAACATTTCTTGCAAGAGTAGAATTCAAAATTTACATTTTTACCCACTAATAGTCTGGTTTTAGGTATTCAAAACATGTGAACCATTTTGAATTTTTATCCTTGCTTGGATTTCTCGGGATTACTTTACGTTTTAGTATAAATTTTATCATTGTGTAAAACAGCTAAACTTGATCATTAAAAATGTAAATGATTTATGTTGTTGCAACAAATTGAGTGCAAAAGATGTCTCAGCTTATACCTTATCATTGTAATAGGAAAAGATGTTGTAATGTATGCTCTCTGGACAATAATTTGAATCAAAAACAGAGTAAACACATTATGTAAAATACTTAGTTTAAAGTGTATGAAGACTTTTGTATTCTTATACCTTAAATAGGGCAAGGCGTTGGGAAACTAAAAAGACACTAGACTAGACATGAACTATATATATACCTATATACATGAGCATGCCTAAATTACAATACTCTAATTCACAGTTCCAGCATAGTAACATTGTATTAAAAATATCTGTTTGAAAAATCCCACAAAGATATAAAATTGCTAAAGAAACAATAGTGATATGAATAAAAACATTTTAAGGGTAGTGCACTGTGTTGACTAAAGGGTAAATAGTGAAACCCTTTCAAAAGAAATCTGAAGCCTTTCAAGTTGCCCTCAATTATCAAAAATAGAATTTATTCCATTTAAGCAGCGAAACCTTTATAACATGATCATTGTGAGTATTAACCAGTGAAATAAGTAAAATTTGCCGAGTGTTGTTACAAAACACAACTAGAAAATTTTCCTATGCTGACTAGGGAAAAATAGTTTGTTTAACTATAGTTTCTATGCCATTTTGAATTCCACTTCAAGTTTGCCCTCCAGGACAAACTAGAAATGAAATATTTACTCTTTAAATAAATCTATTCATCTCATTCTTATGTTTTTTTAATATAGCTGTTTGAACAACTCATTTAAAACAGGTGACAATCCAAAAGCATTTCTTCCAATAGCAATTAGCATTTTAATAAATGAATTCATTGAAATATTCCATGATCTGTTTCCTTGAATGAATAGTGACATTTAATTAAAGATATTCTTGGAGACAGAGTGTGATAAATTTTTATCTGAAATGAGTCATGAAAAAGAAAACTAGTTGAACTCTTAATCGATAAAAACAAACTTAAGAAACATAAGATAATGAACAAGACAGAGAAGAAGCCATCACTGCTAACATTGAGATAACTACTTAAAATTTTTTAGAAGGTTTAGACTGTGTCCAAAATTTGACGGATATATATGTTTGTATTATAAAATATTATGCTGATGTAAATTCAAAGCAACAGCCTCAAATAAAAATAAGGAATTATTTTTATAACAAATATGTTTGTGTGACAAAATATTAAAATGAAAGAAATTTTATTTATGTTTTGTAATTGTACTTGTGCACTGAAAGTTTATGAAATTATTAATAATAAACATCTTGCTTGCCTTACTAACAAAATAAGATTTATAAGCTAATTAGTTTAGGGAAGATTTTCGTATCTGCTGCAGAATAATCACTAAATCTTGGCAACAGAAGACACCTTTGCGCTAACGTCTACATGCTTTTTTTTTTAAATTTTGAAGCTTAAAATCTATTTAGCACCTAAGCATTTCTAATTGGTTCGGCAGATCATGATACAAATATATTTTCTTAGTTCGATAAAATTATGGAAATTCTTTTAATTAATTCTGATAATAAAGCTCATTTCTAAAAACACATACATTGAGGTAGGGGAGGTTTCTGCTTCTCGATTTATCATGCCAACTACAATCACTAAATGGATTTTAAACAAGCAAATTTTTTTCCTAAAAACATATGCCACAAGATTTGGGGATTATTTTTGCGGATTATACGGAAATCTTCACTTGAAGTATTTTTTAAATAATATCTTAATGTCATGTTAAAGAAGTAGTTACATTTGTTTATACTATTTTTATAGGTGTGGTACAATGGAAATAAATTTATAAGAACAACATAAATTAAGGGAAAAAATGACTCGTTTCTCTCTATAAGTTGACCACTTTAGCAATGCACCACAAGTGGTCAACTTACACAGGTTTCACTGCATTAATAAGTGTCAATTTTTCAGTAATTACTGAAAAGATGTATACCAGATATAATCACAGCTTATATTTATAAGTCAGGCATTGCTTTTTATTGAAACATACGATATAACTAAATTATGGAACAAAATAACAGAAATTAATTGGTCATATATCAGATCCCATTCATTAATCGTAGTTTAATTATTGTCATTTATGAATACACTTTAATCAACACTAAAATGATAAACAAACAAAAGAAGAGTTGTCCCTTGTCCGCATTTTCCGTTAGAAAAAGGACATCAGAAGTTGCCATTACAAAAAAAAAAAAAGAATTTTCAAAAACCTTTTCCGCTTTAACCGCAACTTTAACTTTTCTGCGCTGTTTTATTTCAAAACAAACGCTATTTAGTTCGGTAATTATTTTTCAATTAAAAGGTAAAGAGAAGTTTCCACAAGTAATTTTTAAGTTATTAATAATAATTTGATTAAGTATTTTAATATAGTGTTAATTGGCACTTATAAAATTTTTATTCAGCTCTAATTTACCTTAGTTTATTTATCAATTTTTTTTTTAATGAAAAATCAAAGCAGTCTCATAAGTTAATAATCAATGATCAGAAAAATTTACCTATAATGAAACACTTAATAATGAAAAATATTAGTGGTGCGATTAATGACTCACTTGTTTTTTGAAGAACCTAATTTATTTTGTGAACGCGAAAAAATTTGTTTTTGTTTGCCATCTGTGTGGTATATTTATTTATGTTATGTCCTTGAGTTTTTCATTTGGTGTTGGCTTATTTTTGAAATTTTATTTTGTTTCAAATTTTAGCATGATTTCGAGTATTTTCTTCATTAGGTAATGTAATAAATAGTGATGGTTGACTTATGAGTTCTGTAATAAATAGTGATGGTTGACTTATGAGTTCAATCGTTTTTAAAATAAATGTTGTGATTACTATATGCATTGTTGTTAAATAAAGTGTCTGATGTTAAAATATATCTGTATTCTATTGCGATTGAATAATTCATTTAGTAATTTTTTTATTTATAAAGAAATTTTTAATCACGTAAAGTTTTATTGATTTTAGAAAGTTACTTTAAAGTTTTACAAAATTTAAAAATCAAGGTATTTTATTCAAAAATCTCTTAATGTTTAAATAACCTCTCTAAGTTATGTCCCAATTTAATTGTCCTTAGCTCCCATCCTATTCCATGGTAAACATAGATCGAAAAACCTGACATGAAAAGATGTTTTCAAAGAATAAATTATATCATAACAGTTTACCTTTAAAATAATAAAATTCTGCGACATTAGATACTGTATACCTTATTGCGTGTCATAACTACGCAATGTTTAAATTAATAATGAAATGGCATATATGTTACTAAATATGTTTGAAATTTTGTCACCACCTAAAATCATCAGGTACTGAACAGTTTAATTGTAGATGATTTAATTATATAAGTGTTGTGGTAGTCACTATCAGTTTAATTCAAATGTTGAATAATAAATTATATATATTAATTAAATAATAAACTAGCACTATGAAAATTTGAGAAAAAACTTGTTCCTACGGAAAAATTTGGCAGGCTTCGAACAATAGTTTGTCATATTTTCTTTCCCACGTAACAAGTTTGTCTTTAAAATATCGAAATCAACATCTTTAGTATCAATACCTTCCTCAGCAAAAGCATTCAGGAGTGATTCTCACCATATATGACAACTTACTGTAACATACACAGGAATCTTATATGATAAGCAGGGGTCTGTTTAGAAGAAATTTGGGTCCGTTAACGGACCCTTCGCAAAATATCTCTTCATAAAAACGGACCCTTCACAAATTATTTTAACTTGAAAACGGACCCTTCACAAAATAATTTATCTTTTAATCGGACCCTTCACAAATAAATTTGTTTATCTTCATTATTGTTTTGTTACTCGAATCAACCCTTCCCAGGAAGGGAGGGGGGAAAAAGACAGATGTAAGGGAACTAATTTTTGTCTTCGGCAGACGCTTCTTCCTTTATTCGTCCGAAATGAATATTCTGCTTTCAGCAGTATAGGCTAAATACCAAATATTTATGTGTTGCATCGCTAATTTAGTAGCTGCAATTGCTGTTTATTTTTATAAATTTAATTTTTTATTAATAATTTTGCAGTGATAAGCATAATCTTGTATGACTTTACCATTTAAAAACTCCTTGAAAAAGTTTTCTTGCAATAACGGAACCTATTTGCACAAATTCACAAAAGCGGACCCTGGTTGAAAGAATGTGACTTAACATTTATTTTATATTCACAAATTACGAGTAATTTTTTCACAATTTTACAAAAACGGACCCTTCACAAAATGTCTGAACAGACCCCTGATAAGTTTAATTGTACCATTATTGTTAGCTTTTATGATTTTAGACTGGTTTTAACAATTATATACGTTCAAAAATGTATTTTGTATTTCAAAACGTCATTTTTTTTTTTCAGATCACCAGAGATATTTTCCATAATTACTTGCTTTGGAACTGCATATAATCATTTTCTGTCTACTATTACAGTTCTAAATTGTTAAAAACGTTTGAAAATGTCATGGCACAAGTTTGCAATTAATTTCTGACACTTAAATGCGAGGAATTAATTTCATAAGTTTGTAAACAATGCTGCTTTCTATTCTTCTACGTTGCATTAATTACAGTTACTAAATTATTTTTTAAAAAAATAATGAAAAAAATTTTAAGTTTTTTTTTGTTAAAGTGCTATTTTCAAGAATTCAATTTTGTATTATTTTCATCATTCATTCTTTACAATTTTTAGAAATTGTAGTCAGAATTATACCAGATTTTAATAACTGCAAGCAATTCTATAACCATTTTTGCATACGAAATATAGTCTTTCGAAATATAGACTATGGATCAAGCTCCTTGTTTGTGAGATTTCAGATAGTGTTCCATGTTTGATATTTCAGATAGTGTTTCCATTTGCCAGCTTCAATTTAAAGGATTCATTCTGCTTCTTAACCATATCAGAACTTGCAAAATTCTGAAAATATCTTAAGCGGAATACCGTATTTGTAATAAAATTTTTGTAGGTATAGAACAAGTACAGCCCTGTGCTGCAGGACTGCAAATCGCTACCACTCAGCTACCGGACATCTTGTTCCCTAATCACTGGACTTTAAGTCATATCAGAAAAATGCTGAATAGGAAATTGAGCATTCCAATTGAGTTGTCGAAATTTTTTTTTGCAAAAGTTATTTTTAGTTATTTTGTAAGTTGCATTAAGTCATAGGAGTCATAAAGTCATTTCTGAAATTAAATAGTAACTTCGTGTGTTAAATCTTGTTTGAAGATCTTTTTATGTTTGAATAGATTAATGATAAAGTTCAAATGTTTTATAGGTTGCTCATTTTGTCTCTCTTTATTTAGGGTTTGATTAGGTGAAAAACTACTTACAGCTCCAAGATGATGAGGTACATGTTTATAATAGTTTTTTATAAAGTTATAAAGTGATATGATCTTATTTACCTAAAAGAAAGCTTTTTAAAATATTAAAATACTATTACTAAAAAATATTATTTTTAAACTTGCAACTTAAAGCTTAATAAATAACGCCCTAACTGTTATTTACTGTTTTTCTTCTTTACATAATTTAAAAGTTTTTCTATATTACAGTAAATAGAATAAAATTTAGATGCACATAATTATAATATTACAAAACAAGATTCATGAAATCTGTGAAAATAATTTTAAAAATATTCTTTCCTACATTTCTTGAAATTAATATTTTTTAGTTTTAAATACAGTGTTATAATTTATCTAACAGCCAGTATGTTTTCAGTTATAGTTCTCGGCTATCAACGCCACATTATGAGAGAATAAATAAAGAAGCTCAAAAAGTACCTAATGAGTGGAAGAAGAAAGTCAAATCAGAATATATGAAACTCAGGCAACTAAAGAGATTCCGCAGAAATGATGAAATTAAAGTATTCACTTTTCTGAATTCAACTGTTTTCAAAAGTTTGAATTTTTTGATTCCCAAATTAGATGTGTTCAAATCTTGTTTCATAAGTATCTTTAAATGCAGTTATTAGAGATAGTTACATTATATTTCGATATTGTAACCGTCTCTGTTTTTTTTTTTTCTTTTCTATACTTTTTAAGAAAGAAAATCTGTCACATGGGGAAATATTTCCATACCTTATTATTATTATCATTACCTTACCAAAATGTTAAGTTGTATGCATAATTTGTTAATGAGGTGTTAAATTTAAAATAATAAGGAGAGAAAAACCTACTAATCTATATATGAAATTTTTAAATTATAGTTGCATATATTTTTTTAATTCTTTAATTTATACTTAACTAGAATATATTAAATTTTTAACAGAAAATAATTTTAACTACTTTTATTATAACTTTCTGTTTTAAATCTGAAAATTACATTTAAGATAACATTTTTTATGTTAGAAAAATTTAGTTACACAAAATACCTAAAAGTGTGGGTAAAATGTTAGGCTGTAAGAGTTGGTGAATTTTTTATTTTGGAATGCAATTATTAAATTGATATCCAGCTATAAGTATAATTGATTGACTTCTAAATTATTGTAGACTTCTAAAATTATTATGATCTTAGTTGGATGTTGATTTTTTAAAAAGAAAAGCACAACAGGGGTATCTTTTTCTGATAAAGTTTCATTGGAGTTCCAATTTTTCGACAGTGTACATCTTGTAAAATTATTTTTTGATTTCTATCAAAAAACTGCAATTATATTTTTTCAGTCTGTCTATCTTGCCAACCGACGTTATATCTCTGAAAAAGTAGTTTTGATGGAAAATTACATCCAAGAAACCAATGCTGTATCAGTATTTCCAACTGATTTACCTGAGCATTATCCTGTTATGAAGAAGGTTTGTTTTTATTATCCTATTTTATCTGTTTTAAATTTAATTTCAAAAAATTTTTAGTTTTCAAGTGGGTTAAAATTCATATTAACCTCTGAAATAATTTATGTATTATTTTTTTAAATTGAAGTCTATTAAATATTATTAATTAAATCTTATAAAATTATAGTCCATTAAATAAATTGTGTGAAAAAAAATTTGAATTGGCAAATAATATAATACAGGAAAATGATTTTTGTCTTTAATTTCTGAACTTTCAGATTATTAAATTACAATAAATAACACTATGGAATATTTTTTTTTCTTTTGTTGCATGGAACTTTTTTAACCAGTATTAGATACTTTTGTATCACTGATTTCAAATCTACGATCCAAATCTCCAAGTTACAGTTTTTATAATGAAATTTTTAGTCTATTTTTTGTTAAAATGTACAATAAGTTTAAAAACATGTTTGACAATGGGTCACATAAATACTGTGACAAACTCTAAGGAAGTTAAAGCACATTATCAGGATTAAAATGGCATAGAAACCCATGCCTGGAAATGTCATATGCCTTAAGGGCACTTCAATATTATTAACAGTTTTTCATATGTTTCTGGACAGGTCATTATCAGGAAGCGCCCATAGCCGTGTACAATAACATTTCTAAGCATGGATTTCTATGCCATTTTAATCCCTAACTTCCCTAGAAGTTTGTTGCATCATTTATGTGTCCTTCTGTCATATATAACATTTTTGAACTTGTACATTTCAATAAAAAATAGAATTAAAATGTACTTTTTTTCTTTAAAATCAGTAATTTTTTGAGCAAAACTAGTTTTATATTTGAAATTCCCACACCTGAATTAAGCAAGATCAAATATTTATATAGGTGCAACGAAAAATGTGTTCTCCTAAAGTAGAGTCGTTTCTGTGAAATTGTTTTCAAAAGATTTGTTTTCTTGTGCAAGTGGGGAGAAAGACATGTTTGTGAGCCTCACTAACCTACAACACTAATCGTTCACCCACTTGCTGGTAGAATTTTTTTAAGAAATTTAATGATTATGTTTCTAACGAATAATTTAACGATATGCCTTTTCCAAAACAACAACTTTTAAGAAAAATAAAATTAACAGAAATCAGCAATTTTTGTAATTTTAGAAGAGGCATATGATTTTCCCGCCAATTTGCTAAGTTCTTATGTTTGTAAAAGTGGAATGCAACTTTGACTTAATTTCAAGAACACGAGAATAAGAAAAGTTCTGAATTGACTAGCTTTCACTAGAATTAAAATGTTGTTGTGACGAAAACAAATGTGTTAACTTAATGACTTAAAAAGTAATTCCACATTTAAAAGATCTTTTCCAACAAAAATACATATGTTACAATATCCAATTTCCAGCAACAAAAAAAGCTAAACTAGCATAATTATGTTCTTTTCATTTATTCATCTGAAACGAAAGCGAATCAAATTAATAAAATCTCAATAGTTTTTATGATACATATTATGGCGTGTAAGATTCAAATAGTGTATTTGAGTCAGGACTTTTTGATCTGTTTGCTCTACTTCGATTACATTTGTAAATCTGTGATGCTTCAATCATTTTTTGGAAGTTATTGCTATCGATTTTCACACAATTTTTTAAAGCCCCATATTATTACAATGCACGGAATTTGAATCAGGCACTTAAATAATCATTTTTTTAAAAACTCAACCTTGATTATTTTTACAACAATTACTGCTAAGAATTTTCACATTTTATTTTAAATCCTGATAATTTTTATGATATAATTATGACAAGCAATATTCAAATCCCACATTTAGTTATGGTTTTTTTGCTGCATGAGGAACACGCTATTTTTATCTCATAACTGCAAGTTTGTCGCGGGAAAAAAGACCCCAAAATCGTAGGAAATTTTTAAAATTACACAAATTCTAAACATTAAAAAATTTATTACATAAATGATGCAAAAGACAGAAATTGCACAAATAATAAAAAAAGCTTAAAAATACACAACAAAAGTATTTCTTTGAATTTCAAGCAATATTAATATTTTTATTTAAATAAACAGAATTTTGGTACCAAGTATTGTACATTGGCAGATTATTCTAATTTATGCTTCGTCTTTCATCACTTAATACATTTTTATACTTAGAAAACGATCTTTCTGCATCAACGCTGTTTTTAGGCACCGACAAACTTCGAATTGCCACTTTGGAGCGTTCCGTCTTTGATTTCCAAAACTCGATCAATTTTCCTTCACCAACGCGCAATTCCTTGATCGTTGCATTGTAAGAAGTAATAGCTGTGAAAACTCAAACATTCTACATTCAAACTACTAGTTACAAGTCCCTACTAACTACTAGTCCCCCCTTCATCTAAGAAACTGATCCATATTTACGAAATCACAAGAAGCCGCCTAGGAAAAATTAACTGGATATGTAGAAAGGCAGTAGAAATTTTATTGCCCAGTGCAATAGCATGTATAACAATTTTTCTGTCAAAGATTTGATTTATAACATTTTCCTTCTTTTGTGATTCCAATTTCTTTTGTACTCTTACTGACTTCAGGAAGGTAATTACCCTCCCTAACTAAGTGTAGAAAGACCACCTTACTTGACAAGATTGTGATTATCTCTTATCTCTGAACTATTTTCATGTCATTTTTTTATTGATTCAGTCCCCTAAATATCTAATCAATTTTACATGCTCAATTTAAGGTTCAGGAAAATAAAAAATTCTGTTTAATAAAAATAATAAATAAAAAATGAAAAAAAAATCAAATTTTAAGCAATTTTCGCGCAAGTCAAGACTTATTGAGAAATTCGCAGATTTTGGGGAAAAAGATTACTATTTCGCGGAAATTCGCGCCACGACAGACCTGCAGCCCTACTCATAACTAAGCACTAGTATTAACAACTGTAATTTTTAAACAGGTATTTTTCTCACAATATTATTATGTCATGCAGAATTCAAAACCATTATCAGATCTATTGAACCATTCACATAAAAACCTTATTATTATAATGTATAATAATGGTGACGATTTAAAAAAAGTTTTTTTATTTTTTGTACTTTCATGAAAACTGTAGTAGAAAATGCTAAAAACCTGCTGTTTTTGTTACATATTTATAATTTTTGTTTGACCATTATAATTTTGTACAGCCATTTTTCAATAAAAAATTTTTAAATTATTTAAATGAAATTGTATTTCGAATAACAAATGATGTAAGACATAATTCGAATAATGCAATTCTTATTTTTCATCTAGTGTGAAGTGAAACTACCTGATGGGTCTGTTCAGTCTACTCCACTACGTGTCATGTATGCCGTTACTCCAATTCCTACGATGTACACTTGGGCACCTATTCAGCAAAACTTCATGGTAATAAATTCTGTTTTATATGGTCATTTGTTAATCTGGCCTTTATGAGTTAGCATGAAGTGTATTGTTTTCATTTTTTTTCTTCTATTTCTTATAAATTTTTTTCCCTTCAAATTCTGAAATTCATTGTTTAAATAATTTACTTGGGAATCATTAAAACTTTTATTAGCATGCATTTCTAGCTCTTTGTTTACTAAGTAATAGGTTGTTGGTTATTGTTTAAACTTTGCTGGTGTGAAAGTTTCTGCTGCTTCTCCTATACTTATTTCTGTGTGACTCAATTTAAAGTATGTTGTTTCTCTTCCTTACTTTAAAATTAGTTGGAAGGAAACAAGCTGTAGTATATAATCTGTAAAAAAATTGTTTTGTGATATTGTTTGCTTTTAATAGTTGTATGTTAAATTCAGAATGAAAGTTTTACTCTTTATTATCCTTTCTACAACTGAATTGGGATATTTAGCAACCGTGTAGAGGTTTTAAAAATTTATACAAATGAGGTAAAAAGAATTGCTAAAAAATTTAATGATTTCAGTTAGCATGTCAAGGTTGAAGAATAAAAAGATTAAATGAATTTTTAAAATATGGAAATAATGTTATCCATATTTTGCATGGCAAATACTTTTGAAATTAAAACTTATATACTTGATCTTTAGTTTTGTTGCTTTTCTCATAATTAAGAAAATATGATGGAATGTTTTAATCGATGTGTCATGCTCTTAAATCATGACATGTTGTATATAATGTAAAATTATTAACTGTAGAGGATTTTTAACCATTTAGTAATCATGTACTCAGTTTTTTTTTTAATTTTTTTAAAAAATATTTTTGAGAAGTAGCCTACTCTAATTGTCCCTTTGCTTAGGTATTTTCCCCTCTTTTTTTTTAAAGCCTATTTTTAACTTTTTATTAAAAAAAAGAAGAAAAAATAGTTTTCTTTTTGATGACAATCTTGCCTGTAAGAAAAATTATGTGATTTTTGTTTTTAAGGTTGAAGACGAAACTGTTTTGCATAACATCCCTTACATGGGAGATGAAGTGTTAGATCAGGATGGTTCTTTCATTGAAGAATTGTTGAAGAACTATGATGGAAAAGTTCATGGTGATAAAGAGTGCGGTTTTATCAATGATGACATTTTTGTGGATTTGGTACAGACATTGGTCACCCAATTAGATGCTAAAAGCATAAAAAGTGAGGTCGAAGAAAATCCTGGAAAAAATTCTCCTGGACGCAATAAGAAACCCACCCGCACACCATCATGGACTGCACCAAGTACTTCACCTCATGGTAAATTGTTATTTTTAATAATTTAGTTAAATTGTTATTAGTATATGAGAATTAATGTTTTTTTTTTAAACAGGTATTTCTTAATAGCAATGTTTTTGTAATTATGTAGTTTAAATAATCTGTTTTATTTCTGTAAATCTGATATATTTAAATGATACCACTTTTTTTGTATTTATATAATTTTCTGTTTCAGAAACAATTCATTGCATTTTTGACAATTTTGTGGCATTCCCTTTTATTGGAATCTGACTTATTAAGTTATAGATTTGTCTTATATCTTGTCACAGGTCATTCTATTGATTTCTTACTTTTAATATTTCTTACTTTTACTAGAAACTCTTTATAACATACTTTACTCTTACTTGCTTAATTTGTTACTTTTTCTCCCTTACTTTTTAAGCTTGTAATAATTTTTAATAAAAATAATAAATGTTTATCAAGAAAAATTCTTTACACTCTGTTCATCATTCATTAGATTGTTTAAACATTAAGTTGTTTATATATGTATATTTTTTTTTAGAAAAGCAACCTATTCCTGAACAATATGACATTATATTTGCTGCCATATCAGCTGTATTTCCAGACAAGGGTGCTCCTGAACAACTTAAACAAAGGTAAAATTACAAATATCTGTACACACTAGAGGACAAAAGTTTTGCTATACTTTCTTAATTTAAATTTTACTTTTTTTTAACTATAAATCCTGAACTTACTTCCAAATAGTATATGAAATCTATGAAGAATAATATATGTTGTCAAGACCTTTCATGTTAGTCGATGCTGAAAGTAATTACAGAGAGGAAACTTGTGTAAATTTTTGCGTAGGTTCTGAATAATTTATAAGCTTATTGTAAGAATAGTTCATTTATTTTGTGTTTAAATTTTCATTATTATTAACTTCAGAATAGTCATAAATTTTTCAAATAAGAATTTGCTTGTCTTGTCCTGGGTAAGTATAGGAAGACAATGAGAAAATAGTTAAATTGCTTGTTAGAAATGGCACCACAAATTCTCTACAAAATGGTTGCTCCCAATAGAGTTGGTTTGGTTAATTATTTTAACTTTGATTTAACTCTCACGAGTTGTGAATTCAAGTTGACATTCAATCAGAATTGCAGAAAAGAAAAAAAAACCAACTAAGTTATTCTTGCCTTGTATTCGCCTACTTTTACACTAACTTATGTTTATTCTCAATCTCACAACTTGTTCTTGATCAAGCATATTTAGAACAATGTAATGGATTTAGTAATTTATTTATTTTATGTTTTAGTTTAAGAACTAGCAATGGTGTAACAAACAATATATATAGTTGTTTTAACAGTGTTCTTCCTAAGCTTTTTTAGAATTGCGGCCCGCCCTATCTGCCCTGACATCCCTATAAATGCACCCTCTTTGCCCTTTTTGTAAAAATAAGCCACCATCTCTTAAAAACTGCCTTTTTACTCATATTCCAATAGAAAAAAATAAATGACTCACTGATAAAATCATCTGTGCTTTTTAGTTTAATTCTGATTACTATTACAAATATTTACTTTGTTAGCATAATTCTCAACTGGTTTAATTTTTATTAGTTTCTCTTTTTCTTCAGCGGGATTGTTAATGAGTTTTTTAAGTGATTTTTTCTAAAATTATTTTTGAAATAACCCCCCCCCTTTTTTTTTTTTTAAAGCACCTTTAAATGTTTATAATTTTCAGTTTAAATTATAGAAAAATGATTAGGTTTGATAAAAGAAAATTATTAAGTTTATCAATTAAAAAAAAATTTTAGTTTGCTTTTTTTTAAAAAAAAATTATGCTCATAGATTGTCTTTTAGCATCTCTTGTTTTGATAATTTGTGAGAACTACTTTTTAAAATATGTACGCAAAACAATATAATGAGGTAGTTTAAAAATTGTTGAAGATCAAACTCATTAATCGCATAATATTGCCCTAAACTTCTTTTGGAAATTAATGTTTCAAGCAATTTCATGTAAAACACGGTGTTCTTTTACTTATTATATAGGCAAGACATAATTTTTAAAATTAACTTAGAAAAATCTAATATCTTTAGAAATTCCAATAAATTTATTTAGTTAGCAAAAATATTTTGTGATATTGCAGATTTATAAAAGGTACATTTGTTAAAATGATACTTATTTTTGCAAGAAAATGGCAAATGTGTAGAGAATTCTGATCTTTTTGTGACATTAAAGGTTGTGATATCAAGGTTTTGCTGTACTCTTTTTTTTTAAATGCTTGCTTTTAATTTAAATATAAAGTTTAGTTTTATATATTTTTAAATATAAACTTCCATTTTGTAATTATAATAAAATACATACATTCATTCTTATAGTTTTACAGTGTTTTTTGATTTGATGTTGTAACTATGAAAATAATTTTATGTGCTTAATGAATATTTTAAGTATTATTAATTGTGAAATTGTCTCTAATATTAGATATCGTGAACTTGTGGATAAAAAAGATTCTAACTCATCATTGCCTGAATGTACACCCAATTTGGATGGACCTGGCGCTCAGTCCGTTATAAGAGAGCAGAGCATGCATTCCTTTCACACTTTGTTTTGTCGGAGATGTTTCAAATATGATTGTTTTCTACATCGTAAGATTTATTGGATAATTTCTTTGTTTTAAGTGCTATATGTTTGTAAATATAAGGCTTGGAGGAATACAATGAATGATAAGCCACTCTTTTACCAAAGCTCATAACTCTTACTTAGTATTTATAGATTGGTGGTTTATAAGCTTATAGAATTTTTACTAGATAACAGGACAATACATAGAAAAATCTTCTTGCATTTATGGAAATTGTATTTTTCACCATAAATGCTCTTTTGAACAATTTAATTATATTGTGTCTTAGCAATTCTGGAATTTCTCCTCTTTTTTAAATTTGAACGTTATTTTCTTTTGTTTTTATCTGCGTGACTAACTATCTAATTATTATAGTAACTTAGCTGAAATTTTGAGCATTTACTACAAACTCTTCTATCTTTTTTATTAGAATTAATGGCTTAAAATTTATTCAAAACTATCCTCAAAATAAAGTCCTTTATGGAAGAGAATTTATTATTCATAAAAATTAAGTAGCTTAAGAAAATCATTATTTTTGAAGGATATTTATTCTAACACCTATGAACATTTATTTAATTAACATATTTTACAGCGTCACTATTATTAAGAAATCTCAAATGTATTTTTAATGTATTAGAATAAGTCTGAAGGTTTAGAATTATGTTTAGACCCTTATGAAGATATAGTATTTACAATACATTCACATAAAACACTTTTAACTGAATCATTTTTAAGGTTTCTAATTTCTACTGATTATTCACGTTTTAATTTTTGCTTAAGAATTATAGAAAACTTTTTAAAAACTATGAAAAGTTCAAAATTTAATTCATATTATGCGACTCTTTGTAATGTTATTAATCTTCTTAAAGCTAGTAAATATAATGGAACTTTTTTTATTCAGTAAAAAAAAAAATTATCTACTGGCATACCAATCAAGTGCTTCATTTTGCAAGTTGTTATTATTTTAGAAAGATTTTTTTCCTTACTACAGAAGAATGGCTGTGCATATAAAACAATTACTACTGTCTGACACCCCTAAGTTGCACAAAATACTGTTCACTCACCAAAGAAATGTTAAAAAAAAAAAATTTATTTTGTGCTACAGCAAAATCTTGACAATTCAAGATGGAGGGGACCAGGCCTATCTTGAACTGTTGAAAACTCAAATTATTGAATTTATAAAATTTAATAAATAAATAAAGGAAAAAAGGCAATTTTTAAATATTACTGTAGTGTGGAATGGAAAGAAGTGTTAAAATGTTTAGCTTATATGTTGAATTTTAATAAGATATTTGCTTGAAGTTACAATATTTTAAGGACTGTTACAATCAGGATTTGTAGACTAGTGTATTTCATAATAGTTTTTTCTAGCTCTAATAATTGTTTCTTTACCTTCCTTGGCTTGTTTGCGAGAGTGTAGAAATTTGTAACATTTATTTTTTTAAGTGTTGTACCAAATTGTAAATATACAAAATTTGTTCTCCAACAAAAAACGTTGAAGTTGATTTTACAGTGGAACCTCTCGGGAGCGACCACTTTCTGTTCCATAGTAAAATTATCATTAATGGAGATTGGTTGTTCTTGGGTTGTTACATCCATTGACTTCAAAATGATATCAAAGGTACATGATTTTTTTGGCAAACGATTTTAATTTTAGTTAGTGTCATTTTCTTGGTGCAGGAAGGTCACTTGTGTTGGCATCTTGAAAACAGGATTGATACATAAAATTTAGCATAAATAAAAATGATCCCTATTGATATAATTATGTGTAAAAACAAATTTACCATTTATGAATTATAGAAATATTTTAAATAAATAAACAATTATGCTTTTTGTTTAAGCTTGCATATAATTTTATGTCATAAATATGAATTTTAAAAGATGAGAAGAGATTTGTGATGCTTAGTTTCTTCTAAAATAACTTTTTTTTCTTATTTAATTTTTAACTCTAAAAATAAATCGGTGATAGTCTTTAGTGCACTATGACTGTAACATGAGGTTGTAGATCTCTGTCAGAGATTGTCAAAAACAGCTCTCTAAATAAGGGCATCACACAAATATTTTGAATACATTTTAATCTACTTATTTGTTAATATTTTTTGTTTGGATATTTTGTCGTGTTTCTTTATTTGATCTCTTCCGTATTTGGTGCAAAAGTTTGCTCAGTTGCTGGGAGAGGTTTCAATGGTCTCTCCTGAAAATTTTCTTTAACACAATGTCTAGGGAAAAAAATTTGTGCCTCCCGAAAGTGGTTGTAAATAGAGGTGATCTTTCGTGTAGGTTTCACTGGTTTATAAATGTGAATTAAGGCCATGTAGCAGAGAAATATTATTCAACTAGCTACTTATTTTGTTTCTGTCGAAGAAGCAGGAAAATAATTATGCTTTTCGAGGTATTCTCGTTAAATTTATTAGAGACCTTTTTGTATTACGAGAAAACATACTAGTCCATAACCTGAAATAAGCTTTATGTAGATTGTTAATGGATGCTATAAAGTGAAATTTTTCTTTTGAAACAATTTAGTTAAAACGTGACTAGATAAAATCCCTCTCTTTTTATTCTTAAATCCATGGGTATACAATAATAACTTATTGATAATTGGTAGTAGATTTTGTCTAGACATTTATTGTATAAATTTATTTATATTTTTTAATTTTGCCTTTTAAATACTATTCATAAGTAACTATTAGAGCCAGTGTAATGCTCATTAATTTGCTTCTGATTTGAATTCCCACCTAAGTCTTTTTCATGTATTTTAAATGTTTTTGCAGCTTTTCATCCATCACCAAGTCAGTTCAAACATAAAAAATGTGATATGAAACCAGATTCTCAGCCATGTGGATATCAATGTTATCTTCATTTGGTAAGTACAATAAATTATTCACTCTCTAATCTATAAGATTACACTAATATTGTTTGATGCTTAAATTTATGCTGATAAAAACAAAGATAATTTATTTATTTTGAAGATATACCGCAGCAATCATAAAAATTTCGCTTTGGTTTTGATGATTTTGTATCTGCTTTTCTTTCTCTTTTTGCAACTGTTTCATAATTAGTTGAAATTCCTCGTGACTACTACATCTTTTTAGTTTTCTTATTTAGCTTCTGACTCTTCCCTGATTTATTATATTTGATTTGTTATCTGAGTTAAAGTAGCTCCAAGCAGAAATTACTTTGATCGAATATTTTAAAAGTAACTATCTTTTTAATGACCTTGAAAACTCTGTACCTTACTGAATGTTTCATTGAATAGGATGAAGTCAATGATTAAGTAAAATTAAGACCATTGCTGTTTTTGTAATGCAACAATTTTTAGATAGTAACTTTTATAATTAAAAATATGCTTTGGATCCAATGAAAAAATTGTAAATGTTATTATTCGTGTTACAACTGTTGAAAAAATTATGAATGTTAGTTATCCGTGCCATTTATAATGAGTAATTTTTCACTGCTAAATGCATCAAAATCTCATTTGACCAAATATGGAACAAATTTTTTTTTCTTCCTGAACTGAAAAAGTATTTTTGAAAAATACCATAGTGTATACATTGAGAGGAAAACTAATGCAGTTAATTGATATAGAATTAATGTTTCTGTAGTTTTTTGTTTCATTAATTATGTCTTAACTAAAAATGTTTGAAATTAGTATTTTTTAAATGAAAATATTTAGTTGATAGCTAGTTAATTTTTTGTTCTTTTTCCGAACAGATTTTTATTGTTAACCTTTTTCAAAATATATTTTAATCTTTTATATTAATCTATAATTTAATAGTATTTTCTTAAATATGTGCCTTAAAGTTTATTTTCATCATGAAAAATTATTGTAATTTATATTTAATTGTCACATTCATAAAAAATACTTTAATGTGTTTTAAGGATATGGTGCAGGAAAAACTTCGAGAAAAATTGCGTGAGGAAAAAGAGCAGAATGAGCGTCGCAAGATGATGAAACAAATGTCTGTTGATAGTGGTAATGAAGCTAGCAGTGAAGATAGTAATGACAGCTTGAGGAGCTCGAGGAAAAGAATCATTCCTGAACGTGAAAATAATGAAGGTATATTTGATTGAAAATGAAAAGTTATTTCTGAAATTTGTTTCAACAAATGATATTTAGTCATAGTAAGGTGACTAGCCAGGATAGGTAGGTCGGTAAGGTGACTAACATAAGTATTCAAAATAAACAAATATAATCATTGGCTTCTTTTCTTCAAATACGTGTTGTATGTAATGTAATAAAAACACAATTTAAATTTGTTCTCAATTATACTGATCCTGATTGTGTGTGCAAGCATTTATTTGATTTCTCTGGAAATACATAGTACTACATGTATTTGCATTGTCTGTGATTATAGGTATTTGATTGATTGGTATATTCTTTTAAATATAATCTGAACATTTGTCCGAATAGTAAAAACCTGATATTAGTATTATAAACGGGGTTTTCTTCTTTATACATTTATATCTTTATACATTTACAGCAATTTGATTTAAGTCATTCAATTACTTTAGGGTACAGTATTACTAAACTTGGGGATCAACAAATAATTTAAAGTTCTAAAATATTTTGCTGGGAGATCATTCTCTAATTCTCATTTGTAATATGAATTTATTTAGGTTTTTCTTTTTGCCCAAATAGAAGTGACATACCTTTACCAATTAAGTATATTTAATAATAACAATAAAAAAAATTACAATTTTAGTTACTGCCTGTAGGCCACATTAAACAATTTTATGGTAAAATGTTCAGTCTTTTAATTTTACAAAGTGTCACCCATCAATATGACTAGAATGGAATGAATTTTACCTCTTAAAAGTAACAAGTAGAAAGCCTAAAAGTAACAGGTTTTGTTATGGTGTTGCCTATAATATAAAATAAAGAGTTTGTTGGTGTAGTAAGTCTCTTTTACAACTCCAGTACCACTTATGCTAGTGTCCTGAAATTTGAATTGTGGGAAAAATAGCAATTTTAGCCCCCAAATCTAAAAATCCTTAAAAAATTTAAATTAAGTAGTTCATAAGAAACATTTTAAAAATTTTGATTTTCTGATTGGTTTAAAACCAGCCATTGATAAAAATTTACTACAAACGATTTTGATATTTTTTTATATATATATTTTAAAGATAACATCAGTGATGTTTTCTATCTTATAGCTCTAGTTAAAAAGAAGAGTTTATTGTAGGTTTGTTAATATTTAATTGTCTTGTCAATGACCAAAATAAATATGGTAGCACTATCGGATTATGTCAGCAAATTAGTATTTCTCAAACTATCTGAAACAATTATTTTTTTATAGTGACGCTGTAAAAAGGGGTTTCTATAAAATTTAATGGCAACAGTATTTGAAATGAAAAATATTTGTTATGTATTAAAAACCATAATCAATGGAATACTGATTCCTTTAGGAGAATCGAAAAATATTATGCTCGATGCCTGATTAATTTCTATAAAATGTACTTATTGAAATTTAAAAAAAACTAAGCGATGTACTATAAAGCTAAATTAATGTAGAAATACTGAAAAGTTATTTAGAAGGAGCTTAAAAAATTGCCTTACAAATATTGATGCTTAATTAATTTTGATAATAGGTACTAATTGAAACAAAGAAAATAAGCTATATTCTAAAAAATAAAATTAACAAAGAAATGGTTCTGACTCGTTTAATTGAAAAGTAAAAAAATCGTCTTGCCATTTTTGTTGTGAATGATGCTTTAAGTAGTAATTAAGAAATTAATTTTGGTAGTTGAAATAAAAAATAAATTATGTACTATAAAGCAAAATGAATGTGGAAATACTACTAATTCATTTGGGAAAAATGTAAAAAATTGTCAGTCTATTTTTGAAGCCAATGATACTTAATTAATTTTGGTAATAAGTGTTACTGTTATAATGGTAATTGATGTAGTTCTGATCAGTACCAAATATACTAATACGGGTACAATGTATACTATTGGTTTATTTTGTACTTATTAAAACTGTTTCATTAATATACAGTTTTCATATAGATACTATTGAAAGAGGTTTTTGCGTCATTCTGAAAGGCATGAGTATTGAAAAAAACTACTTGATTGTGGTAAATTTTGACTATCATGAGTTGGCTTGGAGTAACAGCTTCATGCTACATGATATTGAAAACAGTTAATCTTTATTTTTATAAGATATACTACTAAAATGAAGGATAAAATGTAATAATAAATATTAGAATTATTTTAGCTATGTTGGTACATGTCTTTCAGTTTAGTGATTGATTTTGTAGTGTTTTTCAGTACTGATTTATTTATTGTTTCCTTTCCTTAATCCTGTGTGGAGGGTGAGTATTCAGCTAGTATAATAATTGATACAGATACATAACTGTTATAGAATATTACTTTTATACTTCATTCTTAGTTTTCCACTGTAAATCTTTGTTTGTTTTTTTAAAAAATAACTTTTAATATTTGATGTAATAAGATTTTTTACTGTAACAAAAATATAAACATTAACTACATGGTCTTACTTAAAAATCTCAAAATATTATCTAAGTAATGAAATATATTAAGCTTGTTTAAATCTGACTTTAATGATGATGTGAATTAGCTAGTTATTTGGCATTTTTATCTACAAATTTTTTTATTTATTATTTTTGTTTTGATTGATTAGTTTTCTTTCTTTACAAAATTATGAAAGAAAAATGACTGCATAAACTTTGATTTATATTTTTTGCAGTTAAATGTATTTAGATACTATATCCATTATATAAATTATAGATGTATTGAGTATAGGCTTTAGTTTATAAATTGTATTTCAGTTTATATGTTGCTTTAAAGTAAATATTAGATAATATAATCATACTGTTTAATTTTCTTTATAACTAAATTCGTGTAATTTTTTATCTTATTGGAGGATTTTGGATTTAAAAAAATACAGTGAACTCTCACTTATACTCCGGCCTAAGGGACCAACAGAAAAAAGTGCATAAGTGAAAGAGACATATAAATAAAATACCTATTTGTAATTCTAAAATACAACTTAAATTGCAATGTGAAAGTGAATAAAAGTGTTTCTTAATAGTAAATGTTAAAATCTATAATGGTTTGGTATTTACTAAGACTATACAAAGCAAAAAAAAATTTAACGTACCAAATAATTAATTTTCTTACAAAATATTCCATAATAGGTTTTTGTCGACGAATGTGTAAGAAAGTTTTTTTCTTTTTTTTTAATTCAAGCAAATAAGAAAATAGAATTTGGAGTAGCTGAATTAAACAGCAAATAATAGTAAATAGTGTCTAAATTTCCTGACGCTATTGTATAATTTAGAGGAGCTTTTTCATCATCTTCGACATTATAATCATCCACGATATCATGAGCCATTTCATTGGCGATGTTTGCCATTCGTCATCACTAAGATCGACATCCTACTTTTCTTAAACTTTGATGATTTGAGCACTATATTCATTGTCATCAGAAAATATAAATCTTGCTGTTTTGATGCAATTCTTTGTGCTAGAAAATTCAATACTTCTTTATGCTGCTCATACCTTATTCATTGCAACAAAAATTTAAATTTTTTCATTGGTTGCAGATGATTTGTCTATTTCTAATTTGGGCAAGATATCAACGAATCAAAATTTTCCTGGCGTGCACTTTTAAGCATAGGATTATAACTAAACTCAAAGGCTGTAGCCTTCTCATACAGTGCAGGAAAAAACGCTACTTTTATTAGAGCAAACTTTGACAGATATCCGTAGACTGGCTGGCTTTTGTAAAAGCAAGATTTTTTCGACTTGCCGATGGGGGTGGTGTAGCAGATAAGACAACCCTTTTCAAAACTGTCTTTCAAAAAATGTCTTTCTAGAAACAACAAAGGTGAAAAGATTGCAAAGGGAAAATTGAACTATTGCATTGCATCCTGCAGCATATTTCTTTTTATCAGTAACAAAGATTATTTATTTGCTTCATATTTTAATCCAAAAACTTTTTTCTAAAAAGAAAAAAAAATCTGATTTTATTTCTATTTAATGAAACAAATTAAAAACTTGCTATTCTAAGAAAAATTTCAGTGTATAATTGAAATATTTATTTTCAGAGTGATGCATAAACAAACAATAATTTCCTATATAATAAGTTGGGATCTGTATAAATCATTGTATAAATAAAAAAGGCACATAAAAGAGATGGTGCATAAGTGTGAGGTCACTGTATTAGTATTTCTTTCAGAATATTTTATTTTTATCGTTACTTATTTTTGTAGGAAACTTCAATATCCTTAACCACACCATATCAAGTAAATCAAATTTAAAGGATCTTGAAACAACTTGGTCTGGAGCTGAACAATCATTGTTTAGAGTTCTATGGAAAGTTTTTATAGGCAATTATTGCGCTATTGCCCAAATGCTACGAGATAAGACCTGTGCTCAGGTAATTTTTTTAAGAATGTTATGAGCTTTAAACTTTATGAAGGTATAATTTAATGTTGATTTTTCTGATAATATTTTATTACAGACTTATGCTTTTGCTCAGAAAGAGCTTGCTGATTACCACCCAGAAGAAAACACTTTAGATAATACACCACCTCGAAAGAAGAAGAAGAAACAGAGACTGTGGTCGATGCATTGCCGTAAAATACATTTTAAAAAGGACTCTTCTTCTAACCATGTATATAATTACACCCCATGTGATCATCCTGGTCAACCTTGTGATTTGTCATGTCCATGTGTTATGGCTCAGAATTTTTGTGAAAAATTTTGCCATTGTAGCTCTGATTGTAAGTATTTTTTTTTTCCTCTTTGCAATACATGATGTATTTTTAGATACAGTAGGACCTTAATTATTAAAAGTTATAAAGTTAGAGGTGAAAATTTATATCCCGACTCATTTTGTTTAAATATTGCTGAAATATTCAGATTATAAAGGTACGCATAGCTTTTTTAATATATGTTTATCAATAAACTCTAAAAACCTAGTTTTTCTTAATAATATCTTCATATTAAAATTAAATACCATGTTACATGATATTTAATTTCTATATAAACTTTTAACAAATGTTTTTTCCTCAAACAAGTATACAGAGGTCTGTTTTGAAAATTTTGCTTACACTATAATCCCAGATTAAAAAACTCCTTCTCACTCTCTTTTTAGTAAATTATTTGTATTAGTTGAGTTCCTTAATTTTTGAAAGATATTTATAATCCTTTGTAAAGGCCTTCCCCCCATTACATTTACTCTTCGATATAGTTTCCTTGCTCAGATAACCTAACATGCTCCCTTTTAGCAAAAATTAAAACCATGATGATTTTACTAAAATTTATAGCAAGAATGATGTAATGGAGTGTTGAGTATTCAAATGTTTTCTTCAGCAAAACTTAATCAACCAACTTCTTCAACCAGGTGGCTAATGAATTACTTCCTGTTGGAACATAAAATGATCAATTCTATGTAGTAAATATAGTACAAAGAGTGTTATTTTTTTCTTCTAAAATCTATTTGTATACCTGAAATATTGCTGCTTAATGCTAAAATTAAAAGCAGGGGGGAAAATGGACGTGCGTGTCAAATAAAAATGTTGCTATCAACTTCAGTTGTCTACAGAAACAGGTTCAATTAATCGAGGTTCTACTGTATTATTTAATGAATTTTATTGGTATTTGTTTATGAATTCTGTTTTTAATGTTTCCAGGCCAGCAAAGATTTCCAGGCTGTCGGTGTAAAGCTCAGTGTAACACTAAACAATGCCCTTGTTATTTAGCCGTCAGAGAATGTGACCCCGACTTATGTCAGACTTGTGGCTCTGGTGAATATATCTTCTTTTTTTTATAATTTTTTTCCCCCCAGTTATTTTTCTTATTTTCTGTTGATTGAATTGGAAGCAATTATATCAATTATTACCTGAATAATATTCTGCAACAGTATTACATGGATATTCTGCAACAGTATAATTATGTTGTATTTGCCACTGTTAAAACTCACATGCACTGAAAAATTACACGTACCTGGTGTACTAAAAATGACCAAAAATTTGTAAAGTCAATGAATTTTTTTTTTTTTTTTCCTGGTGCCTGGCTTTGAAATTGCAGATAATTCATTTTGAAATTTGATCAGAATAAATAGTTTATTCCCTAAGCAAAACACACTAAATCATGCATCAATTTTCTTTAATTGATTTTTCCAATTGTTTGTCATTTTTGGAAAACCTAGTAAGTTTTAAGTAAATCTTAATTTTAAAATATCAGATGGTTAATTATTTAGTTCTCTATAAAATAAATGCAATTTTCATTCAACATGTATGGATAGAAGTTCTTCATTCAGTTGCGTATTATGGATATTTTATTTTCAGTTTTGTGTACTGGTTTTATCTTTTAAATTCTATTTTTTCAGTTAAGGGTATATTGTGTATTGTACACAGGATTAAGAAAATTTTAAAAATAAGAGGAATTAAACACTGCCTAAACCTAATCATAAACCTCTTTCCCTCTTACTCGTTTAAAAATATTTTATTAGCCTTTAATATTAGCGTAAATATAAGTTTAGGAAAAATTGCACTTGAAGTTCTATCTCTTAGTCCTTTGTTCTTTCTCTTAGTCTTTCTTGGGATCAGTCTAGAGCAGTTCTCCGAAGTAATGCACTACAAGTAGTGAAACTACTGTAGATGCTACTTTTTTTTGTTGTGTAGTCTGCTACTTTTTAAAAAAATATAGTGTAGGGATGAGTGCGATACAAAGAAAATAATAGTTTTTAGCGATTTCTGACAACTACTTTTAACGTTGGTTTAGAAAAGAAATACAGTTCTAATGCATTTAATTTTCTGAATTTGATGAGTACAAATCTTAGTGGGTTTGTCAATGGATTCAATGAAAATGACCTTGTGGCTCCAGCTGAGCTTTAACAGAGATTACATATTTAAAATCACGTATAACTTATATTTAAACTAATAATTAATCACTTTGATCACACTTTCACATGCAAATGCACACACTGGAAACAATGTTATTTCAAAGTAATGTAACACATTTTTGATGTTCTTAATTTCTTAGAGGAAATAAAATAGCCTTAAACAATTAAAAAGTTGCAATTATTTTATAATTTCGCATTTTATAAATTGAATATTCGCTGTCGAAACAGGCACAAAATGCTGAAGATTAAATGAACAAATTCAAAAGAATTGTTTTGTAAAAAGGAATTAGCTCTTGTAAAAATTAATAAATATTTCCTTATGTTTAATGTAAGCCAATTTCTTATTCAAAACCATTTTGAATATAGGTGTAAATTAAGTTCATCAACAAAGTTCGTCTCTTTAAAGAGTGAAGTAGTTACTAGAATTCCAAAGTAGTTTGTAGTTACTACATTTATAAAAAGTAGTTGTAGTTAACTGCATTTGTAACAAAGTGGCTGTAGTAACCTACAAAAATAATGTAGTTTTTCCGACTGGTCTAAAGTGAAAGCTAATTACTGTAATTTCTAGGATTGGAGTGGAGAATGTCTATAGGGTAGCCAGTATCTCTCAAACCTTATATCATTATATCAAGTGTTCTATACCTTTTATGACAAGATGTGTCCATATTGAAATTTAAAATGCTTAGTAAATGGCATAACAGAATATAATGAGGCATTTTTAAACTCATAACAAAAAAAGTTGATATTATATTGCTTATTTTCTAAAAATTTTTCTCTCAACTTAGTTATTTTCTGTTTTAGATCAGTTTGATGTTCGAAACATATCATGTAGAAATGTTTCTGTTCAGAGAGGATTAAGAAAAGTAAGTGTATACTTTAAAATAATATTTTATGTTTGTATTTTTTGTTAGTTTTGAATTTTATGTTGTTAGATGTACGTGCAACAAACTAAATTAATGCAAATGTTTTTAAAAAAATACTTTTATCAATTACGCTTGTTTAAATACTTATTGCAAAATAATTTTTAATGCATCTACTTTAACTCATTCTTATAAATGCTTCACTTTATTTTATTATTATCAAGTTTTTATCGAAAGGAATTCTTTCTAATTTAACATGCTTTCTCTCTAGCATCTTTTAATGGCTCCATCAGATGTTGCTGGATGGGGAATATTCTTGAAAGATACTGCCCAAAAGAATGAATTTATATCTGAATATTGTGGAGAGGTATAATAATTTTTAAATACTTACGAAGTACTGGATTTTCAAATAATTTTAACCTATTAATGATTAATCTTTTAATCTATACTTAACGCAAAAAACAAATAACCACCATGAATAACTTTTGATCTATTGATCCTATCTTCACGTAATAGCACTCAATCTTAATGGTTTGAAGAGGTGATCTCAGATATGCAAGTTAATCAGTGTAGACAATCTTTTAAATTACATTACGAAATCAGACACAAAAATGTCATTTCTCTGAGTAATCATACGCTTTTTTACTAGGAATGTAACGAATATTCAGCAAATGACTTAATTAATCATTGTGGTACATTTCTTTTTTATATGTTTCTTTTTAACTTGGTAGAAATTAAATCAATTCAGTATTTTTATTATGATATTGCTCACACTAAGTTCAAATCAAGCATTTAATCAATCACTCTTTGACACCCTCATAGTTATTCCATGAGGTGGTTCAATTGTTTTTACGGTGAATTTTCAACTTGAAAAAAAATTTCTCATATTTTATTTATAAAATTTTATTACTCGCAAAACTCTAATCATGCATTTTATTATTTACTTTGAATGTAACGATTTGATTAGGTTTTTTTTTCCTACTTTTTGACAGTTTTGGCTGGGGCTACTGATTTTTGTGTGGGTTTTAAATTTCCGGTATTTGTCATGTGAAATTTGAATTGCGTGTTTAAATAGCCACTTTTCGACAAGCTCAATTTGCGTCAATAGCATCGTAAGTCCAAGTGATATTTGTATTGTTGTTGTTTTTTTCAATTTTTTATATTGATTTTCATGTGGTTTTTAAATATCCCGATATATTTCAGACGGTGTGGGAAATTCGATTCTCGAATTTGAGTATTTACTTTTGACGTTTTTTTTTTTTTAATTATTTTTTTTTTAGTATTTACTTCTATCAGGTTTTCTTTCCTTAACAGTTTTTTTTTGGCTGTTGTTATAATTGGTCTTTGACTTTTTTTTCTGTAGTTGCTGTCAAGGTTTAACGATTTATAATTTTTTTGTTTAATTTAATGATTTACAAAATTCGGAAAAGCAAATAGCTAGTACGTTTCTCCAACTACAAAATGCAAAAATGCTGGGATAATAATAATACTAGAATAAAAAACTTATGAGTAATACTAATGCATGGCTAATATACATGAATAATACTAGAATAAGAAACATATTACATTCACAGTTAAAATAAAATGATATACAATTTTATTCCATATGATGTAGATTTCTTTTTCTTTAAATTAGTAATTGATATTAAAAGTGTCTAGCTGAAAAATATTAGTGCTAGGGAAGTTTGTTGCAAAAAATGTCGAAAAAAGATTCTGCCATAGGATTTAAGTATAAAGCTATAAATAACTATTCGGCCGGATATTCCGTATTTGGCTTTGTTTTTTTGCAAATATTCAGCTATTTGGCCAAATCACTATTTGTTACGTCGCCTTTTTTTACAATAGATTTGAATTCCTGACCCTCAAAATACAATGTGAGAAGTATAGTCTCAATAGTTTGGTCTGGAGAGCATTCACCCCTTAATGTTTATTTTGATGTTTGAGAATTTTCTAAAAGAATTTAGTAGTTTTTGTGCAAATTTATAAAATTTGTTTATTGAAAGATAATACCATGTGAGAAATAATTTTTAATAATTATTTTTTATTAGTTTATTTAATAATACAGATACCAATTTTAGCATCATTTTTAAGAATTTTTATAAGTCAAAATCCAGAATTTGAATGGAATTGGTTGAAAAGGTCTTGAAAATTCGAATTTTAAAAAAGTCTTATATTTAAAATTTGATTTCTCATGAACTATTTAAGTATTTTGTAAAATAATGCCTTAACTATATTAAAAGTTTTAATGTTGTAAAGTTCTTTTGAGAATTTTTTTTTATTTTAAATGCCAATTATGTCTCCTTTTACGATGTGGTACTTATTTTAAATGACTTTTAGTTACTAGTAATTAATTTGTTTACTAGATAATATCTCAAGATGAAGCAGACAGAAGAGGAAAAGTTTATGACAAATACATGTGCTCCTTTTTGTTTAACTTAAATAATGGTAAGTGGGGTTATTTCTGATTTGACTGAACAAAATAACATTTCCAAATGATAAATAAATCTTCGTTAAAATTATGGAATTGCAAATGTATTGTAAATGTAGAAATTTACCAAAAAATCTTTATTATTATGTTGTTCCAAGTAAGTTCCAAGTATAAAAAAAAATACACTTGTGATTCATATATTACTTTGTTTTATCAAGCAACTGAAAATTTCCAATAATTTAAATCAATATAATTTTTTACTCTTTTATTTAGTCTACTTGTAGTTTTTTTCTGCCTGTTGTTATATATCCAGTCTTTGGATTTTTTTTAAATCTTAAAATAAGGGTTTTATTTAAAACTTTTAAAGCAATCTGTATTTTTTTAAAATAATTCTAAAAATGTTAATGGTATAATGTAAACTTTACAAAGTTCTATTTGTGCACTGAGAAACTACAGATATTCAAAATTAGTTTTAGGGCTGTTTGATATGTTTGCAATCAATAATGGCTATGATGTGTTGCCAACAAATAGCAAAATTCTACAAAACTTGCTGAAGTGTGGAGAAATCATTTGTCTTTTTGATGATGGCAAAATAGAGTTTAGCGATGCTCAGAAGAATATTTATATAAACTTTTACTTTTATATTACTCCACAGAATTGAATCTAAACTAAACTCAGTGGTGCGACAGCCCAAAGAGGGATAAGGCCTACTGTGCCTATCTCAGTTTCTTGACCTTGTGCAGGAGCAGATGTTATGGTTAGGTGGTCAGCTGAGCGAAAGTTATCAACACATGTGTGTGTGTATATATATACAGGGGTCTGTCCCGGCCAAATTAACTACCGTTTAGCGATACCTTCACAAATTCAACTTTAGGGAAAACTGAAGTTTCACAAAATACTTTTTATTAAAATTTTAATTTTGTATCCCGTAAGAAACGATAAATCCATATTTTTGTGCTGATTTATTAATATAATTTTTAATTTTCACAAATTATATCTAAATTTTCACAAAATAGGTACCTCTCAGAAAAACCTAGACAGACCCCTGATATATATATATATATATATATATATATATATATATCTATATATNAAACGTATCTGAGAGTCGGGAAGTGCTTCCATATCTGGTGTTGAGGATTGCTCATCAGCTAAAGATTACTAATTTTTATTTGTACGTAAGACGAAGAGTGATGGAAAATAACACATTTTTTGCTAATACATAATATTTTTCAGTCATTTATATGAATATAATGTAATAAAAGGGAGGAGTTTGGGAACTATTAGTGAAATTGCCTGCGTAACGGATATAGTGAACTCCCGGTTATAGTGAACCGAAATTTCGGTCCCTTGAAGGTTCACTATAGCGGGGTTTGACTGTATATATATACAGCTCAATAATTGTCACTCTGTATCACTATGCAGTGTATAAATAAAAATATCTGAAGTCGCTCCATTTTCCTTTACTAACTTCTTGAAGAAAAAGCTTTGAAATAATGCATGATATTTTTTGCTATATATATGCTTAATGTGTTTTTAATTAATTTTAACATTTCCTGAATGTCTTTCAGACTTTGTGGTTGATGCTACACGTAAAGGAAATAAAATACGTTTTGCTAACCACTCCATCAATCCTAACTGTTATGCTAAAGTTATGATGGTAAATGGTGACCACCGTATTGGTATATTTGCTAAAAGAGCCATCCAAACTGGGGAAGAACTTTTCTTTGATTACAGGTTTGTAAAATATTTTAATATTCATCATCAAATAACTGTAAACATGTAAGGACTTCAGGTATTTTAACAATTCTACATCACTGTTCGTTACTAGGATGCTGCAATGGAGAAACTTGTCGCACTCTTGTTTCAAACTTATGTTAAATCCCCAAGTATTAATATGTTTCATTACTTCTCAGTTTTTATTAAATCTGTATGTAAACTTTTTAGGATGAATAATGGTAATCTATTAACAATAATAGTTTAGATTTGTCAATATTGACAAATTTCTCTCTGCTCACTTTTTAATTCAAGTGAAAAGTTAATTCAAGTGAAAAGCAAGTGAAAGACAGCCAGTTAAACTGCAAATCTGGATTTTTTCTTTTCTTTTTTTGGGGGATTTATCATCAATTGTGCAGATTGCTTCTTTTTCACCCACATTCCATTATGAGCTATGTTTCTATATTTTTTGTGATTATTCTGTTCTTGAAAAAAATTATGAAAAGACATAAAATGTTTGTGATAGTTTTATTTTGGACAGTTTACATCATATTTTATATAAATTATATGTTTAATAATAAAGTGACACGAGCATCTAAATATGAGATGAAACTTTTTGTAACCACAAATTAAAAGTAGTAAATTAAATTTGCAAAGAATACTAACATCTCCTAGTTGCTTTATAATTTGTGATTTATTTTCTTCTCAATCTTTGTGGACGTCGTTTGTTCTGTAAAAATTTTGTGCAAATATTTCCATTCTGAGTTGCAATTGTCATTATGAGGGACTTTGGTTTGATCCCCAGTGGCAGCTTGAAACTCACTCAGGTCGAACGTTATCAGTATGTCAGAGATGTAAAGACACCTTGTACCTTAGGCTGACATCACTGTCAGGATCAGTCCATTGGTCAATGAGTTTAAACTTTAAATAATTTATCTTTTAACCCACTGACGGTTCTGCACGTTAAAAAGTCGCATTTTAACCTGCAGTCTTCTCTGCATAACAAAACCGGTTTTCCCATGTTAACTGATAGGGGAACTGTGTGTAGGGGAGAAACATTCTCTCAATTTTGCCCATGTCCTTAACCGCCAGTGGGTTAAAAAGAAAATTTTCAATTAACAAATTATCCTTTGTTATTTTAATTTCCCTAGAATTTCATAATTTTACTTGACACTTCTACAGATAGAAAAATATTATCAGTATGATGAACATGGCTTATATGCCTTAGAGAAAATTCAAAATATTTAGAACTAACTTTTAAAAAATTGAGTATTCTTGAAAAAATAATAATTTCGTTATTAATGGTTTTTGTTCACCAATATTACTCTCGTGTTTGCTTAACTGACATGCTGTGTTGCTGTTTGTAGCAATTTTTCAGAATGTTTCTCTTGTAATTTAAGGAATTTTTCTCCAAAAAATTAAATTTTATACTCCAAAATTTCATTCTCTTCTAACTGCAACCAAAATTAAAATGAACTGGAAAAAGTCACTGGTAAAAAAAATACAGATAATCAATGTCTAAAAATATGACTGTTTTTTTCCCCACATTGTACAAAAGTAGATTAGGTGGCCAGATTCAAAGAAAAAAAAATTTAAGTTGTTAATAACAAATGAAATTTTATAGCTGAAATGCATAAAGATGTTTGGAGAAAAAATGAAAGATGTTTTCAAAAAAATTATACTTGATACGTATGCTGTCAAATATTGTTATACAATCTGTTTTTATTAGATTAGTCCTTACAAAAACTGGGATACTTAGGGAACTATAAAAGATGCAAGTTTTCTCACAAAAGTTATAAACTTAAGGCAACTAATATCATAATAAATAATGCTGCATATCAGTTCTCCTAGTGATTATCAAGTGTTCGGGCATAGCAAAGAAATGAATCTGCAAATTAAATACTGTTTTCTCTAGTTAAAGCAGGAAAAATTGTATGTTGCGTACATTTTAATTAAGAAAATATATTTAAAAAATAGTAACTAAAAAACTTATTTCTTTCTTCAAAGTTATTAGTTATTTCATTTCGTCTCTTTAAAAGAAAATTGGTGTTTTTTACTACATTGAACTTTAAGTTTAGGAGTGTTTTATGTAGGTGTATTCAAAATAAAACAGGTGTACTAAAAATTTTTTTCCTGGACTAATTTGATAATTTTGTATTTTAGGTATGGTCCTACAGAACAGTTGAAATTCGTGGGAATAGAGAGAGAATGTGAATTTCAGTAACATTTGAAGAAATGCATTGTGGAAGTTGAGTTTGATAACTGCCTTGTTGTGTTGTAATTTTTCATCATTCATTGGCAATTAAAATATGTACTGAAATGTTCATAAACTCTGTAGAAAACTCTTTGAGAAAGTTCTTGTGCAACTGTTCATGGTATATAAAACAAAAGTTCATGTGTTAAAATGTAGGACTTCAACAAATAAAAAGTTATTCTTAAAACTATTTCATTTAATGCAAAACAAAAGTTTGTTAATAATTCAATGAAATGTCAAACTTCAGTAAAAAGACTAAAGTTTGCAAAAATCACTTTTGTTTATTTTATTATTGTGCTGGTGGACTTTTTAAGAAACTCACTGTTTTTTATTATTGTTAACAAACTCTAAATAATATTTGTAGTGAAGTCACTATTGTAATGTCATTAAATTGTAAATAGAGTAATGTTATTGCTATAATTTATAATTTGACTGTGTTAGTTTTTTTACCTGTTGCTGTCGACATATCATACTATAATCCGCTGACACTCTTTGTAACAACCTGAGCCATCTAAACAAAAAATGAGCATAATTGCTACTATTTGTTAATTTGTAAAGAGGATTTAGACATTTATCAAATCAGATTTTTGTTGTATGAGTTATTGGAAAGGCTTCATGTAATGTGGTCATATTAAAAAACGCACCATAGCTTCTAATTCCAGCAGATTTTTTTTAAAGGTTTTATTTTAATATTTGAGATGATAGATTGATTTCTCAATTACGATTTTTAATTTCACTACTACTTGGGAAAATCATTCTTTTAAAAAAGGCAGAAATCGAGTGGTATTATTTTAACAGACACACAAACAGTCAATACATTTTTTATAATCATTTTTGACGTTTAAACAAAAAATATTAGAATTAGGAAACTGTGTATTTACGTTATATCTTGGTGTATAATTCGGACACCTAATTTTTTTAAGATGGCAAATTTCTGGTATGTCAGGTGTGTAAGTCTACAAGCTGAAAAAATCGGAAGGTGAAAATTCTAAACTTTGAAAACTTAATAAAAATTTCTAACTCCACAAAATTTTAAGTTAATGTTAAAGTCAAATGTTATTTTAAGTTGAAAGTTATTGTGTTTGCTAGTTAAAACAATAGCTACAATGCCTCAAGGAAATTTGGCATAGGTGTAAAGCTTGTGAGAGATTAGAAGAAAAATAAAGACAAAGAAAGATAAAATAAAAAGTTATTTAAATTTCTAGCTTTTTAATATGTTTTAAAAGTTTTCACTGTGTTATATTTTTTTAAATACTCTCTTGAAAAAAATTATCTCAATTTTTCTTATTCCCAGTTTTTTTCCTGAACATGATTTAAAGTATTATGTCTAAAAAATCTATATAAGTAAATAAAATTTAATGAGAGAAAGTGCAAAATTAGTTGTACCTAATATATTGAAAAAATTTTTTGAGGGGGGTAAATAGATGCAGACCATTCACATCTATCTCGTAGTTTATAATGCTTTGAATTTTGTAAAGCTTTTGAACAGTCTTGTACACCTGGACATAAGTCATCTATTTCGAGTCCCACTCAACATGTAACTCTAGCAATGATAAACAAGATGAAGAAAAATATTTTAACACCTGTTTTTGAACAGTTTTTCTTATGAGTGAAAAAATGGGAAATTTTATTTTTGATTCTATACTCAAATGAATGAAAAAAATAGGACTTTTTAAATTACTTGTATTGTAACACAATCACAGTAATGGGAGGTCATTCTTAAGAGTGTCAACTGAATTTTTTATTTATAAAGAATTCAATAATACAGTCAAACCCCGCTATACTCTTGTTTCAAACTTATGTTAAATCCCCAAGTATTAATAGGTTTCATTACTTCTCAGTTTTTATTAAATCTGTATGTAANGTTCACTATAGCGGAGTTTGACTGTATCATAAAAAATGTCTCAACTTTGTATTTTAAATCTATATGTATGTTAATATTAGAGTGTTTTTACCCTGTTTTTATTAACTAAATGTTCTACATAATTTTTTTATAATTTAAGAAGAACTTATTAGCCCAAAAGTTAGGTAGCTCAAATTTTTTATAATAATTATGTTATTTATGTAACCATTTCAGTTTTGAATTTGGTTAATTGCTAAGAAAAAAAAAACACATTTGTAAGAAATAATATGTTACATCTCATTTCATTCAGTACTTTTTTGTATCACTCATCTAAGTATTATTTTAATTAACTTTTGATTGCATTTTTATTGCTGAGAGGGTTTTATTAGAGGTTGAAAATTATTTTTAACCATTAGTAAAACCTTCTCAGTTTTAAAGATTGATTAATTTTTGAAAATTTTTGCAATTTTTTATTGTAATAAATGTTTACTTTTAATAAATTTGAATAGGGGAAAATTTGACTTAGTTTATTTTCATAATAAATTTATCACAATTTAAAATTACTTAGAAAAATAGTAATTTTTAGTTAATTGCTGGACACAATCGTGCATGTATTTTATTCTTTTTTTAATAAATATTGAAATTGGTTTAAAAATCATAAATTTTTTAATTTATACTTTTTTTTCTTTTGAGCCAAATGAAAATATTTATATATTACAATTTTTTATGCTACTTATTTACAAAATTTAATGTGAGAGGTAGAATATATTTATTCTCAATTACAAATCTTGCAGGTGTGGTAAAAAATCACATTAGATAAAAAATATGTTTAGAATAGGTATGAATGGGACATTTTTTTATCTAACTATTGAAGAGTTTGTTATGGATGGTTAACCGTACAAAGCTGAGCACTTCTGGGTTACTTCTTGTGATTTATTATTATACCCTAGCTTAAAAAACTTGCTGTCTTATATTGTTATTGTACTGTTTACAATATGACTCTTGTTATTTATTATTAAATTTGTAAACATATTTAATTTTAACTGATAGTACATAAAAAACTGAAGAAAGCACTCAAAACAAGGCAACCTTTACACATATTTATTATATGATTATTTATATTGATTTTTTTAAATTGACTAATGACTCTCAACTTTTTAGAAATTATAAAATTAAAAAAAATCTTATGAAGGGTAGACTTACGTGTTGATTTAAATACAAACTTAATGAAACTTCCTAGAATATTAAGCCTGCTCATAAACATAACATGAATAATATGCTAAGTTTTAGAGATTCCGTTTCAGTTTTATAATCTTGTTATTGGTTATACTCAGTTAACTCTGCATAAAAAGTAGAAGGCCTTAACTTTTTATGTCAGAGGTGCAAGATTTTTATTTGTGTATCATGAAACTTTTTACATTTATATGAGGACAAACAGTTAGTTTTGCTACTTCAAGCTGCGCAGAAGTGAAGTCTAAGAGCTTAATTTTGTAGCTTGAGTATCAATCTCAATACTGTTATTGTTTTTATAATTCAAATAATAAAATATGTGAAATAAATTATTTAATTGACACAACCTGCAACTATTTTTAAAATAACACTTATTTTCTGACATAATTGAGCTTTTTTAACTTAATTAGAATCCAATTAAACATACTGTTATAAAAAAAATTTGCTAGTTTTTTTTAAAGCTAGTTTGCTTAAATATGAATGAAATATAAATTTTTTTGACTAAATGTATAATTTAGTGTTGCCAATTAGAGTTACTTATATAATAATTACAACTGGTTTTTTTTTTAATTTTGTCAAAAATTCTTGCAGGTTTACCATTAAAAATCAATTATAATTAACATAATTTATTTTCGACTTCGAAGATAATAACTGTTTGTATAAAATTGTAAATGTTTACTAAATTTTTTATTAGCCAGCTATAGTTTTTAGTTATGACCTATTTTATCATCATCCTTATTATGAAATGTGTACCATTGTAAGTGCAATAGTGCAAAACATGTTTACCTTCCTATTAAAAAAACTATTAAAACCTACACTAAATTAAGAAAAATGCAGTTTAAATAAAAATTAACTAAAGCAGATATAGTTAATAATAATATGGTATTAAAATAAAAAAAAATTATTTTGAAATGTAGCATATTATAAGTTTTGCTATTAACAAAAGCTATTCAGAATTAGTGTTGCAGACCAAAATGAGACACATAAGAAAAAATATAAAAGGGAAAATAAATAAAATAACCAATAAAAAGACTTTAAAATGAAGGAAACAACTTTTTTTACTTATAATCAAATTATTACATGAACCTTTTTTTTTATTTGTGCAACATTCAGAACTAAATTTTATACTGCAAAAATTATTTTTTAAATAGAAGACAAGAGGACCTTCACAACACTATTTGATTCATTTTAGCTGTTAACCTATTACAGTACAGAACCCGTTATCCGGAAATCAGAAAACCAAAAAACCGGAACGAAATTTGATAAATTTTCCAGGCCATTCTTTAAAAAAAAAAATTTTTTTCCTCATAAGATTTTAGGATTTTTCTTTCTTTTTTGAAAGATGCTTACCTTACCATGCTTTTGGAAATAATCATTAGTTAATTACTTCATCGTTTTTTCTTCTTTTTAAGATTATTTCCAAATTTATATATATATATTTTAGTTGGGTTTAACAATAAAAAAAGGTTTTTTGTAGCGATTCGGAAAACCGGAAAAATCAGTTATCCGGAATAGCGAATGTCCCGATCGTTCCGGATAATCGGTTCCCTACTGTAATTGTATACATTCTTCAGGTGTCTTATCATTTTACTCTTAAAAGTTAACTGTGAATTAATAATATTTCTTTATATCCTTTGGTTTATAACATATTTAATAAATAACTTAAACGATTTACTATAAGTTTCCATTAAAGATATTTGCTGTAACTGAACCACTAATTTTATTACCAAAATTTGAATAGTTGCAAAACAGATTCAACTTTCCTATCATACCAATATTTGTTCACTATTTTTAAGCTTAAATCAACTATTCGTAGATACCGGAAGCAGCAAACATCATTGGGATAAAAAAATTTGTAATAAAAATATATCGTTAGTTGTATTAACACTAAGTTACAAGGAGGGTCTCTTGCTCTAGTGTTTCTTCTTATATAATATGCCTATGCCACTAATTATAAATTGCTGAAGTATAAACATTTTTATGCATAACCTTTTCAGAGATATTTTTCTAAGCGTTGTGGTTTTCTTCAATTCTAACGCTATTTGAACTTCACGCATACGCGAATATTTCCCTACAAATTACAGTATCACTAAGCTACTTAGAAAATTTGCTCAATCAGTCTAATTTTGTTCAGGCATATTCAAATGAACCTTGTACGTACGTTGAATACGATTTGAAATAAATCAAGCAAACTGAGCAATCGATGGTATAGTTTCTAATCCGTCTAAAAGTATGGGTGCATTTTTGTAAAAGCTATCAGGCAGATTAGAAAAAAACTGGGGAGCTTTTTAACTAGCCTGGTGTATTGCAAAGTGATGTCAGCGGTTTTAAAGAGGTGATTTTTCAATTAACCTACGACATATATATTTTTTGACTTCAATCTTGATAAAGGTTCAAAATATATGAGGTATTAAAATATGAGACTGAGGTTTTGAATATTTTTTATTCAAATGGAATTACTATTCCATACTGTTTCCCACAAAATAATTTTCCTGGGAAGACGGAAGACACTTAACGTAGTTGACTGTTCTTCCTTTCCTCACAACAGTGCTGAAATTCGAATACTGGATTAGCATCCACTGTCTCAAAATAAAGTTTCCTGATGCGAATTTACAATCTCGGTATGAGATAACTATCACAATAACTAAAGTCAGGTGAAGAGATTGGAAATCTCAGAAATGTGTTTGCTGGCCAAAAATGTGTTTATTGATAAGGCTCTTTGTTGTAATGCCGGATCCTACAGTTTTTTTTAAGGTTTACTAAGGCTTCATTTATTTATTAGTTCAAAAATTAAGGTTAACTAAACTACTGACTTAAAAGTTGAGTATTATCTCTATTCAGTTGTGTCATGCAAGTCCTATGTGTATCCAGTGAATGTCCACTACACGTCATTGCAAACATCCTCGCAGGTCCATGTGGACGTCTACAAGGCATCCCGGAAGGATCCAGAAGTTCAACATCTGTCCATGAGACATCCACCATCCAAAACTTTTCCAGACTCGGACGTTTCATAGACAGCCATAGGACTTGATCTGCTGAAAGACGTATGACGAACTTGCCGTTTGTAATGTCGTTCATATACGAACTCTGTAATTTATTATTTCGCATTTATTTTTAAGAGTGTAAAAACTAAATAAAAAACTTTTAATCTTTTTTAAACTTTTCAGTTATGCTTGACAAAATGCACTCGTTTTTTTAATGTAAAATTTTAAGGAAATCGAATGTTTAAGATGGTTAAAATTCTGCAAGCCTAAAATACCTAAAATTCTTCAAACTCCTAACTACTCAGCCAATGAAAAAAAAAATCGTCCCAGTTACTGGAGTTTTGTAATCAAAATGTGCTTTTAAAACAAATGCAATTTGCATTTTTTTTTTTGCATTTCCATTTTGCCTTTTAGTCATATGAACATAAAATAATTTCTTTTAATTTAATAAAATAGAAAATATTTTTAGTTCAGTACCTATTTTTGTCATTTCTTTTAAATAAAATATATTTAAATAGAAATTTTCATTTTTCTCCCAATAAAAACGAATGATGTTTACTGTCTAAAGAGTCACTAGATGGCGTTAACACTCCTTTCAGTAGAATATTTAAAAACAGACTATCCTCTAGTGGGACAGAAACAGTTAGTCTAAGACGCATAAATAAATAAAAATTTTAAGCGGTCGTCAAATCTTAATTTAAACAATCGGAGTTAAATTTATTTTATAAAATGGATACACACAGTCCTGAATATTCAAGAATACTACATAATCTCATTTTAAAATTTATTTCAATACTTAAAGATTATGTTAATGTTACTAGTGTGGAAAAAAGTAAAGTATTTTTTGAAGTGATTAAAAGAAGTTTCAGTATTTCTCAAGGAATTAAATTGATTGCTCTTAATGCTCTTACAAATGAAACTGCAGGTATTCTGTTCGAAATATTCAAATTTTTTTGTGATTGAAATTTTCATTTTTAAACTTGTACTTATTAAAGATATTTTTAGTTAGAATTATTTAAAAAAATATGTTGATTTCACTAGTACAAAGAAAAGTTAAATGTTAAGTATTTTTTGACGTTGTGTACTTTATATCAGGGTGAATTCTGAGATCTTCTCACATATTTACCTATTATCTCCTAAATTAGCCTATATCCCAAATTTGCCTGTGATTTATTTGCCTATTTGTTGGTCAAAATATTAATATGAGACAATTTATGTAATAAATTATTGCAAAGTAAATTGTTTGCAAAATGATATAAGTTTATGTTTCTATTATTTGTACTTGTATCCAATCATTCATAAATTTATGTTGTGTGATTCAAAAGTCTTATGAACTTCTTTGAACTTTATTCATTCCCTTAGTTTTTAATTTTAGATAAAACTATTTCTGACAGCATTACTAGTCGTAAAGTCAAAGATTTGTTAGATATTTATTTACAACAAGATTTAATGGAGTGCGCTGTGAATTCTGGGAACATGATTTGGAAGAATGTCTCTGATGGTAAGTTCTTCATGATCTAATAGATAGGTTATACCTCCCACGATGAAGTGAATACAAAAAAAAAATCCTATAAAATCAAATATAAATCTTGATATAACTGGAAAATAATATATAAATAGCTTATCATTTATTTAATGAATATGGTTATATGGTGACCAAGGATCTAATGTTTTACAAATAGATCTTTTTAAAATTTTTTATTAAATGTACATTCACTAAATAATGATTTTAGTTAAAAAAATAATTTGTGGAAAAAATGTGGAAATTTGAAGAATTTGTTTCTTGTATTATACTAAAATTATTATGTGGTAGCTTAAATAGTTTCTTAATCAGTATTTAATTTATAAATTATTTTATAAATTCATTACTTATTGAATGAAAATTAAATATTTCTAGATTTTTATTATTGTTAATTTTACAATACGATGTATATATATATATTGTGTAATAAAATTGAATAGTTCAATTACTTGTGATTTTACCATATTGAAGTTGAAGTCATTCAAGTGAACAGTTATTGTAAATTAGCTTTATCTTGTTATCTTTAAAACTAACATGACAAGAATTTTCATAAATTTCTTTATAGTTAGATCATTATAAACATTAAAAATCATTATAAACATTTAACTGCAACTCAGCCTTAACCAATTATGTTTCACTGTGAGTTTATTAATTTACCTTAATTATCTTAATTACCAAAACTTTTATACTTATATTGTTTTTAGCAATTTTTTTAATTATGTACTTCAAGGTTTTTAATTTTTTTTTTTATAGATGAATTATATGAATCACTTTATGTGAATTCCATTAGTGACAAGAATACCATGGCATCAACTGTAACAGTATGTTTAACTTCAAATTTTATTTTCAAATTTTATAGTTAATATTTAGAAAATAAAACAGCTATCACTTTAGATGTTAGGATTTTTATTTTGAGAATGAAACAAAAGCTATACTTATTTATAAATAATAATTTGTCATTTTTTATTGTGATTTTTTATTTTGTTATGACATAACAGAAAATTTCAAGTTTTGTAGACATTCAAAAATACTTATTCTTGTTCTTATCCTTTAAAATGTATAGGTTCTTGTTACAAATAATGGTTACAGTTATCAATTTTTATCTTATAAATCACATATTTTAGGTCCTTCCAGTTATACTTGCCATATACTGCTTACGTAACATATATAACACACCTTAACTTTAATTTTTAAGCATGCACTTCATTTAAAATTTTTAATTTCTTCCATCTTTTGCAATTTATGAAATGCCATTTAAGTATTATATTTAAAAAAAAAAAAAAAATTATGTAGTGATTCATAAATACTTATGAAAAATATCTCTCGTAATTTTTTTAAATTTAATAACTAAAATATGCCAGTGATGAATTAATATTGGTATAAAAACTAAAATGAAGATTATTTTGTAAATCTTTGAACGAAGCATTCTGTCGGTATGTAAAAACCCTTGTATGTACTGAAGAGTTGCAAAGTCTTGTATCTCTTTTTTCTCTCTTTTTTTCCCCTTTGCATGTTAGATTGTTTTGACTAATAATATTTTTGAGAATGAATGAATGAGGATTTTAGCTCATAAACTACTGTTTGATGATAACTGTTTTTTTTTTTTTTTTAATTTTTTTTAAAATTAAATTTAAAGTGTTTATCAAAATTTTTCTTGTTTTTTAAGTTTTTATTTCTCAAACTCTAAAAATATTTCTGTTCATCTTCCTTTGTGTTCCTTCTTTTTTTCTTCTTCTTCACATAAATGGTGCCACTATAATAGCAATTCTCAGAATTAATTTATCGTTGCAGTTCTAGCATTTTCCAAGTTGTGACTTTCATGTTGATGTTTATTTGATTGGTCTTATTTTAATTTGGTCTTGTTATAGGAATAGGCACTTATCTAAATGTTAATTATATCCTTTGGGTATTAATAGTTGGAATTGGAACCATTTTTGATTTTGTTATATTTATATCATTATTCTGAACATTTTCATTGACCTGTTTTTATATTTATATATATATACGTTTTTGAACATAAGGCTCACAACTATCCAGCCTAGAAAAAAAAAAAAAAGGAACCAGCCATTTGTGAAATTTTTTGTGGGAAGTGACTGATGGGAAAATAAAGCGTTAAAGGACTAAAAAGAAAAAGCAGTCCTCAAGAATTTAGTCTCTTACTAAAACGAGTACATTTTAACTCTTTCTTCCCATAATTTTTCACATTTATGTATAGATTACTAATAAACAGTAAGTATTTTTTTGCATTAATCATGTATCTTTAATGTGTTTTTAATTATATGAGAAAGGAGGGGAAAATTAGAACTCCATCCTATGCATTTTTTTGTTTGTTTTTCTTCTACCCTTCTGCTATATTAAACTGTATAGCCAAGAGCCTACTATGTATATATATATGTATATATGTATACTTTACCCTACAATAATTGAAGAGACACTTTCAGTTTTTGAAGTTTTTTTAAATTTCTCGATAAATGCTTATCGGATTATTTTATAACTTTAGAGGTGTTTAGGTCATATAACTTCTCATACTTATCTATAAAGTTTAAAGCTTTCAAAGGTTTAAAAAACCAGAAATAAATTCCAAATGAAAAAAAAAGTATTTTTAAACACCCTAGGTCAGAAAATGTAGCAAGAAACCTATAACTTTTTTAGTTAAGTTTTTTAGTTTCTATAACTTTTTTAGTTTATTAAATGCAATAGTTGCCTAAAATTTTATTAGTCTAGCCTAATTATTTGTCGAAGTACGAATATTTTTATAAAACGTTATTTTTTTGTTTATTAAATTACCCAAGATATTAGTACTTAAAAGTAGTTCTTTTAAACTCTGTGAGCAAGAAAACATCAAATTTTTTTTCCTTCATAATTTTGTAATAAAGCATATTTAAAAACTATTAAAAAAACTGTGATTTGAATATCTTGAAAATTTAAAAGTTTTTAATTTCAGTCTCTTTTTGAAGTAGTTTTTGTACTTTTTTTTAGGATTTTTCATAACTGTTATTTTTTTGTTTTACAATTGAACAAGATTTATTAAAAATGACATCTGTATTATAGGGGGATCATCTACCAAAAAAATATGTTTTTTTTTTATAGTTTTTTTTTCCTTATACTATCACATTTTTGTGTAATGACGATTATTATAAGGTATTGACATTTGATATTAAATTTTGCTTTATGATACAAAATAAATTTTGGGGAAAACCTCTTACTGTTCAGTTTTTTAAAAAAATTTTTTTAATTTACACAAACTATTTAGAAAATTGCATGGAATTTTAAAGATACTCAAGCTAGGTTTGCAAAGTTTTTACGATTAATAACCAAAGTAATCGATACAAGTTTATTGCTGTATTTTCTGATGTAGGGTGTTTAAAAAACTTTTTTGTTTTTGATTTATTATCACTTCCTTAAACTTCTGAAAGCTTTAAACTTTGATAAGTTATGAGAAATTGCAGGAAGTAATCACTTTTGAAGTAATGAAATAATCAAAGTATTTCATGAGAAATTTAAAAAATGTCAAATACTGAAAGCATCTCTTCAATTATTGTAGGGGAGTCTATATATTACTAACGATTTGAAATTTTTTGGTTTAAATTCTTTTTAGAAATTACGTCCTACAATGTCTATGGGAGATCTTCAATCATATTATTCAGCAAATTTATATTTTACCTCCTCAAAAACTACTCCAGATTTAGATTGCCTTATACTGTCTTCACAATTTGACCAGTGTAAAATTCAATTTGAAGAAGATCTGTCTCGACTGAAGTTAGTATGAAGTAATCTTTTTTCTCTGTAGAATTCTGTTGTACAAATTATAGTTTTATTTTGGAATTTCTTTTGATTAATTTAATAGATAGTTTTTTAATGTTTCATTATTATTTTAATATGCTTTAAATTTGTTTATTGTTTTTAATTAAAATACTTTAAACTATTATGTCGAGCTTCTTTAAATATCCTTTGCATTGACACATTTTATATATTAATATCCCATTCTGCAGTTTTTTTTTGTAAATGTATAAAAACATGTTTAAATTATAAATGTAGGCCAAGATAGCCTGGCCGGTAGGTCATTTGAGTCATGTTCGTGAGTTCAAATCTCGCCGTCTGAAGAACCCCTGTGTATTAAATGGTGACTGGTGCTCCTTAAATCTGTAGGGGTCACAAAGTCCATCAAATTTCTATAACAAATCATCACCTCTGGGGATACTGAATTAGGGATTGATCGTGTTTTAGATCAGGTCAAAATTACAATCTGCGGGTGTAGTATGATTGAGTCTTTCCTGTAATACGAGTTGTGACTAAAATCGTATTCTTGGCCATAGATGACGCCACCAAAAAATCAAGAAATGTACCCTCTGCCTTAAAAATCCTCTTGACTTCATGCAGGCTTGCTGGTATTGACAAGTGGCATAAGTAGGGCAGGATAGCCTGGTTGGTAGGGCAATGGGTGCATGTCCAAGGTTTAGGTTAAATGGTTTAGGACCCTGCCGGCCGAAGACTCTCCGTGTAGTAAATGGTGACTGATGCACGTTAAATCTGTCGAAATTCTAATGATGAACTTACAGAAAAACACATTACGTACTGGTCTTAAACAAGAAGCGTTAAACGCAATTATGAACATCTACCTGAATGGAAAGCCCTTTTCAGATTTCTGTGCAGAAACCTCTGTAAATCATTGGCTTGATTGTGGAACTGGCAAACGTCATATTTGATTCATTTAAAAAACGCAGTACCCTCAGATAAATTGACATTCCAGATAGCTTGACCTTTTGTCATATAAATTATTTCATAAAAGAAATAAATTATTTCTTAAAAGAAATACTAGGTTACTATTTGTAACCTAGTATTTCTTTTATTACTGTATAATGTAATCCTAGTAATTACTAATTCATTGTGCAATTTATATAAATGTTTGTTTGTAATAAATAAGAGAAAATTGTATTTATATTTATTTAGAAGCTACGGGTTAGTTTCAAAAGAGGATGGGTACATTGTTGGACAAGCCGTCCTCAGGGACGGATAAAATTTTTGAGTTTTTTCGAGCCCTGGGTTTCATGTTAACATTTTTATCACTTTTATTTAGCAAATGTACTAATATATATCAAATAAAAATGTTAAAAATTGCATTTCTCAAGTGGATTTGAGAAGATAAAAATTCTATTTTTATCACACCGAAAATGAAAAATGTTCTTAAATTTAAATACATTTTTATGGCTATCATTATAATTTAATTTGGAAAAAAGTTCAGAACATATGGTTCTTTATATATCATAATATCATGTATAGTTATAAATTTTTTCTATGATCCATCTATCTTCCCTAAATAACTTATAATTGAGTTGTTTTGTCTCGAACGAGTAAATTTCCTATACATATGAACTGTTTTCAGATTCTTTGATTAAATTTTTTTTTTATTTCCAATGAGCTGCACAATCGNACAGAACGGTATTTAACAAATTCTCCAGAGGTGGTATCCACTCTTTCAGGACCACCACAATGGGTGAGATACCGTTGGTCGGTCATGTTAATTTGGACGTCTAGTTTCTGCCACACTAGATGGCAGCTCTATTTGGATGCTAAAGTGCACTAGGAACTTAATTTTGCCGGAAATGCCAAGAGCCAATAAGGCATTCCAGGGATCTTTTACATGCCGCATAATCATACGTCATGGCCGCTAAGGATTTTCTACATCCTGAAAGGCTCAGAAGGCCGACGACAAACCAACTGCGCCACCCAGCCACATTGATTCAATTATAAAATGAGAAATAAAAACTTATCAAATTGAATACTCAAACTTAAAAATGACATTATGTAATTTTATAACAAACTAAGTACTTATTTTATANGTATATATATATATATATATTGTATACTCCATATATTTTGTGCAATAAAAAGTACTTATAAATTTTATTGTGAGAAAGATATTGGTTAAATTAGCTTAAACTTCAATTGAATGTTGATCAGTGTAGCAATATTTATTTTCTGTTCAGGTCAACTTTACGAAATGGGTCACCCTCTTTGGATTTCAAGAGCAATGATGTAAGTCAATGTGTATGTTTATTAATTATAAAACAGTTTTTTAATTGGACTAACAGTTATACACTTAGTCAAGGTTTAATGTATTTATTAAACTTAACATACATGTACTAAAACTTTTGAAATTTTTTTTCTTATATAGTTATTGATTGTTTATATTATTTATTGCTGTTTAAAAGTAAAAATTATGTATAAATATCAGCTTATGTAAGCTTAGCATATTTGTTATGTTGGTTCAAACAAGCATAACAGTCATTATATAATTTTTTTTATTGATGTTAAGACTTTAAGTTTAATATTTGTTAGTTTTAACCTGCTAAATATTTTTACTAACTCTAATATAACTTAGTAACTTAATAAACTAATAAACTAAATATTTTTACTACTTAGTTTCTCTGCTGCAGTGGGTTTTGTCCTTCACATTTAATTAGACAGAACCTTACAAAAGAAGAAAAAAAATCCATTTAAGTTTACCATCTAAATTTAATGAACTTTAATTTTTAAAAAATATATTTTGCTTTTAATATATCATTCATTGATTTATTGTCTTTATTATAAAATTTTCAACCAGAGTTTTTAAGTTTATTTTACTTTACAACCATGCATTTTTAAATAAGTTATCAGGGTAACATTTGTTATCATTAATTGTTAAATTTTATAATTATCATAACTTATTTAAAATAAGTGTCAAATGAACTGAATTTACATTTAAAATGTAAAATTTAACTGTCTCTTGAATGATTATAACTCAATTAACTTACTGCAGAAATTTATTTAATAAATTTTTTCCAGGGATGTTCTAAATCAAGCTGCGATTTGGTTGGCGATTCTCGAAGTACTTTTAGTAATGAATCTCATGAGCTTGATGGTGTTCAACCAACTTATAACTTTACAAATTGGTTAATGTTTGCCAATTCTCAATCATCTGATAATGACCTTCATCAAAGACTGTTTAGAGACTCTTGGGAAGGAAAAATGAAGTATTGAAATATTTTAATTTTGTTTTCTGGACTATTTTTACTGCTTTCAGCTTGTTATAACTATTGAATTTCTAGTATTTTTTGCCAGTCTTTTTATGTTGTAAATACACCTAATTACTCTATTTAAAATTTTTAAGTTAACATTAAAATTAGCTAAGAAAGTATGAAAAAGATTTTGTATTTTTTTTTAATTGTGAAAAATGATATTGTATTTTTTTTCAAGTGTTTATAACTTTTAATTCATCACGTATGTTCATTTAGCCAGAATTTTTTTATCTAAAATATAATATATTGTTTTAAATGAAGAAAAACAGTTTAAAAGGAAAATGTTTAGAAATATAATATTGAACGATTCATAAAATTTTGCAGTGCTTGAAACAAATTGATTCTGTTTAACATTCCAGACAATTGCTGTAAAAAGTTTATGTTTTAAGTTTTATTTCAACTGGCATATTTAAAAAACATAAGTGTGATTTTATATTAACTATAATCAGTAAAGATCATTCTTTTTTGTGTTTACATTTAAACTGTATAACTGCAGTAAAAAATTTACATTTTCTACTATCTTTAATGATTTTAATAAATCTTTATTAATGCTAAACATTTTATAATTATTCAAACAAAGAAGGGTTGACTTTAAGTTGTGTAAGAACAAAGTTAAAACAAGGGGAAAAGAGCAGAAATACTTGTTTCTGTGACTTTTTTTGCTCTTTTTATGGTACTTTGCTCTATATTCTCTATTTGCTCTGTATGGTTCTTTGCTCTATAACATTATTCATATTATAATTTAATTTCATGTGTATATTTCAGAAAATAGGAGGTTTTTAGGGTTTTATTTTTTACTTTTCTTACATAATTTATTCATATGAATATTGCATGCATTGGTGAATGGTTATGTTCTGCCAACTATCAGATTTTGTTATTTTCAAAACAATTTTAGTTAAAAACTAAAAATAATTTAAAAAAAAGATGACTTGGTTGCTGCTCTTTAGATACTTGGTCGAACATAGAAAAATTAAGATAAAGCATACTAAAAAGGATTTTTTAAAAATTTTTTTTTTATTTGTTGACTAATAAAGATTGAAACAAGAGAGTGTATGCACAATACTTTAGAAGTAAATCTGTATTCGATGTATTTTGATCCAGGAAAATAATTTCTTGCTAATTTGTTAATTCTAACTAAGCAATTTAATGTTAGTACCAGTATTTTTTTTTCCCTTTCAATTTTGTTTTAGAATTTAAAGTTTGTTTTTATTTTAAAAAATAAACCTAAATTGATTTTTTTAAAAAAAAGTTTTTATGTTTTTCTTAATTACTTGTAAGACGTGTCAAATAAAAATTGGTAAGGTAAAATGCTGACTGTCTAGTTTAATTACATTAAAAAAATATAACTAATTTAAAATGATTAGAGAAATAAACATGTTTTTGTATTCTATTTTTAAAAAATTTACATTTCATTTAAGTTTTTCAGTGAAGTTTAAAAATTTATATTTCATGTGTAGATAGTGTTTCTTAATTAGATCAGACATTTTTGAAGTTTGCCATGAATTGCCCCCAAAACTGAAATAACTTAAGCTACACCAAATAATAGGCTAAATTTAAAGGTAATAGAAATTTTAGTCTAAAATAAAAGTCTAAATAAATGTCTAAAATATCCATCATTAAAAGTGAATTATTTGTTGTATAATTGGTCCCAAAAATTTTTTATTACCATAAAAGATTCTGAATTATTGCTTGATTTGAGTGCCACACAACAGAATTATGTATTATGAATTTGTTTTGTATCTGTGTTATAATTTTATTTTATAAATGTTGTTTAAGTTATATTAAGTATTGAGTTAACAACTCTATTCTTTTAAATTCAGGCAGTTTATCCCTTGTCATTTATATACATCAGAATTAAATTCGAGAGAAGCTCTATTGAATGTGACTGATGAAGATTCTCCATTGTTTCGTTGCATATATGATACATCTTCTTTATCAGAAGATGCTTTGAAGCACGATGTTCTTGATTTGCTCATTGGAATTCCATCAGATACTTTTGTATATGACAATGTAAGTGTTTTACGAGAATTTTTCAAATACAAATATTTGCCATCGTTTTATTTTATTATTTTTCTATGTATGTTTTGAATATTGACTTTTGAAATAAATATAGAGCCTTTTTTTTAAATTCTTTATTTTGCAGAACAAAAGAATGTTCCTTGTCAACTCTCATATTCATATGGATAAGTTATCCCATGAAAGTTCTTTAAGATTTCTTGAAACGTTTGTTGATGCAGGGAATATGTTTCATAAGCTGCAGTTATTTTCAAAGGAGCTATCTTACTATGAAGATGGTAATTTTTAGGGTTTTTGGCATTTTTTATTTTTTTGTAAAAAAGAAAGAAAAAAATGCCTAATAAATTTTTTTTTTAAAATCTTAACCCTAGGAAAAATTAATTTTTGCTATTTTTATAATTGTTGCTTTTAATTTAAGTAAAAATCATTAAGACTATCCAAAAATTACATATTGTAAAGGTTTTCTTTATAAATAATGATGTGATGACTAGTCTGATCATTATTATTTAAGCTTAATCAATTACTAGTGTCATTACTATAAGCATAGGCAATTACTATTTAAGCAACTCAATATTAAAAAATGCACAATTAATTTTTAATATATTTGAGTTACAATTTGTTTTAATCATTCTTTTTTCAAAATAAATTTATAACTACAATTAAAATTTTCTAATGAACAATTTCTCTTATTGTTGATAAATGTTATTGTTGTATTTTAATAACTAGTTATTTTATGATAATTAAATTTTAAAATATTGTACTTTTATATGAGATTTACTTATATATTATATGATTTCGTTTTGTTGTTTTTAAAACTAATCTCTTGAGTTTCTTCTGAAAGTTATAGTTTGTACCATTTATTATAGATTAGTTAAGTATGTCTCTCTTTCATTATATAATTTCAGTTTTCTTCTCGCAAAAGTCATACATTAATTAATGCTTTTAATTTCATCACCTTTGTTTTCTAGGCTTGGTTTTAAGAGGTTTGAAGTTAGGTATTCAGCAAGTACTAAACCTATATACAGAATACATAATGGGTGTGAAGGTAAAAAAGCCTAGTTTGCAGTTTTTAAGAACAGATGTTTTAGAAGCTGCTCAGTCTTTGAAGTAAATCAAATTTAATATTTTTAGTACATTTTTAATCGGAATTTCTTTTTAACTTCAAACTGTCATTTCAAGATATGGACTATTATATTAGCTATGAATATATTCTTGGTAACTATTGCAGTAGTTATGGTTAAGTCTTTGTGTCATAAATCAGAATATATTAAGATATAGCATAACATATTGTGGTTTTCTATAAAAGGGAGTAGGAGCGAAGTGTTCTGATAGTTTTTTTTTAACTATTCGTATTAGGATATTTCTGCTTGAATTATATCTATAGAGATATTTAGGTATGGGAATTAGATATATACAAGTACATGTTTGTGTTTTAAAGAATTGGTATACAAGTTTGTAATAAATTATTAGTTTTCTTACTTCAAGTTATCACTCTTTCTGTTTAAATAATCAATAATTAACTAACTCCAAAAAGTATTTTTTTCTCTGAGAATTCTTATGAAAGTACAGAAATGTTACTCTATATTCAAAAAATAACTATATTAAAAAATATCAACTTAATTTATACTTACAGTCTTAAAATTTCAGACATAAATTCTCTGGGGTTATAATTTAGGCAATTAATGAATATTCAATTCTCTAACCGGAATTTGAAATAAAAAATTTAAACATTTATTTTTTATCATAAAACATTTTCAAGCATACTTTGTCTTTTTTTTAAAAAAAAAAAAATTCTATGTGTATTCATATAGAAAATGTGTTTAATTTCTTCACCTATTATAAATTGAAAAAAATAGCATCAAAATTAGTTTAGTTAAATAAGCAAATGTTTCAAAATGAATGATTTTTAATGTGTTTAAATTTCATTTTAGCATCTTAGGTTCTGTCTGCAAAATAGAAATTGAGAATAATAATCCTGGCGAACTACCTAAGGTAAAGTTTGGATATGTGAATAATCTTAGTCTAATTAATATGTTGTATTTATCAATTATTTATTTAGGTGTTCTCGAAGAAAACTACCATTTGCATCTGTCTTCTGTGTGTCTCATAGCACAAAGATTGCACATACGACGTAATTGTCTTCTTCAACTCAACAAATTAACTTAACCATTTTGTTTGATTAAATTTACATTAATATTTTAAGTCATTGTTTGTTGGTAATCATGTTTAACTCAAATGATTGGTACATCAGCTATAAAATAAGAGTTGATATTTAATGTTTGAATGAGAGAAATGTTAAACCTTGTGGAACTTAGGGAACAATTCTATCTTCTCCTTTTAGACCAAACTTAGATTAACCCAAATTCATTTGTTTTTTCAATTTAAAAAACTCCAGCTTTCCAAGTAACTATTTGCAAGTAATGATGAGATCTTGGTAAATGCTCAGAGTGGTACAGGTAGCTGGTGGCTTAATTCTATGACGCAGGCCAATCTGTGTCAAGCTATTACAAATGCCTCAATTTGTATGCGATTATATTGATAAGTAGTTTAAGTGCACATATTTTTCTGAAATGACTCATCTTCTGCTTGATTTGCTCCTCACAGTCATCAATTGCTTTGAATTCATTTTTGTTTACTGATGTTAGTTAGATTGTTACGTCAATATTAAAAATTATTCATTCAAAATTTTAATATTTTTTTACAGTTTTGATTTGGTTTGATATGTTTAATTCCTAATTATATTGGAATAAAATTTAACCTTAATAATTTTGTTCAGTTACCAATTGCAACGTCATCCTCAAGATTGATTTTCAAATTTTTATTTAATCTTTGTTTTCGATAGAAACTTGTTAAATATTTTTGCCAATAAAAGATTATTTTGCAATAGTGTAAAAAGTTAATTCTTAGTATTGTTACAGAATTTTAAGTAACTATTTTGTATTCATCATTTCAATAGCATAGGTTGCATAAAGTGTAACGCAGGGTTATATAAAGTTTATTATGAAAATTAATAAAAATCTTTTTAATGTAAGTTGTGTGAATGTAAGTTATTTATGGTTTAATAAAGGAACAGCACTTTAAGTTTCAAGAATTAAATTTTTGTTGATAATCAAGATTGAAAACTTAATAATGCTGAAGAGGAATATAAAGAAGGGATGATAAATAAATAATACTGGTAAATGCCATCAAATAAATGATAAATAAACAATTCACCGGTAAATCCTGTTATACTTTCATTAATTTTACGCTGATCGCAACCAACAATATCTGAATCTTCTTTGCTTAATAATGATTGCTAATTTTCTGTCAAATGAAAGTGCACAAAATGGTGAGATGATAATTATCCTTTTATGACATGAAGAAATACATATGGAAACACTTTCTATTCTTTTTTTAACACGCAAATGGTATTCCTTTCTGAGTGATCTTTGTATATCGTGAGGTTTAATTTATTTAATATCAATTTACAAAGCTCTAGATTTGTTTATTACTTAATATAACTTCAGTTAAATTTTTTTCTTTTCGAATAAGTAGTTGTAACATTGTTTATCCATTCCAGGGCTTGGGTTTGCTCTCCTATTTAAAGGAATCTCTGTGGTCATTTAGAAGGAAAGAAAACGTAGTTATGATTGGAGTCATTTTGAAATATGTGTATACTCCTTATTTCAAGTAAATATTTTAATTAAGTTATTTATATAATTTATAATAAATATTTTGTTATTTATTATAAATATTTTTATTAAGCTATTTCCGTTCCATTAATTTTTAGTAAAAATTAGTTTTAATTGTTATCATGAAACTTTTATTTACAGATTTCTTGAGAAATGGATGGATGAAGGTATTTGTTATGATCCATATGGCGAATTTCAAATTCTTGAAGACTTTAAATATTTAGATAGGGAAGGTGTGTATTGATACTTCATGGACTGGGTGTTAATGAATATGTTATCAAATCATTATTTTAGTTATAGATTTAGTTATAGAGTTTATTTATTTAATGGTGATTCGACTATGGAAATTGTTGCAATATGGCTTTTTTACTTGATAAATATTTTAAGTACCCTAAAATGTTTAGATAAAGAATAAATTTTTAATTACTTCTAGTGCTTTCTTTTAGCATATTTTAAATCTGAAAGAATTTTTTTTTCTTTTACCTTATATTATTTCTTTTGGTGGTAAGGATTTAGACTGCAATCTAAAATTGCTTTCTCCCCCCCCCCCAAGAATTTTTAGATGTATAGATTTTTGGGATTCATTTATTTATTTAAAAAACTTTTAGCTTAGCAGTTATATTTTGTTTTCTAGATGAGCTATATTGGAAGTTTGCTTATACTGAAAATTCTGAAGATCCAATGAGAGTTGTGCCAAATGAAATAAAACTTTACGCTGCTGATATTCTAAAATGCGGCAAAAATATGAGACTTTTAAAAATTTGTTGTTCATCGGTAAAGTATATTACATTCACTCAGTTATTTAAAATGTAAATACACATAAATAATGTAAATGTGTTTGTAAATATATTGTTAAAACAGAATATTTATTATATTTGATTTAATTAAACGATTACCATTTTAATTCTGCAATAATTAAATTATTATTTAATAGTTTGTTTATAGTTATTAGTTTATTATTGTATAATAGTGGGTTTTAGTTAGTTAATTCGCTAAATTAGCCACAATGGTATAGTGGTTAAAGCACTGAGTTGCCATCTTGAAGAACTAGGGTTCTATCCCTGGTTGTGCCTGGAAGCTCACCTAGCTTCAAGCCTTAGCCTTTATTTCTGGATGCCAGCTCATTTAGGAAGTGAAGGCTACCAGTGCTCAATGCTTACCACATTATGCTGTTGGCGTCTGCAAATTATGGTGCATTAATCTTCATGACCATTATCACTCACTATAGTGTTGTGGGAATGTTTGATTAACTATATGCTATAAAATAGTAGAATGCAAGTAACTATATGAAAAAAAATAAAGGTAAAATGTTTTTCACACAATTCTTTGATGAGGAACTCTTGGTATCTTCTACCCTGTTCACAGTACCTAAACTCATGCTGCGGCTCTTGGAACAAAGATTATATTCATATTTTTTTTAATGTTAAATCTAGTTATTTGTATCAGTAAAACCTAGTGAAATATCAGTTTTTTAGTTTAATGACAAAATTTAACATCTATAAAACACTAATTTGACCTATTCTTCTATAAATATACTGCTTTTAAAATTCGATTTTTCAGGAACAATTTGACAAGTTTTTCTCAAATTTCGTATTTTGCCACTTAAAATGTCATTCTTTAAAATGATGTAGAGAAGTTTATACTATTGTTAAATAAAATAACGAAAATTTTTTTTTTCTATAAGGTTTTTCTTTTTGCAACTGTGGACGAAACTCCTAACGAAACTTTGGGGACCATATTGGGGGTCAGAAATCTGAATCTATTGAAAATAGTTATGTTTATTCAGAGTAAAAAACGTTTTTGTGCCTTATTTCATAACTTTAAATATCATCTACATTACTTAATTAGCTTATTTGAGGACACCCCCTTTGAACCATTAAGATTAATTCTTAGAACATGAACATCCGATCATTAGATCAAAAGTCATTCATAGTGGTCCATTTTTTTTGTGCACTGTACATTTCTGTCTTCGTTTATTTTTCTTTTATAAATTTTTCAAATTATCAGTTATCTTTTAAGCATCCATTATTGCTAAATTTAGCCTCTACAGTAGGATTGAAATGTATTCTGAATAGCTACTTAGGCAGTGTACTAACCTCAAGAATAGTAGACAGCAAATAGGCTTGTGAATTTAAATATATTACAGAAACTTTTTAATACAATTTATTTCGTTTAATATTTAACCAAGTATCTTTAACATTTATATTTAACTGTTACTAAATAAATTTGTATTTTTTTCAAGGGAAAAAATTTTATTAAAAATGTGTAAATAGAAATCGAAAAAAAAATGCCTTTTCCATTTTTCGTATTCTATTCAATCTATCTTCATCAATATTATGTCTATCAAATTATTAGAGTTTTGCTTTGTGAATTTTACTCAATTTTTCTAACTAATATTCAATCCTGAGCAAATGTTTGTTTTTGATTTTCGGGAAAATTATATATTTTAAATTAATAACTTTTATTTCAGAATTATAGTTTGGAATATATGCTAAACCATCCTCCTCCATCACTTTCGGTATTATTCTCTGATTGTGCCGCAAGGATCAAAGAAGAAATGTGTATTGAATACATTAAAAGAAAGGAAGAAGATGAATTAGAGTACTTTGTAAAAAAGAAACTCTCTGATGATTACGTATTAGTACAAAATCAAAGTTACATTAGTCAAAGAGAAGTTTTCATTCTTAACAAAGGTTTGACATTTTATTTAAAATGCATTAAGAGCATTAATAATTATCATATTTGATTTACAAAGATTATCTTTTTTATTTACTTTTTAATTTTAAAAGTAATTTAAAATTTCAATTATATATCTAGTTGTTTTAACACACCAAACATTGTTTATTCTGTGATTTTGCTTTGTGACTCATTACGCATTACAAAAAGTATTGCAATAATTTAAATAGGCTTAATTATGTGTGTAAAGTGTTTAAAACAGCATGTTTAAAAAGAATTGAAATTTAGTGTTTATTTTTTTTTATAAAAGTTATAAATTTCACGTTTAAAAATGATTTAACAAAATAGCGATTTATAACAGTTAATACGTTTATGTATATTTTATATATTTTTTTAATGTGCATAAAGTACAGACTTTAAATTATAGGAATGAACAAAACTAGATGGTTAAGTCTTAATATTATAAAGCTAATTTGAGTTTTACAGTTCATTTTGTTAAGTTCTGCAGTTTAAATTATTTTACATTTTAATATGTTTTTTTATTATTTTTATTTTACATTATCTTTCATTTAAGGATATCTTTACCATGTTTCTGTAATCTAGTTTTTGTACTTTTTGAAAGTACTTTTCTTATTGTTCTATGAAAATATAATAATTCCTTCTTATTCAAAATTATATTTACTGTTTGAAATTTTACAAGGAGAGAAAAAATAAGAAAATGAACTGAAATTTACAAAAATCAGAGTAATTTTTCTTAAAAATAATGTTTGCTATGAATATTTTTTCATTGAATATACTTGAATTGAAATTCACTGATATATAAGTGAATTTTCATTAGTTCTCAAAAGTTCAAATCAATCAAAATCAAATTACACATTAGTATTGAAATTCTTTTTAGGCTTGGTAATGTTCTTAAATTTTTTTTCATGAGTAATTCATAAAAAGGATTTCTCAATTGTCCTTCATTTGAATTGTGTTTAAAATGAAATTAAGTTTTGTTTTGAGCATAAAAAGTAAGAAATTCTATTTTTTTTTAGTGTGGTGTAATCGGTTTCTTTCTCATTCTCTGATGCAATTGGATTGGTAAATATGGCTTAAATTTTGTGTGATTTTATCTATGTGAGCAATTTTTTATACTTAAACCGTTTATTAAATCTTTTTTTCCTTTTTTTAACAGCAGCAGTGTTAAAAATGTTCACATTAATGAAAGGTTCAAGTCTTGGGAAAATTTAGCTTACCTTCATAACACTCACACCGAAATTATTTTTGATGGTGTTGGAATATTATTTACAACTTGCATTTTTAATAAAGGTAGTACACTGAGTGATGAACCTATGCTGCCAAAAGATGAAAATGATATTAAGCCGTTATTGTTGGATAAAAAAATCAATTGTGATCAAATCTCAAAAAGCAGCAATGCTGCTATCCATTTTCAGCAAAGTCAAGTATCAAATAATGTTTCAAATAGCACCATGTCAAAGTCTTTGATAAAATTTCCACCTCCAGGTGTGTATTTTATATTACTTAACTTATTTTTTATAAATCTTTAAAAATACTAGATTTTTTAAAAATATATAATTAGATTTAAAAATTGGTGTTACAAATTTTGTAAGGTACTGTATAAAATGAGTTACAGCTATCTGCTTTGTTACAAATAAAATAAAATAAAAGAATTATTCTTCTAAAGGTTTTTCTGATAAAAAAACATATTAAACATTAAATTATTAAATAGAGATATTAAATTATAAAAATAAAATGAACTAGTTGTAGAGTTTGAATCCTTTATAATGCTTCAAATTTTAAATAGCGAAAGGAAAGAAAATAAAGATTTGAAATATATCCTAAACTTGTACTAAATTAACAATGGTGATTTATTAAGGACATTCAGATGGAATTACTTTGGAATTTAAGGATGCTGTGTTGTTTAGGAAGAAGGGCATCAGGGCTATCATAACCTGAGTTTGGGGATCAATTGTAGAAGGATTTTTTTTAAATCTATGCAATAATTAAAGTTATTATTTTTTAAAATTATTTTTATTATTATTTTTAATAATTTTATAAATTATTATTATTTTTTTAAACTATATTCCTCCTCCAAAATTTCAGTGAAGATTACCAATTTTCAAACTCATTGATTCAATCAAAAGTCAAACATTATTTTTTGGGCACTTTATAATTGTGTGTTCTATAAATTGTTTATCCATTTTTCGTAAAATATAACTTTAAAAAAATTGAAGAAATATTTTTCTTTCAGTTCCAGATGATATTTTGCCTGGGACATTTATGAATAGTTTAGCATCATTATTAATCAGTGATTGCTGTGATCGAAAAGAAGACATATATTCTTGTCTACAATTATCATCTTTACAAAGTATCATGACTTACAACTTTAAAGCTGGATTTGATATGAGGTTTTTTTTGAAATATTTGATTTATTCAATATAATATCACTCGTACGTAATTGCTATTTTTATTTAAAACTTTAGGCTAAATATAAGTAGTAGGGAGCATTGTTTTTCTATAATGATTACAAGACTAAATTTATCCTTTTTTTTCTTATGAAAATAAGTAAAACTAAGTGTTCATAACCTTAGAGGACATGTATACATCGCATGATCTATTAAACTCTATGGAAAAAAAGTATGAACACTTCAGGAATACTGCTCCTTCTTATATTATTATTTTACTTCAGCTATTTTTTTTCTGAGAATGTGTCTGAATTGTGTATGTTTTAAACATCATTTAAGTATAAAATATATTTTATGTTTTGTTTTTCATGCAGAAAATTAACACACATTTTTTTCGGGAAATATATTTTTGTGATTATATGAAATATGCAATGTTTCACCATCTTCATATTTATGTTTCATCAAAGTGATTTTTATTAAATCACATGATTTTGATCTTGACATAGAAATTCAAATTTTTTGATACACTTCAGTTATTTAATATGAAATATTTGGTTATCAAAATTAATTGAAAGTTGTTCTTGGAAAATTCTGTTAAAAATCATAACTTGTAATCAAGTCCATCTAACAAATTTTTTTTACATAATTCAACTTTTTAGCTAGGTAATTGAATTAATAATTGCGAAAGCAAATTTCGTAGTTTTCTGTTAATGCAGGATTATTAGTAAGATAAAGGCAATTGCACAATTAACTAAGTTATTGTTGTTTACCTTAAAGCAGCCATCCTCACTTAATATGCAAATGTGGGAATGTGCTGTCTTTTTCTTAATTATTCCTATTGCTATGGTAACCTATAGTTAACCTTGAGTCAATTTTAAGTTTTTATTTGTATTTCTTAATTTATATTGTACTGCAAGTAATTGTAATTCTAAATATGAATTTAAAATTAGTATTCATTATTGTTTTTTGTACTATTTAAATTATTAAATTCTATTGTATATTATTTTTAAATTTTTTGCAATTTATTTGAAAATGAGTCATCAAAATTTGCTTAAATTCAATTATCAGAGATATTTGTTTTGCTGAGGTATTGTATCCCCTGATCATCTGGTTATTCAAGGTTCTACTTTATCATACCTTATTAAATTTTATATTTTTGGTTTACTTTCTTTTCTGTTTAAATGTAGAATGCATATTGTTAAAAAAGCAGTTAAGGACTATTTTATGAATCAACTCAAGCTTGAAGATTTGCTGATTGGACTTAAAAACACATACTTGTTGTTGGATGAATCATTTAGTCAATTGTTGTGTGAGAAACTATTTCCCTGGGTAAGTATATTAATTAAGAAATGTGCAATAATTAGTTACATTGATTAAAAAGCTATAAATCTATGCAGTGGAGCATAGTACACAAAATAAAAAATGGAGCACCTCAATAACTTTTAACTATCATGCATTAAAATTTGATCTCAATGGTTTGCAGACGTAATGTATCGTAATTAATTAGCTGAGATGATATTTTGAGTTTAGAAATCAGGCGCATTAAGGTTACTTTCTCTGAATGTATCCTACTTTTTTTCTCTTTTTTTACAGATTATTATTCCTCAAAATATAGGGAGAGGGTAGCTGCAATATTGAAAATATGGTTGCTATAGTTTGGTCAGGAGAGTGGTTGAAAGGTTGGAGCTCTTAGAGTTAATTTTTCTTTTTCCCCTTTCACCATACCTCTTGACTTCTTTAAGATAATCACAAATTTTTTGCTCGTAATAATAAAAATTTATTTACCTAAAGATAATAAATTAATAATTTTTTTAAAAATTGTGTTATTTTTTCTTATTTAATTTAATAATGTTCAAAACTTTTTTGAACTAAAAGGTTTATAAGTTTTTAAAAAATTTTTACCTATGTAACTTTAAATCGCAAAATTTAAAGTTTGATTGAAATCACTTGATCAAATAGTTTTTAAATGATAAAAATTTGCTAATACCTCTTTGAATTGGTGAAATACACAAAAAGTTAACACTTAAGGGTTCAAATTGTTTACCTTTTTCCGGACCAAATTGTTATGACGATAAATTTTAGATTGCTGCAATTCCCTCTAATTTGGTTTAAAGAATCCGAATCCATCAAAAAAAGATATGTTTATTTAAGAAAAAGTATATTATTGTCTCTGATATCTTAACTCGGAATATTGTTTGCGCTAAGTAATTGGCAGTTTTTTAAGTTAAACCTTTCCAACCATTAAAATTGCATTTTAGTACTTGGAAATCTGATTGCTAGTTATTAAGGTGTTCTGTTTTTTATTTTCCTTACTGTGCAGTTCATGTAGTTTTATTTCTATGACTTTGAAATTTCAATCTTAGCACAAAATTTATCCTAACTTCTGAGTTATGCATAAGAATAAACTTTCTTCTTTGTCAAATTTTGACTTGAATAAAAATTTTTTTTATTTATCAATGTGTAGTCAATTCATTTGAGAATTTACAGCTCTTAATGCTCATTAGCAATCTTTGAACTTCTAACTCAGAAGACAAACTTTCAATTCTTGCTTCATTTGCGATACACGGAAAGAAATAACATGAAAAACTTAGACAGCAGTTTAACTCTAATCCTTGATATGTTTATGTTGTGGATATTTTAGCCTTGTGGTCAACAGCAGCGGGAACAATATACAAATCCTGATGCCATTATTGAGATTGTAATCTAGATTGCTATTATTACATATATTGTGTTTTATGAGCATATTTGATGTAAAATTTTGACGTAGAGCTGTTAAAAGTACCCAACATTTGACTTTCATGAAAATAAAAAATACTGTGTTGCGTAGTTATAAAATATTCAGAAAAAATTATGTAAAAAACATTGTAAATGGTCAGATCTTAGTTCTAAATAAAAATTTGAATTTTTAAAAGATATTAACTCTGTAATTTTTTTTTTGTTGAAAAAATTAAACCAAGAATTTTGTATTTACAGCTTATTTCAGATTGAATAATTATATATATCAACTTTTCTTTTTGTGTTTTAGATACAATTGCATTCAAATGTGACACTAAAAATCTTGTTAATAAGCTTTTTTTAATATTTTTTTCAGACTTTAATGTGCCAAAATACTCAGCAGTTTGCAAACTGGAGCATATTGAACGAAATATTCTGTAATTCTTTAACTGAAAGTAACTGTGCTAGTTCTTCTTTACTTTCAACTGGGACAGTGATTTTTGTTGATCTGCCTGAAAATGATATACTGGAAAGTAAGTCAATATTTTGTAAATGTAATGCTTTTTAATTATTATATACTTGCATGTGTATTGATTTTTCTTAACCTTTCAACAATTGAGAGCCTAAAGCAAAAGTACTTTTCCTGACGGTATTACTTTTTAGAAAAGCATTGAGAAAAAACCAATTTGCTATGTCGGAAAGCAACCAGATCTTTCTCCATACTCAGTTTAAGATTAACAGATAAAGGGTTAAAGAGAATTGTTCATTGCTGGAAAAGTAGATCTATATGTATTCGTTTTAAAAAGGGTCATCTGTAAAATAATTGGTTTTACACATCAATAATTTCTGCACTTATTAAAATTGAAATTTCATAATTATGAATTTATTGTATTTTAAATTCTGTTGTGTTATTTTGATGTGCATTCTGGAGTTGTTGTTTTAAGACTTGATTGCTCAAGAATTACTAGAATTTGCTTGGTTCTAACTTCAGATTATTAAAAATAGAGTGCAATAGGGGGAATAATATTTTTTTTATAGTTTTTTTTAAATCTTAAAGAATTAATCTAATCTGATTTTTATATTTATTCAAACAAAAATTTATATTAATATTACAGCATTTTTAATTTATAAATTACTGAAACTTTAAATAAATTAAATTTTTAAACTAAGCATTTAATTTTTCAGTATTTTCATTTTATAGACTAATTACGAGGATTACGAATTTTTATTTTCTGTAAAAGAATAAAAGTGTTGAAAACTTGAGTGCAAATTCATCATTGTCTTAGCATATGCTGATAAATTTCCACAGTATTTGAGTAATTTTTAATTTCTATTTGGTTACTGTCTGCTTATGATCAATTGTAAAGAGCAAACTAATTAAAAGAATAATGCAAATAAATTTAATATATCATATGTAATAATTTATAAACATGCACTAAAGAGTCTTCTTAATATATATATATGTTCATCATATACAGTAGACTAACTGAAATCTCCATATCTTGGAACCAGAAGTTTTGGGGATTTAGAATATTGTTAATTTTAGATGTTTTTTTAAATTTCTTTTTTTTATGTTTTCAATGTGCATTTTAATTTTTGTCTAAATGGAAAATAAAGTTAACATATTGAAAGAAATTTAAAAAAAAACTTAAGCGTAACTGATAATAATTTATTTGTGATTATTGAATTTTTTGAACATTTTTTCCATTTTCTTTAAATATATTACAAAAAGAAAAATAGGAGACAGATGGGATTATTCACAAATGTGTACATTTTTAAAAACTATTTTTGCTACAGATGGAATATTTGAAAATGTGTTGTATTACATGTTTTCTTTTTAACAATAGAATTTTGTTTTTAAGCTTTAGAATGTTTTTTTTTGTTGGAAATGTAACTTTAACCACCAGTTTTTTTGTTTGCTTTCTCTCTACAATTTATATTGATTTAATCACACATGTTATTTGAGCTAAGGTCGCCATAACTCTGATTTTAACTGCTAATGTAACAAAATAAATTTCCTTACATTTTTATTCTTTTTTTTATTTTTTATTTATAGGAAATGAGTTTTTGCATTTCTTCCAGTTTGAATTTCAGGTATTTAATCATTTATTTCTATAGTGAAACACTTCTTTAAAATTTTTTTATTACTTATTTTTTGTTAATTTACATTTACAATTTTTACTAGTTCTAGTAACTTTTTTTTATAATATTTTTTTATCTTTCTTAATTTAGATTAGCTGGCCTATGAATATAATTGTACATAAATCCTGCATTACGCAATACAGAAATATTAATTCATTTTTACTTGAATTGGATTTTCTCTCATGGTTGCTTGGAAATACATGGGAATCATTAATGTTAGGGGGTGAGTACTATGTTTGTAATTCTTACTAGAGTTTAACTGACTCACATACAGTTATTTAGTAATTATTTCATCTTTTTTTTTATAAATCATTTATACTACCTATCTTTTAGTAATTGAAATATGCTATTTTACTGTAGGAATAAATGTATGCATTGTAACAATTAACTTTCATTTATTAAACTAAGTAAATATGAATGATACTCTGACGGCATATAATGATACACCCAACTCAGAAGAAGGTTGAGCTGGTATTAGCTTTTGAACATACATAAAAGTTGCTGAGAAACTGTTATCTGAAGCAGCCTACTTCTCACTGCCTGCAGTCAGAATTATCTGATTGGACGCTGAGTTTGAGCCTAATAAAGACTGTAAATACAATTAAATCTTTAACTCTGCTATTCTTTTCTATCAGTTTCTTCCTACTGTGCTTAATAACTGTATCCTATGCTAGTAAATATATCATTCTCTGATTCTCTCATCTCTGAATTTACATACATTCACAGCAGAGCATTGTTTCAAAATAATTTTTAGTCTATCTGTAATAAATAGCAGTTCAATAAGATTAAATTCAGGACTCTTTGCTATTGAACGTTTTTATTTTTACTCAAGCAATAGCTACCATATCTCACAATGGTTCCGTGTTGTTCTTTTTGATGGTGCTAAATTCTCGATGTGGTGTAGGTGAATATGAACCATATTTTCTGCGATGGATTTAGAGAGAGAAGAGAAACTGGCCCAACAAAAGAGACTGAGGTTGTGAGTTGGTAAAATCAAATGCTTTGCTATTTTCCTTGGGGAAGGATGTAGTCCTGACCTACCTTTCCATTGAAAAGTTGGCTACTAGCTTTACGGATGAAACTCCGCTCAATTTATTATACAAAGTGTACAGTCTGTCAAATGCTCACCCAGAAGTGACTGACTAGATGAAGATGTCTTCATGCAACAATACATAGATAATGTGAACAAATTTGTGAACGATCAGCACATCTCTGGTGCTGAAGCGAACAACTTAGATATGATTGTTTACCTTCCTTTGTTCTTGTCATTGAAATATTAGATTATTGAAGTCACATTCGAAAATAAGCCGAGAGAAAATTTCTCCTCGGATTTTGTCTCTCAAAGACTGATTGATGCTGAAGCTTTGTTCTGTGATTTCAAAAGTGAACAAAAAAGAAACAAAAAAGATAAATTTCTAGCAGAAAATGTGACATTTTCCCTTAAATTACCTGAAAACATAAACTCAGTGACTTATTTTGTTCATTTTGCAAGCGTAAGAACACACAGTCGAATATTGTTGCAAAAAATAGCTAGTTTTAATTACGGCAAAACAGTTGATTTCATAAGAAACTCTGTAAAAGTTCAAAGGAATAATACAATAAATCCAGTTCATCAGTAGTGCTTTTTTTTATTATTGTGATTGTTTTTTTGTGATTTGTGATAAGTTTATTATTGATTCGGGTACAGCATCTAATATGTCTTAGCATAAAGGATGATTTTCATCATTAAAATCATCATCATCAATTGTTGAAATCATCCACACTCGAAAACGGAGGGATTGGCGAAGTTAAAGGTTAAACTTCAACAGGACTGACAACAACACTAAAAAAATATCTTTTTTGTTCCTGAACTAAATTGTGAACTCAGTTGAGGACTGAGTGAATTATAGTAGCAGCAGGCTTCAGTGTTGTTTTTAAATGTGAAAAAGTTTTTATTGAAGCATTTAGAAAAATTCTTTTTTTTTTGATATCACGATGAAAGTGGACAGTATGTTAGTGAATTTGTGCCATAATATAAAATTGCCTTGCACAATATGAAAGTTATCTCTGACATTGTTGTCTTGGTCTTCCTTCAACTTGAGTCCTCAAACAGATGAGATTATCGGTTACAATGTCCTTCTGTAAAATTTGTGTTCTTATGTCTCTTTGTGCTGACCCGATGCGAAAAGTAAAAAAAAGGATGAATAAACATAAGGTTTTGATTCATACCGAGGTTGTTAACCAACTGAACCCAAAGGCCATTTTTTATGTCTGTTATTGATGATATTTCCTGTTTCATGGAGGTGTGTCTGCTTAAGAGAAAAGGGAATATAAATCAAGAACTTAAATTAATCAAGAGCTAATCTAACTCTTCTGTGTGTAAGTTACAATGTGGTAATGCCCAGGAATATTTATCTAATATAGCAAATTTTGCAGCGGAAAATGGATTTTTAATTGATCCTGTGCCTTCTTATGCGCAATCTTTAAATGGTGTTGCAGAATGAGCGAATAGAACTTGATTGGATAAAGGGTGATAAATATTGTTGGAATCTAATCTCCCAAAGCAGTTTTGGGAAAGAGCAGTTTGTGCTTAAACTTATGTGAGTTGCCGAAAAAGTCTGTTAACAACAGTGGGCCTTTTAATTTGATATGAATATGCTCCAGATTTATCCAACATACGAGGGTTGTAAATTAAATAGTGGCAACTTAACCTTGAAATTCACAGAAGGGTGGGCATGCGCAAATAGGATGTGGGAACGATGAGGTGGCGCTGTTGTCGATGTGTAGAGTGCAAAAAGCAGTCGTTCTGCTTAGAAGGGTAGTTGTTGTGTGGCGTTAAAGTGAGGAGTTTCATTTCCATCGCTCTAAAGCATGTTTTCAAAAGTCTTAATGAAGAAAAAAACGAGATACTTGAACCCATCGTGCTACTGTCCAATACGGTAAAGCATTTACCCCACAGGCTTCCACTAATCCTCGTTAGCATTCTGTTGCATTTTTACCACGGGCAACCTCGATTTTAAGCGACGACAGCTATCACCTTTTGAAAACATGCTTTAGAGCAATAGAAACGAAACTCTTCACTTTAACGCCACACGACAACTACCCTTCTAAGCAGAACGACTGTATTTTGCACTCTACACATCGACAACAGCGCCACCTCACCGTTCCCATATCCTATTTGCGCATGCCCACCCTTCTGTGAGTTTCAAGGTTAAGTTGCCACTATTTAATTTACAACCCTCGTAGAAGTGTTTGGTTGTGATGCATTTATTTTTGTACTACCATCTCAAAAAAAAAAAATGGATGAAAAATTTTGTAAAATAATCATCGCAAAATGTTCTTCTGTTTGATATCATTTAATGAATCTTGTTTATAAAAAACGGATTACAGTGCCGCAAAAATGTAAAATCTAACAAAGGTAAGTTGATCTGTGAAAAATATGCGCACGATTCCGATTCTAGTTCCGATTCCGATAGTGTTCTAGTTCGAAAAAGAAAGTAATAACTATCATTCCAAAGTTGATAACACTTCTCTTTCTAATAAGGAAGTTGGCTTTCCTAAACAAAAAAATTATTCTTAAATCTAACGTGGAAAAGAAGCCTGCTGTAAGATACCCCAAAGCTGAGACAATCGCAACACCCGCTCTTTGCGACGCACTGAACTATGATGATTTTGCATCTCTTCCCTCACATAAACAACTTTGGCAACTTTGTATTGGGTAGTTTTTTTTTATAGCTTTTCATAACTTTTAATTATTCAATGCTTCCAACATTATTTCCTTTGTTAAATCTGAAAAAGTGAAGGAAAATTGCTGGCAGAAACAATCATTTTATTATACTTCATCATCATTATCATCTCATTTTGCTTCTGGAAATTTGTAAGAAGCTGACTCATTATAAGTGGATTCTATTGTAGATTACAGTTTATCTTTTAAATTATACAAATTGCTTGAACTATGGTTTTTGTTTAATTTTTTTCTTATGACTTTTTAATTCTAACTAGTTCTCTTATTACTAGATTTCAGTACTCAAATACGCAAACTGTTCTTTTTTTCACGGCTTAGCTATGTTAATAGTAAATTTTTGTTTTTAAAATTTACAGAAATAATAATTAGTTAATATCTATATTTACTAAAGGTATTGCATAAATCTTTTGACATTTAAGAATTGTTTTTTCCCTTTAGCAAAATCTTCAAACATTCAAGATTCTTCACAATACAGAGCTATCATGCTACAAAGGTACTGTATTGATCTGAATCTTATTTTAAAAATGCTTCTTAAGTTGGTTTTTGTATGTACTATTTTTCCATTATAGTCTTAGAATATAATTTTTATTTAATGCAGTTTGAAAAATATCATATCAAACCAGAGAAAGTTAAAAAAATTTTAATGATAAAATGAGCAAACACTTTTCTAATTTAAAATGCATTTTCAATAAACAAGTAATTATCTGTAGAATACAGTTTGAAGCTTTGTATGTTTGAGTGCAATAAGAAATATAATATCTGTTTTGATCTATGTAAGTTGACTTCAAAATTGTATCATTAGCTATACACTAAAACAATAAGTGATATATACATTTACTATAATGACATAGACTTAATGAATATATAATCTAATCAATAAATAGTCTAAAATAAGTGATAAGAAGAAATTTTTCACTTTCTTCTATTATATAAGTAAAACTATATCGAAACTTATAAAATTAATAGCATTGGAAACTTTTTTTTGTCTCAGTTCTTAATAATGTCAGAACCACATGTTTTCTTTGCTTCTTGCTATTCTAATATTAAATGTTTTGAAAACAGTTAGAATAATTTTGCCTAAATTTTTTTTATTTAATTTAAAACATTTATAAAATTTGAACATGCAATGCAAAATATCAAAAAAGGAAATAAAGCTGAATGCAATTAAATTAATTAATATATAATTAAAAATAACTTTGTTTTTAAAGAACTGCAAACAATTACTTTAAATTTAGACGGAAAGTAAAAAAAGGGTATATTATCAACAGAACACTTGATATTTGTTGCCATTAATATCATTTCAAAGAGATGAATACTTAATTATTTATGCCAAAAAATGTTCAGAGTTTATGACGTATTTTCAGAATTGTCCTTAAAGCATTATTGGATTAATAATTTTTAATCTGAAATGAGAGTTTTATTATGTAGCATAACATATGAAATTGTATAGCTTTTAATAGCAAATTAATCTTTTTAGTAGCATACCATGAATAAAACAAGCAAATAATATCAACTAAATAAGATTTAATTTACAAATAAATTCAGCTACATTATATGTTTTTTCAATTATGTTTTACTTTATTAATGCTTTGAAATAGATTTGTTAACTAATTGGTGTGAAGTGAGTTCTGCTGTAATTATTAAATAATTTGACATTAAATCACCTTTATTTATTTAGGTTGCGTCTCATTTTCTTTTTTGATGTACAAGTTTATAAGTACTTCGTTTTTTTCTGTTGTTTTAAACAAATTTGATATTTATACTCTCATAATCAATTTCAAAGTGGCATTTAAATTATATTTTAATTTATATGTATCGATTAATTTTTATTACAAGTGCAAATAAATTAACTTCATGATCAGTCAGTAAAAGAATTAACTTTTATCGTTCAATTTTATTTTATCCTGTAAATAAAGTACCAGTCTTTTCAATTAAAATTTAAATAAAAAAGCTTCAGTAGATTAAAAGAAATGTTACAACATTGAATTTGGTCATTATAATTTTTGTATTATTCTTGTGTTTTTTACATACATAAAAATTTTTAATTTATAATTTTTTCATAGATTATTTAAGTTTGGTTTCCATTATTTAATGTATAATTTTTCTTTCAGATTTGACATGCATCAGTTCATTTGTGTCTTGCGAAACTGTATACGCCATGATTTGCAAGGACCTGTGTGGGAATTTCTGTTGAAAAGTCTGAGTACTGAAGAATTAAGTATAGATGCTTTAGAAAACATTCACATTCAATATTTAAAGAGTGTATCAACTAGGTAAACAATATTCTATATTTTTTATTATAACAAAGTAGTTGAATATCCGTTCTTTGTAAGGGGTGAAAAAAAAAGAAAGAAAGAATCATTAGATGGATGTTAATCAACACTACAAAATCATTTGCAAAACTGACCGGCATATTCTACCACAACTAATAAAATTTGAACAATTCAAAAATTTATTTTAAAATTTATCTGTTGCCCTTCTTAGTAACTTTACATTATTAGGTGAAGCAAAACATCAGGGGATCTATTCGGGTCTATATGTATGTCAGGTAAGCTATTAATCACGGCCAACTCATGATAATCAAACTGTTCAACTCAAATAATCTCTATATATATTTCTCTTACAAGGCGACAAAAAAAAGCCTCATTACATCTCCCCGAATGGCAACGCTAGAAAATTGACCAATGATTGCCGCTAAAAATGTCACATGCCAAATCTAGCTGAGATGGCTCAACATATAGCACTTTTAAAAACGGAAACTGAAATAACCAGAGAGAGCGTAAGCTAGGCAAAAGTGAGTAGTCTTAGTCGATAGATCTCTATTTTAGTATTTTGTCGAAAGCGCTTTTTTTCACGAATTTATATATTACGAATTTATTTGTTTTACTAGAATTTATTTGCTTAGATTGTTTTGAATTCTTAGAATTTTGTGCATTTGCAATGTACCTAAGTAAGTAGCGAGCGAAGTGAGCTTGGTTTGCGAAGCAAACCATATAAGATTGCATAGCAATTTTCGGGGGTTGGCGAGAGTTAGCGAGCAGGGGCGCAGCCCACTAGTTTTCTCTATTAGTTTTACTCTTTAGTATATAATTTAGGTTTTTATTTAAATCACTAGTGATTTTAAATTATTTTATAAAAGCATGTTTTCGAAAGTTTCTCTGTAAATAAAATAAGCATGTTGCTTAAGATAAATTTAGAGATATCAATTCTGCGACATAGCCCACACGTGTTAGCCATATTGATCCTTGAGCTTTCTTGACGCAATGAATAAGAAATGATTAAGTTTTAAAGAACATACCATTAATTCCATTTTTTATTAAACAGAGCTGTGTACTAACGAAAATCTTTTACATATTTTTTAAATACTTGAAAAAGCATCTGCAGTTTAACTTGTAACAATGCTTAATATTAAACCTACATAAAAGATTTATTTTTCAAAGGACCCTTTCGAACAATCATTGTCCACATTTCAGGGCACACTAGCGCAAACTGTTTCTAAAATGTTGAGGCAGATACAAATCGTTTTAATTTTATTTTTATAGATTATGTAATCCAACTGTTGAATCTTTTTTTATTTACAGTTTAAAAATAATCTGTTTTTGTTTTATAATTAATAAACATTAATAAATACAAAAAATATCACTGCTTTTATGTTGCAGTTAATTGTTTGTAAAACAATTTCTTTTAATGAAAAGGAGAGGAGGAATGTTCAATAGCCAGAAATAGGCATTTTTGTCACAAATGTCAAAATGCAAGGGGTTAGGATTCTAAGGAAGAAAGAATGAGTTAAAGAATTTTTTTTATCTCAAAATTGTATTAGAAATTGAGCTCAACTCTTTTCTTTGTACAATATCTGAGACTTAAAAAAAGCATTTGTACTCTAAGATTTATCATACTGAATCCAAACAGATTGTTACACAACAGAACACTATCGGAATGTTCACTTTAAGAAATCATTCATAATTTTTAACATAATATAAAAGAAAATATGAGTTTTGCATCATTAAGATTAGCTTCATGAAAGTATCAAGTGAATCTCTCATAATATCTGTCATACTGAATCCAAACAGAATGTAACACAACAGAACAGACATAACAGAACAGTTACAAAATTTTCACTTTAAGAAATATTTCATACGTTTTAACCTAGTATAAAAGAAAATATGAGTTGTGCATCTTTAACATTAGCTTCATGAAGGTATCAAGTGAATAGCAAGATTCTTGTAGTGTGCCAGATTTAATACATTGAGTTTTTAATGTAACTAAACTTTATTTAGATTTTCATACTATTTAAATTTTTTGTAATTTTTTTATGCTCTTGTTCAATTTTCGATACATTAAAATAGACAATAAATAAATTTCACAATCTTTTAGCATATTTATTTTAAAATATGATTCAGTTTGACTGCACATATTTTTTTTTAAATAGTTATGTCATATCTCATAAATTTTATGATGGGATAAATTAATTATGACTTTTTATGTTGTTCATGTTGTTTCTTTATTTTTCATTTTGCTTATTCAGGTGTTTTCTAACAAAGGAAACAGAAATTCTTCACGAAATGGTGAAAGTCATGTTACGTATAATCTATAAATTCTGCGTTTGGTCTCTTAATTGTGATTGGGAAATTAACAACCTCACCAAACAATATGAGACTGCTGAATTCAGTGATTTAACTTCAATGACTGAAACCTATAAAAAATATGAAGGAGCATTTTTCGAACGTAAGTGGCATCACAATTTATTTTCTTTTATTTCTTCAAATTTCATTTGTATAAAACGAAAGATACGAATATATATANCCCAAAATTCTTTAAAGTCATTTTTAGATACAAATGCTTAAAAGTGCAAAATATATAATTGGTATTTTGACTCAATTATATATTTAGTATCTCAAACCACTCTGATTAGCTTATTAATAATTTTAAAAGGGTTTTCAAAGTTTTCTTCCATTATTCATTTTGAATATTTATTAATTTTTTTTAAGATTCCATATTACAGAATAAACGCAATTATGTATTCAACAATTATATGTTCAGGATAAGTATGTATTTTTCAAATAGTTAATAACAATGAACAATATAAATGAGAATATTTAATGACATTTCTATTTTTAACTATTTTCATTTAAGTTCATGTAGTAAGTTGTTAGAAATAGCAATGAACAGTAAAAAGGACATTGACAGTGAAGAACAAAAATGATAATGGTTAAAAATGACATGGACTTTAAAAGTGACAGTGTTTATTGTTATCATTCCCGGGGAAGGATTATTTCAAAGTCTTTTTCTTTTTAATGTCGCCAGATGGCATTCTTTATTAAATTTGTATGTATTTGTCTGCTTAATGTCAAAAAACTTTTTTTTTTCTGTCTGAATCTTGATTTCCACGGACCACATTTATTTTAACTACCTGATAAAGGAAGGCACACTTTTAGAAACATGTATTTTTTTTAATTTTAATTTTTGTAGCAATGTAATTAATTTAACAAATCTTTAAAGTGGTATATTTTCGAATTTTAGTTTTCTTTTAGAATTGCTTTAAACTGATATATTTTTAGTACTATTTACACTTATGTGTGTTGAGTTTTTATTTAGTTATAATTTTTCATAGGACAAGATTGCTTCGTAACTTGTTTTAATTAGAAAGAACGAAAACCTGCTCAGATATTAATTAACATATTAAAAATGAGCATTCTAGTGAGTTTCATTTAATTTTTTATGGGCAAATTCTGGTGCTCTAAAAATTCACTATTTTTTTATTTAAAATTTTAATCAGGGCAAAAAATTTTAATGATCTAATAATTTTAATTATTATAAACTAGCTGAATTACTGTTATTTGCATGGGGTGAAAAAGTAAATAATCGATAAATCAGTATTAAATGACTCTTAAATCATACATGAATCTGAAACACATATACCAACATAATAAATGAAGATTTTTTTTCTTCCAATGCCCACCGGGAGAATGACCTAGGTCATACAGGCATCTGAAGGGCAGATTTGTTGACCACTCTTGAATGATAAATGTAGATTGAAACTAAAATAATTACAATTTTATTTATTTATTATTTGTTGCCCTTTCCTGTGGTTTTACATCATTAGATTGAGCAAAACACAGTTTTAGTAGTTCATCCAATCAAAATAACGATTAACTGTATTAAGTATTATTTGGCATGATAGTCAAAATTTATTACAATAAAGCATTTTTCTCCAGTGCTTATCACTTTCTAGGAGCTGTAAAAATCTCTTTCCACAATATCTATTATAAAATTGTTCAGTATTGATGCAATTTTAATTGGTACCAAATATAATAATATGATACATTGTACTTATATTAATATTTTTACTACTTATTAAAACTACACTAGTAACTATAATACTAGTAATGCCTATTACCAAATTTAATTAATCATTATTGGCAATATTTTACATTTCATTTAAGGAAACTACTACAATTTCTTCATTAATTTTGCTTTTTGGTACATAGATTATTTTTTAAATTTGTTCTGCACCTATTACCAAAATTAATTGAGTATCTTTGATGTCAATCACAATGATCATTTCTTACATTTTTCTTAAACAAAATAGATACCATACATTTCTCCATTAATTTTTATTTTTAGTACATAACTTTTTTTTTATTTCAGTTCCTGTTGATTTTATTTTATTTAGTTTTATACAATTGTATAATTTTTGTGCAAGTTTGCTGATATTTTGTGCAATTACTCACAGTTAAAGGTGTTTTTCAATAGCTGTCATCATATAAAATGAAGGTTTTTTGCAAATAAATAATAATTTTCTATTTTTTGTAAGTGTTGTGAGTTTGTAACCAATGTTCATGATTCTTGTGTCAAGTTTTGCCAAAAGTTAGTCTATGGGCTCTATGCTTATCATAAAAATGGTGCTAAAAGTTGATATGTAGAACACCAGTTTTGTAAAAATGAAAATATTGTGATTTAATTTTCTAATATTTTGGTACATTCTTAAATACTGGATTTTTGGATTCAGTATTTTCCGCTAGTGTTGAGAATTATTGTTTTAAATGCTAAGTTAATTCGATGCTAACATTGTAAAAAATAATAAAACCTACTGAACCCAACATATCCTCTGGTTGATGTGCCCTGCTCGTCAGAGCTGCCCAACCTCAAAGTCTAAGAACCCAACATATTAAGTTTGTCTTTCAAGATTATTTAATGTTTAAACATATTTGTAGATTATTTAATTGACTTGAAATGACAAATATTTAATTTTCTAATCATTAATATAATGAATTTTTCCCATCTTATGCACTATTTTCATGGATTTCAGTGTGGCTTCAAAGCTACAGAAAGGTAGTTATCAAATATTTTTATAATTAATCCTGATTCATCCTCCCCCCCCAATCCTTAGTCCCCTTTGAATGTGTGTTTTTTAGTGTTTAATTAAATTCATTTCCTTTTACCCTTACCCTTTGGAGACTCTATGTTCTGATATTTAGCAAATAAACTATAGTTATTGAATTTATATTTTCATTATTTTAAACTATGTTGAATAAAATTTAATGTAATTTAAATAACGATTTATGATAAGGCAGTTGGTAAGTAAAAATTTAAATATGTTTTCTTAATCAAGTCATAAATCTTCCTTACATGCCTATTTTTTAACATAGAATATAAGCTTTTTCTTTTCTCATTTGAATCTAAGACAAGAGTAAATTAGAATTTCAAAATCAGCAGTCTAACTGCAGTAGATATTTATAACGCAAATCTTGAAACCTGTGGCTTTGCCTTTTATGGAATTTTGTGTTGTATAGATGATTTCTCTTATTTTTAAAATTACCTACTAATTATGGCAATATTAGTCTGAGACAAATGAGTTAATCTTAGATTTCTTTAAATTTTATATCCGTCGTTGAACAGCCAAACGAGTTTTTAGGTTCATGACTACTAATGTTGAGCTTCGTAACCTTGTAATTTTGAACCAATCTAGAGGATAAGGAAACTCCTGGATCAGTACCCCCAGAGCTTTGATTTGTTATGGGAACATGGAGGACTTTGCGACTCGACAGATTTAACGTGCGTCAGTCACCATTTACTACACAGGTAATTTTTGCCCTGCAGGGATCGAACCCACGACCTCTTGAACACGGGCCCATGTGCCCTACCAACCAGGCTTTCCCGGCCCAAAATTCTTTAAAGTCATTTTTAGATACAAATGCTTAAAAGTGCAAAATATGCACTTAGGGATTCATTATCGATAGAAAAAATTTAAATTTTCTGCTGCCTTAGAACTATTAGCAAATAAATTAATCACTTTTGCATAGCTTTTGAAATTTTAACTAATAATAAAACAAGTAATGTAAAAAGTCAATATTTTTTACTTATTAGTTATAGACATTTATTAACTGCAAATTTCATTGTTTAAACTCACGAAGTTAGTGTGGTTTATCGAGAATTGCTTTATGTAGTTTTTCTACTTTAAAAAGAAACACTCGAGGCCCTGCTATAAAGTAGGACCTCGAGTTAAAACCATTATTTTTTTATGCTTTTTTATTGACTGTGGATTGTTTTGACTTATGTTTCGGCATTAGTGTGGTTACAAGTAATGAAGAAAGCTGCCTTAATCAAGTAATAATAAAATTTAAAAAACTGCTTTTTTGAAGTATGAAAAAGAGAAAATAATTATATATTTACCAGATTTAAGACAAAAAATACTGACCACATCACTTTCAAAAGATGAGTGAGAGATTTTCAGTTGTGATATAAATTTATTGGGAAAGTTATGTGCCTACGTTTCATGTTGTTTAAGATCTAATGAAAATAAAATTATTTTCACTTTTTCAGTCTAATTAAGAAACATAGTTTTTAAAATTTTTATTTTATATTATTAAAATTTTCATTTTAGTCTCGTATTTGTTAGTATGTTTGTGTCAGTAAATGGTCAAAATCCCGATTTACAATAAATTGGTAATAAATTTTGCTTGTACGAGTTAGGAATCAATTTGAATTTCTATTGGCATTTCGCACAGAGCTCCACAGAAAAAATTTGAGCATTCTATAATTAATCAATAAGTGATCAAAGTTTTGATTGACAGTATAAACTATCGTCGGCAATAATGCAAAAATTATGCTTTTAGTATTCAGGAAAGATTAAATCTTTCATTATCATCCAACTCAGAGCTCTACTTAAAATCGTAAAGTAAGTATTCTAGCTTTTCAGAAATGCATTAAAATTTAGATTGACAATAAATCATTTTTCCTGACATTAGGACAATATATCTACTTGCAACTTCTTAAAAACAATTGAGCTCTTTATTCTCTACTTAAATTTGAGTTCTATAATTAATTGGAAGATTGACGAAATTTTAATTAACAATAGGTTTGCTGTGTCCTCATAAATTCTGCTTGTAATAATCAGTAAACGATTGACTCTTGCATGGTCATCAGATACGGATTTTAAGTAAAAATCTGGGTTCTCTAGTTTGTTGGAAAGTGGATGAAAATTCGATTGCGAAATTCCATCATCGTAGACAGGAGAGTGATTTTATAAATATGAAGTAAAAACAAAACAATTTTTTCCCAATAAATTTCATATTTTAATTACTAAAATTTTGTAGATTAAGTCAAGCATGCGTAAAAAAATAGAGCTAATTCTCTTACTATTAAATTTTGATTAATGAACTAAGAATTTGAACTTTGCTTGCGAAACAATTGAAGAATGAAATTCAGAAAATTTTCTTACGTATGCAAGTGTTAATGAATTTTTCTTCCTACGTATCTAATTATGAAATATAATTAATGGATGTATACCTGCAAAGTCAATGTCTCTTATAGATAAATACTGTAAATTTGTTTTACTTTCTTTTTCTAGGTCTGATAAAAATGACAGTGACTCGTAAATATGGAGTAACGAATGATGATGGATTCAAAAGGTTTCTTGAAATAATTTTAGAAAGTCGAAGGAAATGTTTATGAGTTAAGTAGTGGAAGCAGATTGCGATTTTAATTATAACATTTGCAACTTTCTCTTCAAGTGAAGGGTTATACTTGCTGAATTTTCAATTCTTGTAGATATTTGTACAGAAATAAAGCATTATATTACTATTTTGAATTTGTTGTCATATGATTTTTTTTCTTTTAATTTTTTTGCTGATCCTAATTTTTGCTGATTTTGTAATGTTTATTTTATTATTATATTTATGCTGTCAGTTAATTTTTAGTATGGAGAAAATAATATATGAATTTCATTATAAGTTTAAGACATCAAAGGGGGAAAAAGGTATCACAATAATAAACAATAATACAATATCACAATAATTTACTCCCCCTTCCTCTAAACTACTAGTGTCTCTAAGGTTCACTCCCTGAAATTAGCTAGGGTAAATTCAGCGTGGAAGCACCCACCAGATCATGATTTGTATGCCGCCAAATGCCCGGATTATCCCTGCAGTGCACTTGTCCTAAATTTGCTCAAACAGCTTTGTCAAGACTTAGGACCGGCCATATAAAGTGTTTAACTTTCAGAGCGAAAGAAAAGACTTATGCCTATTGTCATTGCTCGGCCATCGCTTCTCCATCTCATCCTTTGGATTGCATTGGTGCCTCTGTGAGGCAACAGATGAGTGATGGAGAGACTGTCTATGACTTGCTGATGCGACATGATCTTCTGAACTTGGTCTAGGGCTCTAGACCAAGGGGATAAGCAATAACAAACAACAACACAATAATAAACCATTTCACATTTATTTTGAATCTTTGAAGACCGTTTCTAATGCAAAGTGTTTCACTACAAGACTGACAAATTTACAGGATGTAGAAGGGACACAGAGACGATTTGGAATTAAATTGCAATGAAACGTCAAAAATGTAGTTGCGAGCTATGGTGCAAAGAATTAAAGAAAAAGAATAGAAACAAATATACATTAATAGGACAGAAAACATTTTACTGAAAAGTTGTACTACAGAAGGCTCATAACTAGGACTGGACTATAAATCGATATATCGCGACATATCGATTTAACGCCTATATCGGCAAACCGATACAGCAACTTTCATTCCAAGCGATGCATCAGAAATCTGATTTAAGCCGTCGAGTGAAGAAGACGATATAACGATATAGCGATACACGCAAGGACTTTCTCTTACGTTCCGATGCCAACTCGCGCTGTGGAAGACGATATTGTTTCGTTATGTTGAGACGGCCTTGACTGATGAGCGGTAGAATCAGAATCACTTTTGAGACCTTATATCGTTATATCACATGTTCGTTTTCGCACCTTCGCGATTTGAAATCGTTTCTTGTAGATTATTTTCAATGGGATTAACTTCGTGATCGCCGTCGTAACCTTGTTCTGAACGCAATCTATTATTGAAAAGAATTTATAAAGAAAAGTTTCTTCATTAATTAGGTAAGTTTTTTATTTATTTTCTGACAAAACTTTTTTTATATTTTTAAATGTGAAAATTATCGGAAATCTAATTTAAGGCACCCATAAGGAATTAAATTACAAAGTAAATAAATTTGTTAGGTTATTTTTTTACTTTCTTTTAATTTATTAAAAACCTTTCGGATAAAACTTCTAATAATTTAATGGGCTTCTATTACTGATTTTAAATTTATAAATCTTGAGTTGTTTTTATTTTTAGAAATAAAGTTAAAACAAAACTTATTTTTTGGACATAAGTCAATAAACTTTATTTGTTCAAAAGAATTTGAAAAGTTTGCGAATTTTATTCATTTTTTTTTTTTTTTTTTTTTATCAATTACTACTTCGTTTTATTAGAGAGTAAAATCATTATTTTTTTTTAATTTTCGTTTTATATTATTAGTTAATTAGCTAAATATATTACCGAATATCACAATTCTTTTGTTTTTATTTTTAAGAATTTAATTAAGAAACTTTGCCTTACTTTGTTTTTCGTTCATAATTCGGTCATTATTTAATTTAATTTAATTATTTATATGAAATAATAATAAAAATAGTGTTTAAGAAGCATTTTTTTTCTAAAATTTATTTAGCTCTTTGTTTTAAGCATACAAATAATTTTTTAACGAACTTATTTTTTAAATTTTGTTCCTATGCTGTTAGGTAAATATATTGATAAATTTCACTTTTATTTATTTTTTTATTTTTAAACTAAGAAATCTTTTGTTATTTGCGTGATCATTTTTAGAAAATATAACAAAACTTGTGTTTACTTCTTCATTAAGAATTTGAACATTACGATCGAACTTAATAATTCTGTAATTATTTACGCATAATAGTACAAGCAAATATTGATTTGTTAAAAAAAGTTTTTTTTTTTAAAAAAAAAAAAATATTTTTAACACTTTGTTTTAAGTGTATAATGAATTTCTTAACAAACTTTTTTTTTAATTTTTTAAATTTTCTTTCAATAATTTCAGCTAGATATCTTTATAAAATTCCCTTTTTATTTTTAAACTGAGAAATCTTTCAGAGAACGAAAATTTTAAGAAATTATTACAAATCTTATGTTTACTTTTTAGTTTAAAATTCGAACATTTTTAATTTTAAACTTCGGCTTTTAGTCAATCTAACTTTTATTTTAATTAAAATATATTTTGAAATTTTAAAATCAGCTTTTGTTTAATAACAATATTTTTTTTCATTAAGGGTGTTTTAGGGGTTAACTTAAATTAAGACTGCTTATACCTTATAAACGATAAAGAAGTGCAAATATTTCATTCTGTATCTACACACATTTTTTCAATAAATATTTTAAGTAAGATTTGTACATCTTAGTCAATTTATTTAATATCTTTCTTTAGCAAAACATATATATTTTCAAATTTATAAATTGATTTAAATCAATATGCGTATGAAGTCTTGATAGAAATTTGACTTTTTGTGCCTTACAAGTAAATGAAATTAAATAATACTATATCGCGATACATCGCTATATCGCGATGCAAAACTGACGATATATAATTTTTAATATCGCCCAGTCCTACTCATAACATATTCCTCTGTGATAGCACCACTTCATATGGTTAAGACACGACGAAGTCCCGCAGTGGACTGATCGTTAAGACACGGTTCCCAGCAGATCACCGAAGTCAAGCATCACTGGTTACGGTCAGTGTGCGGGTGGGTGACCACTTGGATCAGTCTGCGTAGGGACCGAGGGTGTGCGGTATTGATCCTCGTTAAACTGTGCTACCGTAAAGTGCTCGACTTCGCGCGCAGGTCGTCGGGCTACCGAAGCGGGGGTGCCATCCCCTCCGCAGAGGATCAAAATTGTGATGGCATGTCTTCGGATCATCCTCCGGGATGTTTCCCAGACCGTCGCCAATAGCCCATTGTGCAGCTCTAGTGCGACGTAAATTAACAACAACATAAGACACGACGAAGCTTCGGCAGGTTATACGAATGACCTCCGACAACTCAACGTAACATTTGGACAGCAGTGAATAGGTCGTAGTGGCATGATTTATTGACCTGACGGATCACCGGGCTTAACATGCCTGAAATTCTTCTGGGGTGAAATGAAGAGTTTCGTACACGAGAGGATACACGACACGCCAGGAATTTTCCAGAACGTAAGGTATTCTATGCCATGCAGCTGTTAAGCTTGATTGACGACTTCCGCTTGTAATTTCAAACTCCTGTTGTTCAGTATACACAAAAAAGAACCACCCTGAATAACTTTTGATCCCAATGATCGGATTTTCACGTTCTAGGACTCAAATCTTAATGCCTCGAGGGGTTGATCTCAAATATGCTAATTAATAAGTATCGCTAAAACGTACTACTAGTTTTATGGAATTAAATTTTTGAACTTCATTTCAAACATGTTAAGTTTTAAACTTAATTTTAAAAAAGTGTCTAAATTTTAAACTTAAGAAGAGACACTTAAAAATTAATTTCCCAAATTTGCACCGCGAAATCTATATTTTTAGGACCTAAATATTTTCTACTCGCCTCTTAAAAAGATACTACTCTCCTCGCATTGTGGCCAATTAAATCTAATAAAAAAGCGATTAATTTTTTTTAATGTAAATAAGTTGAAAGTACGATTCTGTTTTCTTGCCTTTATTAAGTTGAACTGAAAAGTCACTTTTTTCATGCATTTCAACAACTGTTTTCCTTTTATTTTAAGAAATAAAAATTCTGGTTGGGAGCAAAATAATTACAGGTAAGATTTTGCTTGGAAAAGAATTTTGATCTCCAAACTCATATTTTCATTATGTAACGAAATACTTGCTTGCTATCTGTCATAAAAGTATTTCACACGAGGGTCTAAAATTGTTTTGCATACTTTTTAAAAATTATCGAAATGGAAGGCCACCTTAGAATCGTATGAGGTATCTCTGCGGTCACATAAAACACTGTAAATTACGTCAATAGATAACTAAGCACATTTTCCCAAAACGAAAAAATTTTTGTACAGAGAAGTTTAAGACACTACACTTTAATAATGAAAAATGCATAAAAAAAAAGGAAATTAAAAAAAGCGAAAACGCCGCCTTTTTCTCTTTTTCTTTTTAAAGCGATTAGGAATGATTTCACATTTTACCCTAATGTATACAGCTCCCTTCTGCTTATAGCTTAGTTACTAATTGGAGGATAAAATTATCGTTTTCTTTTATTATTTTCACTGAATTTATTATATTTTCTGTAATCGTTTGGTCACTTATTTTTATTTTTTATTCTATATCCATAGTTTTTTAATGGATGTTGAGTGTTAAAGAAGACAAGTGTAATTTTTCTAAGGACTTAAATTAGTAAGGAAATTAATGTTTGATTATAATATTTAAATTTTATTTACTCTTCTTGTTCTGAATTTATTTTTAAGTTGGATGCGGTGTCAGGTATAGTACGTATTTATATTCTAAACATCCACCATTATTCATTTTAAGCTGATAGAATTTTTGCAGAACTGTTTTTTTAATAAATTATCAATATAGGTTTTTCCCCTCTGTTCATACTAAAATATATTATATAATGGTATGACCATTAACTTTTTATTCGAAAGTATTAATGCTATTGACTTTTATAATTTTAGAACTGTATAGAAATAGAATTAGTTAAACTGATTGAAATGTGGAATCAATTTAATAAAAGTTAATGTATGGCTATTCGAAATTTAGAAGGGGGGATTGTTGGAGATGCGTGACTTAAAGTCTCGACAGAATGTCTTCAACTGTTATTTTTTCTGAATTTATATAAGGATTCTGAATTAAAAAGTCGCCTTATTCATTAAATAATGTTTTCAATTTTTCACAAGATTGGTGATCAAATCTCGATTAGTTTGGCCTTCAAAACTGTTTTGAGAAGTTTCAACGTCACAAGAGTCAGTTCACAAGCAAAAATTATAATATTTTGGCTCCAAATGTAGTTCTTGTCGTCATAAATAATTAAAAGCATAACACTCTAAGAAGGTACCATGCTCCTTAAGAACGAGTTTAAGTTTTCCCAAAGGAGGCAGTCAAGTTCGGGAAAGAAGGGATAGTGGGGACAATGGGTTGAGTGAATGTATCGAATGATTTTTTATTTCAACTCCTCTGAGAGACATCGTAAATTGAAAACACTAGTGTACACATCCATGTGAAAGTTGCTTAAAGACATTCTTTGAGCACATTTGGACAAATATGGGCATTTTTAAAAAATTTGACGCACATATTTTAATATGAAAATAGATTTAACAGATTTGCTCCTTTCAAAAAATTTAAAAAAAATTCACAAATTGTCCGGTCAATTGCTTTTTTAATATAAACTGCGGAAATATCATGTTTTTGCAAAACAAATCTAATTTAAAGACATTTTTTGAGCATTTTTGGACAAATATGGGCATTTTCATAAAATGTGAAACACATATTTTTTTATGAAACCAATTTTATTAGAAACGTTTTCTTCAAAATTTTTTAAAAAAATTCACAAAGTGTCCGGTCTATTGCTTCTTTAATATGGAATGTGGAAATATCATGTTTTTGAAAAACAAATTTCATTTAAAGACATTCCTTGAGCAACTTTTGGAAAAGTGTGAGCATTTTCGGAAAATATGACGCTCCTGTTTTATTTAACTTAAGACGAGTTTTAAGAACTGCACTCTTTTCAAAAAATTGATAAAACTTTCACAAAGTGTCTGGTCTATTGCTTCTTTCAATATCGATTGTGGAAATATAAGGTTCTGATTAAAAAGCAATCTCATTTAAAAACATTCTTTGAGCACTTTTGAACAAATATGGGCTTTTTCAGAAAATCAGACGCCCACATTTTAGCATGAAATCAGTTTTAAGAGGTTCTATCTTTTTAAAAAATGCGCAAAGTCTCATCTCTATAGCTTCCTTCATATGAACTGAGGAAATATCATGTTTTGGATTTTGAAAAAATCTTATTTTAATTTCTTTGAGCACTTTTGGACAAATATGGACATTTTCATAAAATGTGACGGACACATTTTATCATGAAATCAATTTTAGGAGAATCGTTATTTACAAAAAAAGTTAAAAATCTCACGTATTGTTCATTTTTTTCTTTAATATGCACTGTGAAAATATCAATAATCTCATTTAAAGAAATTTTTAAGCAATACTTCGAAAAGAGTGAGCATTTTCGGTAAGTATTACTCTCATGTTTTAACCTGAGACCAGTTTTAAGAAAATCATTATTTTCGAAATATTTTAAAAATATCAAAAAATGTCTGTTCTATTATTTCTTTAGTATAAACTGTGGAAATATCTTGTTTTGGTAATAAAAAAAAATCTCATTTAAAGACAATCTTTCAGCACTTTTTGGACAAATATGTTCATTTTCAGATAATTTGCGCACATTTTTTAACATGAAATAAGTTTTATGAGATTCGCTCTTATTAAAAATTTAAAGAAATTCACAAATTGTCCACTCTATTGCATCTTCAATATTTTTTTAATTTTTTTTTTTATTTCCAATGAGCTGCACAATCGGTATTGCCGATAAGCAGACCTAGTGCGTTCTCTAGAGGTGGTATCGACTCTTTCAAGACCACCACAATGGGTGAGATACCGTTGGTCATGTTAATTTGGACGTCTAGTTTCTGCCACACTAGATGGCAGCACCGAGACTCTATTTGGATGCTAAAGTGCACTAGGATTTAATTTTGCCGGAAATGCCAAGAGCCAATAAGGTGCATCTTCAATATTGTCTGTGGAAATATCATGTTTTGGTAACTGAATACTTCAGTAGAAAAAGAGAAGATTTTTAAGGTATAGGAATAACTTAAAATTTTTTCGTTGCTTTAACATATTTTATTTTCAGAATTTCAATTAAAGTTGATAAATACTGTTTTTTTTACCTATTTTAATATTAACTTGTGCTCTGCATAGTTTGAATTAATAACCACTAGGTATTAATAAACATGTGTCTTCTTGGGGCTAGTGTGGACAGGCTTTAAAAGGATTTTTTCATTTAAAATTTAGCAATTCAAGGTTCTTTTTCTTTTTTTTTTAAAATCGCAATGATATCAGATTGATATAAATTCATTGAAACTTCATGACATCACTGAGTCAATAAGAGTGAACGACTTTGTGGTAGTCAGTTTTTTTTAAATGAAAAAAAAAATGTTGTGCATAATGTTGATAGAGTGAAGAAAAAAATTTGAAGCTTATGATGTTCAATTCTTAAGAAGAAACAAAGAACCTTTCTCATTTCTCAAGAGAAAAAAATAGTTACCGAACTCCCATTGCCAGTACCTGGTAGAACTATCAGAACTGCATCTTAATGCACATTTGAAGTTGACATTTTAAATTTTTTTGCTATAATAAAAACAATTTCAAAATATTTCTCAAATAAATCGAATTGAATGATGGTTTTCAAATAAATGCATGTTTCAGCAATCAAAATGTCTTTCTTAATACAGTGATATGCGTTATTGCAAATTATTTTTCTAATTATTATATGCCGATATTTATTCTTTAATAATGCTTAGACTGAAATTAATTTCATTTTGGCTTTGTGCGTTGTTATAAATGATGGCTTAACAAGTTTGTCCACACTAACTTCATAGATTTTCCATGTTATTTTCCGATTCAGCAGCCTTTAACGACTTGTTCCCCCGTTTGGCATTTCCTTAAATAGAAAAAAAAAACTTGATTCTTGACTTTTTTTAGTTCAGATATCAAATTTTAAAAGAAATAAAAGCTTTCATTTATGACAAACGACAGCCAAGAGAAAAATACCGAGAAAAAAAAATGCGAGTAAGTCGTTAAAGACTGCTGGATTGTAAATTAGCGCTCCGTGTTGTGGGACTAGTGTGGACAAAAACAACCTTTTTTTAAAAGTTATGGAAAAGCTAAACAACTTTTTAAGTCCAAATATAAGCTAGAATGCAGTAAATCGTCCAAATTATTGTTAAAAAGCATTTCACAACAGAGAAATTATATTTAATAAGGTTTTTATTGACAAATATGAAAAACATGTCTACATTAGTTCTTCTCTCCTACCAATTTTTTTTTTCTGAAATTATTAAATAAATTGCAAACGTCTTAAGAAACACGTAAAAAGCTAATTCTACAAATTTGCACAGCGGAAATACTTTTTCTAATATTTCATGCTATTGGCTGCATAAGAAAATAATGTATTTAAGGAAAATTTTCAATTTAAGTAACCGCAGGACCTTGTTATCATGTAATCAATGTTTACTTAGTTCTCTTAATCTTTTTTCGTGTATACTTATCCTAAATTACATGTGAAAGAATTCTTTTTTCACATTTTAATACAACGGCTGAAACAACATCAATATCTTCTTTTAAAAATCAATTAACTAATTGGTCTTGCGTTTTAATTTCACAGTGCAGCTGTAATCGCAAAATGTCTCTTATAAGAGATTAACCTACCCATTCCCCTGAACTCGTATGTTCGGACGCTTAAAATGTGGTCCGTGCTACTGTTAGCTATATGTTCATCTTTGAACGGGGGTAAGTAGTTAATACAATCATGTCAACGAGGTTTTTTTTTTTGAACCTCTTTATTCCTTTGGTGTTCATTAAATTTTCTTTCTCTTTTTTGCTTTAATACTGTTTTTTTTTCCTTCTTCAGATTATAAAATGCGCATTTTTTACAATGTTTCCAATTACTTAAAAGTTATGAAACGCAGATTAATTAGGAAATGCATTTCTAAACAAATAAAATAAGTTTTTTTTTGCTGTGAATAAATTCTAAGGTATGAAGAAGTTAATAATAAATTATGAAGATCACTCTGTTCACAAAGAGATTTGCTCCTACCAACGACACATTTTTTAAAAATATATTTTGTTATTTATTTTAGTACACATAAAGATTTGTTTTTCATATAATACATAATATGAAAATTAAAATATTTTTTCAATTTCAAATTCTAGTTAGATTTTTATTTATGCTGGGTGTTCCGTAATGACCATCCTTAATTCTTGTTAGAAATGAAGTAGAAAAAATATTAGCAATAAGGGTCATAAATTAATATTTAAGCAAAGAGAAAATATTAAGATTATGGAAAACTAACGAAACACTACGAGTAAGGAGGGACTGAATAAATCAATAAGCGAATGAGCCATCCCCTCTGCAGAGGATCAAAACTGTAATGGGATGTCCTCGGATCATCTTCGGAGATATTTCCCAGACCGTCGCCAATAGCCCATTGTGAAGCTCTAGTGCGACGTAAATAAAATACCTACCTACCTATCTACTTACCTTGCTAGTGATTTGATATGTTTCAATAGCGTTTTTTCTTCGCTTAAATATTATTTGTGACCTCAAATGTTTATACTATTTTGTTTTCTGCTTTTAACAAGGATTTCACAAATATTTTTCAAGGGTTATTATCTCGGTATACCCTGTGTTTGAGTTCACTAAATATGTATTGTATAAGTGCACATTTTCACTCAGCGAAAATTTAAACACTACTTTTTTTAACACTTTAGAATTAACTAATTAGTTTTCCTAATCTGAGAAACAATAGTTTCCCAAAATCTACTGCATCAAATTCTTGAAAATTTTACTTTATCTTTGGTGAAAACTAGTAGTAATAGCTTATCATTATGGCTTGATTTAAAATTTCTATGTTTTTGCGTTGGTCAAAATTTGACGTTTACTTAATACGATCTGTTACGTCTACTTTGTCAACTGGTTTTTAATTTTTAAAAAGTTTTTAAATTCATAAAAATTTCTAAAAATTGGAGTTAGTGTAAATGACATCAAGACTCATTTAAAGAAATATTATTAGAACTGTTTGAATTTTTTAACTGAGTTATAAGCTTTATAAGTCTGCAAATACGACGTGCCCACATTTAAGGAAAAAAATTTATTTTTTAAATTTTGTAAATTGCGCTATTTTGCAAATTGTTTCACTTTATTACTTCAAATTATATTAAATGCGATCAAAAGCAACTTAAATTCATTACATTTTCTGTGCCAGTTAATATTTATAGCTTAGAGCAGGGATGTCAAACTCAAAAGCTAACTTGGGCCAAATAAACAATGCTTAACTTTAGGTGGGCCGCAAAAAAAAAAGAAAAAAAAATTCAATGTTAATAGAAACAAATATTTTTATTTTGAATTGTAATAAACATATATAAAGTTAAATTATTGCTTACGTCCTGATACTTGATATCTCTTCTCTGCTATTATCTTTTCTATTTCGTGGGAAATTTTATTGGCCGAGACTACTTTCAAAATTGACCCTACGTGAGCGTTATTAATACAGTTTCGGACAAGAGCTTTATTAACATTCCTAACAGAAAATAATTGCTCTCACTGAAAAGTACTTCTAAACTTGGAAATAATTTCATACGCGAATTTTCGAGTATTTTCAAACCTTGTTGGTAAATATTCGTGAAATTCAGGCACACCCACTTCAATGAATTTTGCTTTCAAATTTGAGTCGCACTGAATCTCAATCACTTCCATTTTCATATAACTGGGTACTGAGTTATTTGTTGAGAAAATCGAAGAAAACAAACAAAATTTGTCTTCCAAAGAATTAAAACCTTTAAACCTTGTTTCAAATTCTGTTCTAAGATTTGAAATTTTTTTCTGCGTATTTTTGATACTATGCAGTATCATCTAAACTAGATTTGTTCTTGTTGCGCGTTGGGAAGTGCGTTAAATCTTCATTTTTCGGTTGCCTTTCCCAAAGAAATAATTTACATTTGAATGCTTTTTTAATTATGTCAAACGTGTTCATAAGGATCTGATCCTTGCCTTGTAACAATAAATTTAAATCGGATAAGTGTTCGGTTATATCAATCATAAAAGATAAATCTTGCAACCATATTTAATCGAAGAACAAGCTTGTATCTAGATTTATGGTTTGTAAAGACTTACATATTTTTTCTTTCAAATCCCAAAATTGATTGAGAACCTTGGAGCAAGATAACCAACTTTCCTCGCTATAATAGGATAAACCTGATTATATGTACTATCGATAATTGATAGCTTAGTGTGAAACGGACTCCATTTCAGCCAATTAGAATTTTACATTTTCGAGCGGACAATTTAAAATGATCCGTGTAATTTAAAAATAAAGTATATTATAATTTTATATGCTGGTTTCGTTTCTAATTCACATTTCTATTTTATTTTTACTTTGCTTCGGATCCATTTCGGGCAAATCCGTGGCTAAAATTATCTACTAAAATTTTTTCTTTGTTAATTTTTCCATGTGCAAATCCGTGTTAAAATTATCTATTGAAAAAAATTTTTTTCTTTGATAATTAAATAATTTTTCTATGTGCTAATCCATATCGTGCAAATCCGTGGCTAAAATTATTTGCAAAACAGGCAATTTATGTTTCTCTTTTCTATTTAATATTTTTTCTTAAATAAACATCTATCTTCTAAAGCTATTTATGATCAATTTTTAAAATTATCCAGTATAATATTACCTTGCGCACATCCATTTCGGGCCCATCCTTGGTAACTAACAAATCAAAACTCAGAATAACAAATCACTTCAGCAGTGCAGTAAGAACGACACTTTA